TAATGATTCGAGTGGTTTCGACCTTTCTAATAGGCTACGCCGTTTGGAATCAGGTTTCATCAGTTAAAGCATTATTCCCTGCCCCAAACTTTTCCTCCCTAGTGTAATCTCGTCTACACGAAACACGAAATGACTTCTGTCTGTTCTCTCAACGATACTTTCTCTTTCTCCTGGTATATACACAACACGATGAGACTGTAATCCTAATTTATTCGACTTCTTCATTATGAAGCTCCCACTGAAGGAAGGTATAAAAAAGGGGAAATATAAGTAGGAATTCATTTTCTCATTTAAGGGTGGATACGATGTTGGAGTTATAGCGGGTTTCTGATATTCCAGCATGCTTAGGGTTTTGGCAATGTTGTATTAATAGACTTTCAAAATAATTTTGGAAACGGAGTAATGTAATTTATTAACTAAAGTAAAATGAATACAAGGGCAAAGTAGAGTGATAAGGATTAATATTTTTAGAAACGGGGTCGAACCCTGTTAATTTTTTCTTCGAAAAAAGTATAAAGCCGAAAGTATAAAGGGTCTTCTCGTCCCTTATGGCGTGAAACAAGAACATCCTTATCGCATCGCTGCTCATCGTGCTGGCGTAAATCGGTTACGGCTCCAGCCAATGGTGGCCACCGTCTATTATTTTTACCGATGTAATTTCTCCTCGTTTTCCAGACAGTTTGGTCGGTCGTCTCGTGGAAAATGCAGCCGCGGATTGCGGTCACTGTGCAAAATAAATAATCCCCGGAGTCTCTTCCGTTTCTCGTTTCGTTCCGCTTCGTGTGTCTCCTGTCTGTTACTCTGCTACCTTTTTTTATCACGATACTGTCATCTCGTTACATCGTACTGGTTTATCCTCTTCCTCTTGTCTCAACATCATGTTCCCTTTTCTCATTCATACGTGTACTGTCTTTGAAAAAAAAAGAAAAAAACGACGGATGAAAAGTTGTTTGTTCGTTTATCGAAAGCGGAGCAAGAATATTTTGATAACGAACAGAGGACATTGTGTTTCCTGCTGGAAACAAAGAAACAATTATGTAGCTTCATTGTTGTATTTGGAGACATTTTCATGACATAAAAGTATTACTAAATAGCACTTGCGACACATTAATTCAAAGCTTAAAATTTGTCAAAAACTACTGTATAAACGATGCGTCGTTATTTTTTATAAAGAGCATTCACATTGAATTTTTAGACGCGTCAGATATAAGGAGACAAAGTGGAGCCTTTACACGATAACGCACGCGGTCGGTATATTAATAAGCAAGTTTTAATCCAGTTTAATGTTCGAGCTACGTAGTTTCGGGCTGTGGCATCGAAATCTGGTCGATGGTAACAACTTGCGATGAGAAATCAATTAAACGTCTTTATGCTACCCTGTACGACGACGCGTACACCGATAGTCGAACTCCGACAACATAGTGGAAAGCATAGGAGGACGTGATGTTGCCAGGTAAAGTTCGAAACAACTGTTCATGATGTTACCGTATCTCTATAACATGCACTGAATGGTTTCAAAAGTAGTACCACCATTCCCAGTAATTAAGAATTTATAATCCGTTAATTAATCCTTTTGAAAAGGCGAAGCACAGTATTCAATCGTGTCATGGAGTTAATTAGAGAAGTGTGGATAGTTTTAACACGAACTCTGGTAAATGGATAATTTCATGTTTTAATCAGATATTAACACCTTTTGAAATTAAATATTTTTTATTCGAAATTGGTTTTATTTTTATTTTTATATTATTACTGAATTAGAGTTAAAAAAATATTATAAGGCTAAAAATTAATATTTAATTAATATATTAATGAAAATTTAATATTGAGAAAAAGAATTTCTCGAAATGTTTAGATATGCAATGAAAGTAATTATCACTAAACATCTATGAATATTACTACTCGATTTTGATAGTTATAGGTAAGATAGATTCATAATTGCTGGTAATAGAAACTATTAAGATAATTGATTACTAACCCCATAATTGTGAAATAGGTGTGTCATTAGTACGTTCGAGCCAGTTTAAAGGGCAATAAAATCGCGATACATGCATCGTTTTAGAGTGTTAACTGCAAAGTTATTGAACAGTAATTAACAAGTGATTAATCAATTAAATTTAATCTTACCGTAGTAATCAATGAAATCGTTTTATATATCGGTACCTTGAAATTTGAAATTTCATGATTTTTCTTCTTCTATTTAAGATAGGGAAGAATTCTTCTATATTTCTTTTCTTCCTTAAACTTAACATTAAGCGATTCATTTTCGAACGTTGAAAAGTTGAAGAGAGGTCGTTGAAAGTTTCACGGACCAGCACTTTTCCAATAATCACGGGTAGTTATACTTAAAACCGAAAGTAGACGGCCAGCTTAGCTAAGTAGCACATCTTAAAGTTTCCTCGTACTTTTGGAAATCCTGCAGGATGCCCCGAAATCCAATCACCGTGCCTCCTTCGAACACTTTTCCATTTATGGGAAGGGTAAAACGTTCTCGTCAAAGGCGATTTCTTTCTTTTTCTCCTTTTTTTTTTATACTCAACATTTCGAGCGTAAAGAATCCATGAAATCGTACAACTTTCAAAGTAATTAAAATCGTAATTTCGGAACTGAGATTCGTCGTTTTTACTTCGCCTAGAAAGAGAGCTCTCAATGGTTATTAAATAATACATTAGAAACGACTGGGTGTCTGTGTAACATTTTGCAGTAGTATTACGTTGAATGACACACAATTTAATGAAAAGAGAATAAAACTGTCGTATGTAGAAAATTAAGAGAACGTTGAATAGGAGGAAACGTAATGAGCAACATGATATTTATGAAACCAACGGTCCGGTATTTTTACTACGTACATTTTGTATAATTTCGTTCGCAGCCACCCAAAATTACACTATAATAGAAAGCATTAGATTTCACGTGAAATTTCATATATTTCGTCTAGAATAAATTGATCATCTGAACATAATTTATTTTTCTTATTACTTTGTTCGATCATTTTCAATCAGAAGTAATCAGTACCACGATTAAACAGCATATTCAATTTATGTGTTAAATTTGTATGAATAAATAATTTTTGATCTCCAATTAAACCTTGATTACCATAAAATTAAATAATTCTCTGGGTCGAAATAAATGATTAAACATCATTGAATAATGTAACAACACAATTTTGTAAAACATGATTACGTTGAAATAATTTATGTAGGAAATTTCAAACAGCAATGGTCTCATCGTCGGTAATTTTCAGGATACCTTAAAATTTTATCTTAGTGTATCTTGACAGTATTTAGAGGAGTATTTCAATCATTTCGGACTATACTTGAATGGCACTGTATATAACAAACCATACTCACAATTTTGTAGTTGTCGGACGAGAAGTCTTCATTATCTCGGAACGGGTGAGAGTTCAACTCGGGCGTAACGAGGTCATTGTGGACAAGTTTCTTGGTCTAAGACAGCTTGTCAAACTTGGACATGTTCCCAATGAGTTTGCCAAGTCTCACTTGAAGCGAATTCGGATCCGCAAGTCTCGCGTTAACGCCTGATTCTGTTAACTGTAAACGATCTTCCAGCTAACTTTCTATTTTACAACAATATAGTTTCAATAGAAATTCAAATCAGGGAACTAGTGAAATTATATTTGGTACATATGATATTGCTAATTGCATATCATTTCTAATAAAGATGTAATAACAAAAGAGAATTAAAAAACAATATTTGCCTCTTCGTATTTATAATTTATCAAGAAATTTCAACGAGGAAAATTTTTACTACAAACAGGGATTGAACCGATAGCGATACAAGAGTTTTTATAACTTTCACAAGCTCCTTCCTGTGGCATACTTGTGAAGTCTGTTGCCCGAATATAATTCAAGAATCTGCATAAATATGCATGGTATCTCGTATGCATCGAGTTTGCATTAAGAAATTCAGATATGAATATGCGCCGCCCAACAAACCCGAAGTTTCTTCAGTATTTCTGATTACCTTGCGATTACTTTGGATCCCTATTAATAGATAAGCCGAGAGGAAAAGTGAAAATAGAATAATTAGAAAAAAATGAATCATAGGAAAATCTTTCAAGCTTCATCCACATTATCTGTTTATAATATCTGGAATAATATGCACTTTTTAGAAGTGCAATCTCTTTCCCATTGAAAATTCTTTCGTAAGTTAAAGATACTAAGAATTAAGGACACTTTCGAAACTCCTCGATTTAAAATTGAAACTTTCAGCAATTTAACTTCCGGAGTTTACAGGAAGAAGTCTTCTCACAGTAGCTATATGCAACTGCTGGTAAATATATTCTAATTGCGCAAAGTTCTCGGTCCAGTATTTCTTTCAGTAAATTAGATTCAATAGATCGTATGAATCCACAAGAGAATTACTTGATCCAGAATTTATTTTTAATTAGAATTTTAACAACTTAGACGTCCAAAGGCTCTCCCTCGTTCACCATCCAATGTCCTCCATTCTGGCCTCGAACTATTTCGATGCTTTATTTGAAACACTATTTTACCAACAAAACGGTAGGTGACAATCTGCCGCAGACCCTAATAAATGGTAACAAATAACGGATAGGAAAGCGGTCACACGCCGTCGTGGACGATAAGGCGAAACGACAGTGACGAATAGGTTTCCGTGGGGAAAACGCGAGCTTTCCGTTAGCGCAATTCCATCGGCAATGCACTCGAAACTGCTATCATACACAGTCCAGAGCAATTCCAATAGGCGATCCATTATCTTAAGCGGTGTCGACCCGATCGATTCGCGCCTCCACCTTTTTCCCCCGTCGTTTCTCGCCTATCGGGAAATACCACCCACTTCTCTTTACTTTCGCGAAACGCAACATATTTTTTTATCTATTATACTACGATTAATTAATAAGAAATTTGATATAACATCGATGAACACGGTGGTGCAGGTATTGAAAAGAAACTTCTTGATCAAATTTTTTGAATTTTCAGATTTTTATTCAATTTGTACTAATTTATGACACTTTTCAGGTTGCGGTAGCGTTACACCAAAGTCTACATGGGGTAAGATCGCAACCATGGGTTACGCCAGTCTGGGGATCCCCTTGACTCTGGTTTACCTGTCAAGTGCCGGAGGCCTCTTATCCAGGTGTGCCAGAGGGGTTTTCACGCGTGCCCTTTGTTGCTGTCTTTGTTCGAATTGCGGTTATTGTTGCTACGACGAAAGACGGATGGAGGTGTGTAATTAACACTAATACAACTTTAAGATCGACCTGGATCACTGTACTGTATTTACATTTTTAACAATTTTTCAATGCAAACGATTGTAATATTCCATTGTTTTCCACTTTCTGTCCGATGGAAGGATATAAAAATCCACATCGATCTTAAAGTAAATTTTCAAAGGCTTTCTTTTAATAAAACGGTGTCATTCTTTTTTTCTGTCATCGATCTTAAAAATTGCTTTGTAATTGGCGCGAACGCAGGAGAAAGAAAGACGAATGAGGAAGAAGAGACAGCAGGAGGAATTGGCGCAACAGCAGCAGCAATTGCAGTTGCAGGAACCCTTTTACGTGCGCGCAAATGCGTCGACGTTCACAAGCACGGTGGAAATTAAGGCCAGCCCGAAGGATGAAGTGTCGAGTCTTGGTTCCGGTGACAGACCCAACGTTACCATACTCGCACCAATCAGCATTTGTTTGGGCACGATGCTCTGTTACATCGTGGCAGGAGCTTTTACTCTCTACAAGTTTGACGGCTGGTCCTTTGTGGGTACGTTCCAAAAAAGATCCTAGATTTCTACCAAAAGACCTGCCTATCGACCAGGCTTTTGTAAGCGTGTCACTTAACGCCTTTGGTTATATATTAGGCTAATTTTATATAACTTGCATTAATTAGAAAATTGAAAAATTGGAAAATTAGAAATTAAGAAGTTAGGAGATTGAAAAATCCAGACATTGGGGTGTTGGAAATTATATGTACAATTGGGGTATTGGGAAATTAGAAATTAGACATCAAGGAAATTGAGATATTTTCAAATTTTCAAATTTTCAAATTGCAGGTTCAATAGCCCCTCACTATGAAATTACTATGTAATCAAATTAATAATGAAATTTATTCATTTCATGCAACTCTAGATGCAAGCTACTTCTGCTTCATGAGCCTAAGCACAATTGGGTTCGGCGACATGGTACCCGGTTCCTACCCACGGCACAGCCTCTACGAGTCCAGGAACGAGACCATTTGGTTCTGCTCCTGTTACATAATGTCCGGAATGGCGTTGACGGCTATGTGTTTCAACATCCTCCACGACGAGATCGTGCACAGGCTGAGCCATCAGGCGGAGAAGCAGGAACCAGTTAAAGCCAGCTCGAGCGTGGACGAACTGTCCACGGATCCCTTCGCGTTGACCTCGTGACAATTTCCATCAGGCAACCTGTGCCACAGGAACGGCACCGACGAGAACGACATATGTGGAACCGAACCACCGACCAGCTTGTTCGCCCACGAGAACGAAATCAATATCCTGAAGGACTCTTTCAATCAAGTGGACGTCACTAGAGACTGCAAGCCGATCTTGAAGCTCGAGGATCACGTACCGCCGATTCCTGGTGTCTATATGTTGCCGAAGGTCGACGAGGAAGCCGAAGAAAACACTGAAATGTAAAACTGTATCGTTTATTTTTTTTCTTTTTCTTATTTCACCCCCAAGTCTGATGTTTGATAAAAGTAACGAAGTGAAAGAACCTGTTGAATGGGTTCGAGGACATTCTTGAGGAATATGTTCCTGATAGGTACACTCGATGAATATGTATGTGTTACAAAACGAAGAAGCAGTGACACAGTGTAAGCTTCGACTAACGACGAGAAAACTAAGAGAACGTTTTTCAATTCGGTACGTCGTCGATGTTAATTTCAAGCGTCGTGAATCAGTGACTTAACAGTTTTTCTATGTCTTTTCATAAAGTGTCTTTTTTTGTAATTCGAACCGATGAACGAAGAAAAGATCTTTTGTTGTAACAGAGTCCGAAGAACAGGTAAACCATTAACGGACTACTTTCGCGTAGTTTTCCGGATTCAACGCTAACCGGTGAGAATTGGTATGTATAAAGATACATTCTCGTCGAACAGAAGAGAGGCAGGAAATTTCAAAGAAAGTATATATTTGAAAACGGTTAGAATGTCGTTTCCGATGTAGGATGATTTTAGAAGACTTTTAGAAAATTATTTGATAAACGTTAATTGGAAATCATTAGGGTAGTTTCTTGCTTTCGGTAAATTAATTAAAACGAAATAATAGGAAAGCAAAACAAACTTAATCCCTTTCGACGAATATCCTGTTTGATTAAGTCATAATGGCATTGCGCAACTTCTAAGTAAGATGTTCCCAGGATATACGAAGCGTCTCCTAAATGTCCTGAACTTCCTGCAGACATTTCTGCGCTAATCCTGCGTTACTCTTAATAAACGCCGTATCGCGAGAACGCGAAATCTGTGTTTTCAGTGAAATTATAATTACAAAATAATATCAAACAAACTTCACGTTTCTAATTAACGAATATCGGTAATCTTTTAACACATTGACTGCCAAGGTGAAGTTGGAAATTTTATCAAATAGTATGCATTTGATTTTTAATAAATCTTATCAATTATCCATAATTTCAAATACCTATAATCCGTCCAATGAGACGAGTCAGGATATATTTACAAATTCCCGCGCTCGACGCAAGGTCGACCGGGGCTCATTGTCAGTTGTCTCCAGTTCTTCAAACGGTTCGGTCGAGGTTTGTGTACTGTGAGCCGGAGCTGCTTCGAACACGTGAATTTCTATGCATTTACTGTCTTGTCTCGTTGGATAAAGTATAATTAAGTAAGTAAAATAATTCCTATGGTAAATACGGCGGTCATCGTGTTGAAATAATTTATTTTCAGTTTGCAAATATTGGAAATGACATTCTCAACCAACGACGAAATCGACTCAATGTTTCTACACGCCTATTTAGATAGAAACTTGTAATAGTTTTTATATTTCTGCATTTAAGCACTCACGTGGTAAACACATTCTTGTCTATAATCTAATTAAGTGGATTATTGCGTCTAGTTCGTAGGATGGAACGTACATCAAACATTCCTTTTGTACATTACATTTATGAATTAAAGTACGACACTGCCGAGATGAATTTTTAATATGAAAAAAAAAACATTTGTAAGGATATTTTGTAACCGGTGAATTTTTCTAGAATGAAAATCTTTACAACGTTTTAATATAACTTTGATCTTTGTATGTGTCTATTTTTATCATCGATCACTATTAAAACGTTCTTGTAAGAAATTATTTTCTACAGCAACATCGTGGCTCACTTTTAATCAATTATTCGTAATAAAGTGTACGTCCATTGGCTAGACGCAAAAATCGGTGAAAGAAAAATCACATTCGAATTCTATGCTCAAGAACAATAACTAAACTACTGTTGCGACTAGGCACTAATCTTTAAGAGTGTTGCATATAAAATTATCCACATTGTTTAATATCGGTATTTCGTGATATTACGAGGTGCGTAATGTATAGTCGTGAATTAGCTGTAAAATAATGATCTCTTTAGTATAGGGCAGACCTAACAGGATTCTCTTCTTCAAATAATAAAACAGTTATCAATTGTTGTACATATTTTGATCTCTTTATTGTATATATATATACATACATTATTATACATATTTTGTTCTTATCAATTACGTAATGACATGAAAGTACTATCAGTCTGAGTATTATTAATTATTTACAATTCAATAAATATCGTTTATTATTAGAGTGTTACATGACTGATGGTATATAAATATAAAATAATATTTTATTTGTGTCAAAAAAATAAATGTAACTAAAAACACTACAAAATTAAACTGCATCCAAGTGCATACATTAGGTCTGCTCTGTACAAACGAGGAAAGAACCGCGATCAGTAGCGACGTAACAAGAAAAAGTGTCCCTTCTTTCTGTTTCTTGTAACATATCATAAGATATAAGGGAAGATGAAAGGCTGAAGTGCTGCGCTGAGGAAAGGAACGAAGAAATGAAAGAAGACAACACGTTGCTCTGACCCGTGCATTGGTTTACTTCCGATGGTGTCGCGAATAGGCAAGCGAATTTCCTACGGTGTCTAATGACAATCCATATTATCTTCGAGCATTTATTAGAGTTATCGTTATCACTCGGTTGCCAATTCGATGGAGGCTCGTGGCTACCGGCCAAGTCAAACTTTACTTTTCCTGCTTGCGACCAACCAATCCGAATCATCGATCCAACCTGGGCTGACCGAGCAAACTTCCTCACACTCGTTCCATTCATTTTATGAGACGTTCCTTCAAGCTGACGCTTGGACAATTTGTTGTGGATAACCGCCTGTAACTTTCCTTCGATTCCTCTGACCATCTGATATTATGAACGTGCGATGGCACTGAAACAGGAAAGTTTTCTTTTTTAAAAAGCCTGACTGGCGTGAATCAATTTTCTTTTTTGCAGTGAAATTTAAATTAAATTAAATGCTATTGAAATTATTCCAGTATTCGGAAAAGCATTAACACCGGTAAGACAGGGGACATTTATCGGAAAATTTCATTTGCAAAGAGCGAAAATAATAAGCTTTTATATTACTTCCCAGGGTTATACGATCTTAATAATAGATCTATAAAAAGACAGCTGTTTCATTTTTCTTTCCTGTCGTTGAAATAAAAGAAAGGGCATAAAATATTGAAATTCGTTGGGAATTTAATTATCAAGTTTCATGTACTCGTAAATGTGATATAATGGTCCGAGGAATGAAGCCTTTTCATACGTATAACGTTACCTTTAGCTCCGATATGAATTCCCATTGCAGAAACTCCAAGACTTGGACTTTTCTTATTTCCTAAGATTTTCCCTTCCTGCTCGCCTCCTCCTCGGGGAAATATCAGAGAGTTCAAAACACTGTTCGGTCAGAAGGAAACTTTAGCGCGACAGTTTTGCGAGAAAAAATCAATAAAATTTTATGTTTCGCAGATTGAAAATAAAATATTTCGATCCTCCATCGATTAATTAAACGTTTTGTACATCTAAAATACATGATCGTTTCTACCAACAATCAAATTTAACAGTGATAACGTCGATGAATAAAATGTCAATTACATTGCAGAATACTTTCGAGTGATAACAGAGGACTTTTTCGATTAGAATTAAGCTACACTTTTATATCAACGAGCGAAACAAACATTATCGACACAGATGCAATTATTATTAAATTGTTGCACATGAGAAGACCTATTTATTTATTGTAACAAACAATGTACGATTCGAAACGACGAATTCTTCAACGTATCATTTGCCTCGTTACTATTATCCATCAGCCGTTTTGTATTAAAACAATCATTAAATAATTTATACGATAATTTTCCTTAGATCTTAAGCTTCAAATTGATGTATGGTACATTCTATTCGATGATACTTTTATGTCATGAAATTTGATTTAACCGATTCAATGTCTACCGAGTGAACGTAACAATTCATGTTTCTTCTATGAATGAAATTTGAAAAGAAAGCAGATCCGAAGGAGAACGTTTGTCGATTGCCTGAGCAACCAGTTGAGTAAAATCATTAAAATTAGCGTAGAGCTGATTCAGTATTCACAATTGTGTCGAATCGGCGGGATTTGCTTCTGCCGTCCTTCCGTTTCAGCGAATCCTATACGAAATTGCAACGTAATGTAATTTTCTCGAATGTAACTCATTCTTCGAGCATGCCGTGTAATATTAACTTAGAAGAGATCATCGGACGAGTAATGGCTGATTAATGACACACTGAGAACGTGGACATTGGTTGAACTTGAATTTTCTATACTACCATTGTACATAGAATTGAACGTTGTATGATATTAATGACGATTCACGTTTAATATTAGAGGAATGTTATTCGAAACATTGATCCTGGATTCTGTATTTTCACTTTTGATCGGTTTTGTCCAGGGGTAGCGAAGTGAGGGATTACAGATCAAGAGAAAATTCATAATTAAATGATTTCTTGAAAATCAATTGTTGTCTCTGAATATTCTGAAAGAATAATCTGGCATACTTTGTAGGAGTAAACTGTATTATCTATGAAATGTAAATCTTTGTACAGGAAAATTGATATGTTACATTAACTCTAGTTTCTCATTTTTTTATTAATTGAGTTAATACATCGTTTAATTCGCTATAATTGAAATTTTAAGGTAATAATAGTTGATTTTTATTGAAGTAATGCATGTAAAAACAAAGTGGAGAAGAAGAGTGTATGTAAATTATAAAGAAAGCAACTGAGGAAACATGTGAAAAAGGGTAAAAGAAAAAAAGACAAAGAAAACAATTGTTTTAAAACCATTGTTTTAATTGGTGTCATGTAACAAATATAAGAATCAATTAATACTTTGTAAATAGCTGAAACACTGAACGATGTGGGAGCGAATTCGACGTCATTGTAAAATACGAGGGGAAACGAATTACTGGATATTGTACGTCTGTATAATCGTTTGTCGAACAATGTATCTTATATTACAGAATAATAAAACAAAAACGACTTATCAAATGTTAGTATCATTTATTATACTCATGTTACAGTAATTGAAATTTATTGACAATTTATCGATCGATTTTCCAAAACGGAAGAGCGTCGCTAGTGCTTCGGGGTCCCTGACACCCCGGATGACATATTGTCGGTATGCAAAGAATGTCGCTGGTGCTTCGGGGTTCTTGTACACCCCAAAATGCAGATAGATTCACCGGTGCTTCGGGGTTCCTAACACCCCAAGATGATATGTCGGTATGCAGACAGCACCAGCGAAGCTCAGGGGTCTCTGACACCCCAAATGCCATAATGTCGGTATGCAAACTCAGGTAAGTATCCAACTACATTTTCTTCTAGGTTTTCAAATATACCCAGATCACAGGTTCTTATATTTCTTTCTTTCAATGTTTTATACTCTCTCTAGGTCTGACCTTTCACTATTATAGGTCATATCTGTCACTATCTTGTAATTACTGTTTCACGATTTGTTCGTTTTTAGGTTTTAGGAAATATAAATTTATGTACGACATTCGGTCGTACCCATCAGTATCCCGAACAAGTGAGATTCAGGATTTGTTCGTTTTTCGTTCTTATATTTCGTTAGATCCTGTCAAATCCATCACTATTCTGAACAAGTGAGTTTCACGATTTGTTCGATTTTCGTTCTTATATTTTGCTAAATTCGGTCAAACCCATCGCTATTCCGAACAAGGGAGTTTCACGATTTGTTCGTTTTTCGTTCTTATATTTCGCTAGATCCGGTCAAACCCATCACTATTCCGAACAAGTGAGTTTCAGGATTTGTTCGTTTTTCGTTCTTATATTTCGCTAGTTGCTTCGGGGTCCTTGAAACCCCAAATAGCATAATATCGAGGTCACCGGTTCCTCGGGGTCTCAGACACCCCGAATGCAGTAGTGTCGGTAAGCAGAGAGTGTCTACGATGCTTCGGGGTCCTTAGCACCCCGGGTGGTATAATATTGGTATGCAAAGATACTCACCGGTGTTTCGGGGTCCTCAAGACCCCAAAATGATATCAGGTCGGTACGTAGAGATATTGACTGGTGCTTCGGGGTCCTTGGCACCCCGGATGATATAATATTGGTAAGCAGAAATACTCACTGGTGTTTCGGGATCTTTAAGACCCCAACATGATATCAGGTCGGTACATAGGGATATTGACTGGTGCTTCGGGGTCCTTGGCACCCCGGATGATATAATATTGGTATGCAGAAATACTCACCGGTGTTTCGGGATCCTTAAGACCCCAATATGATATCAGGTCGGTACGTAGGGATATTGACTGGTGCTTCGGGGTCCTTGGCACCCCGGATGATATAATATTGATATGCAGAAACATTCACCGGTGTTTCGGGATCTTTAAGACCCCAATATGATATCAGGTCGGTACATAGGGATATTGACTGGTGCTTCGGGGTCCTTGGCACCCCGGATGATATAATATTGGTATGCAGAAATGCTCACTGGTGTTTCGGGATCCTTAAGACCCCAATATGATATCAGGTCGGTACGTAAGGATATTGACTGGTGCCTTAACACCCCCAAGATGATATCGCGGTATTCAGATAGATTCACCGGTGCATCGGGGTCCCTAACACCCCAAAATGATATCGTCTTGGTATGCAGACAGATTCACTGGTGCATCGGGGTCCCTAACACCCCAAAATGATATCGCTCGGTATGTAGACTGATTCAGCGGTGCTTCAAGGTCCCTAATACCCCAAAATGATTTATCGTTATATAGACAGCGCCAACGATGCGCTGGGGTCCCAGGCACCCCGAATGCCATAATATCGGTAAGTAAAATCGACACCAGCACTTCGGGGTCCCAGAAACCCCAAATGCCATGAGGTGGGTATGCAATCAGTGTTATTGGTACTTCGGGGTCCCAGATACCCCAGGATGGACTCAGGTCGGTACACACAGACCGCCACCAGTGCTTCGGGGTCCCTGACACCCCAGATGATATGTTGATATGCAGACAGAATCCACCGCGCAATTTACATCCCTGAATTCTTTGTATCCCTGCATCTCTAACATCGCTGCATTCTTGTAATCCCTACATTCTTTACATCCATACATTACTTACATCTATGCATCCCTTACATCCCTGCAGTCCTTACATCCCAGCATTCTTTTCATCCCTACATTCCTCACATCTCTACATCCGCTACATCTTTACATCCCTTACAGCCCTGCAATCATTTTATCCCTACATTCTTTTCATTCCTACATTCGTCTCATTGCTACATTCTTTTGATCCCTACATTCTTTTCATCTATTCATCCATTACATCCCTGCATCCCTTACATCTCTGTAGCACTTACATCACTTCATCCTTTACATCCCTGTCATCTTTTCATTTCTACGTTCATTTCATCCCTACATTCTTTTCATCTCTTCATCCCTTACATCCCTACAGTCCTTCATCCCTTACATCCCTACAGTCCTTCATCCCTTACATCCCTACAGTCCTTCATCCCTTACATCACTGCATCCTTTACATCCTTGCTGTCCTTCCTTTACATCATTGCGCCCTTACATCCCCACAACCCTTAAACCCCTTATCCCTTATATCTTTCACATCCGTCATATCCGCAAGCTCTTTTTGAGCAAGAAATCGTTACAAATTTAGTTCCTTTTTTTCCCGCCAGAGGGTGCTGTTTCGAGGACGAGATTTTAGTTCACATTTTTGCCGCCAGAGGGCCAAAAATCGAGCAAGATTTAGTTCCTTTTTCCGAAACCAGATGGCGCTGATCGGACATTGAGATTTTAGTTCGCATTTTTGCCGCCAGAGGGCCAAAAATCGAGCAAGATTTAGTTCCTTTTTCCGAAACCAGATGGCGCTGATCGGACATTGAGATTTTAGTTCACATTTTTGCCGCCAGAGGGCCAAAAATGGTGCATGATTTAGTTCCTTTTTCCGAAACCAGATGGCGCTGATCGGACATTGAGATTTTAGTTCACATTTTTGCCACCAGAGGGCCAAAAATGTTGCATGCTTTAGTTCCTTTTTCCGAAACCAGATGGCGCTGATCGGACATTGAGATTTTAGTTCACATTTTTGCCGCCAGAGGGCCAGAAATGTTGCATGCTTTAGTTCCTTTTTCCGAAATCAGATGGCGCTGATCGGACATTGATATTTTAGTTCACGTCTTTGCCGCTAGAGGGCCAAAAATTGAAAATTCAAAAATTCAAAAATTCAAAAATTCAAAAATTACTTACCTTTACTTACCTTTACTTACCTTTACTTACCTTTACTTACCTTTACTTGCCATTACTCGAACTGGTTTTTGTAATATATTTATTATAAGGGTTGCAGGGACATAAGGGATGCAAGGGATACATAAATGTAAAGGATGGCGCGATGTAAGGAATGCAGCGATGTAAGCGGTGCAGGGATGTAAGGGATGCTGGGATGTACATGGTACAGGGATGTGAGGGGTGCAGGGATGTAAGGGATGTAAGGAAAGCAGAGATGTAAGGGTTGGAGGGATGTAAAGAATGGAGGGATGTAAGGAATGCAGGGATGTAAGGAATGCAGGGATGTAAGGAATGCAGGGATGTAAGGGATGCAGAGATGTAAAGGATGGAGGGATGTAAAAGATACGGAGATGTAAGGACGACAATGATGTGAGGGATGCAGTGCTATAAGGATAAGCTCATAAAAAGAATGAAGAAATAAATATGTGCCAAGGGAGGCCTTGGTCCTATGGATAAGTAGGATAAGAAATAGTTAAGAGGAGGATAAGAGGAGTGGGATAAGAAATAGTTAGGGATCGTGGGTCTTGACCCATAAAGGAGGATAAAATAATTAATAATTGAAAGGTCTTGGCCTATAAAGAGGGAAAATTATTATACTGGTTGTGCCCTCTACGTACAATCCTGATTTCATCCTGGGGTGTCAGAGACCCCGAAGCACTGGTGACGCTCTGTACATACCGACCTGATTCCATCCTGGAATCTGGCGTCTACAGATCGAACAAAATTGGACATGCCTTTGTTGCTAAAATATGGTAAAGCTGAGGTTGAAACACTGACAACAACTGAAATGAAAAACCGTATCCAATCTTGTTGAATCTGTAGTCACTAATGAAGTCTTGTTCAAAAATTCGACCGCTACGCTATCTATTCAAAGACGGCGGAAACTGCTCGACAGCTTCCCGACCGAGATTCCGGAGCAAGTTTGGCTGTTGTCGGCGTCTGTAATAAAAAGGATTAGACATCGATTTCAATTTTATCAAACAAAATGATTGTATATGCATTCGTTTCTTGTCGTTCCAAACGGGAAGTTTTGAGAACTGCTGCTTTCCCCATACCAAAGCAGTAAACAAAGTAACTAATGGAATAAAACAACGTGCAATAATATTGACAGTTGTTAACAAATATCCGTAACGTTTCAATATCGCTACTGTCTTATTCTATTTTGATTTGATAACACAAACGAGATAGAGGATAGACCTTCCATCTACGTTTCTACAAATATATAAAATGTTTATCGATAGAAAGAAATGATTAAGATTTGCAATGCTTGCAAAATATCCAGTAGATAGCGTATGTGTTTGATCAGACCGGCGCATAGGAGAGACGGAAGAACATATGTTTAAGCAGTAACGCATGCGCAATCATTGCTTCCGCGACGTACCTAGCCATCTTTCCAGTCAAGCAAAAGTGATTGTTTTCAGCTTTAGTCTTATTTAACGGAACTTTTATTAATGTCAGAGCCACAGTCCGCGCTTCTACTACGAAAACAATTAGCAGGTACCCAGCAAAAACAGTATAAGTGCTAAGTGTGATCCGTGCCGTAAATTCAGGCTCGACGAAAAGCCGGAACCGTTCTTATACTCCAAACTCGTGCGATCTCGTCATCGTCGTGCTTCGACTCTCGGGATTGGCTTTGTGAACATTTTTTCTCCTGAGATATCAGTTTCTTGAGACCTCTATAACCTTATGTGAGCACCGATTAAACCTACCGTTATCACACGTTGGCCCTGCGCCTGATTAGGGCGTGAAAATCAATACGGCTACGGAACCGTTGTGTGCCTCCCATGAATAAGTTTAACCTAGCATTCAGTATCGCATTTACCCGTTCGTATACTCCAGTTAAATTGGATTTGTCTCGTGTGTGGTTTTCGTGTACAGCGAAGGCCGTTTTCGCTGTTACCGAAAATAATTGCAGGCAACGTTATTTATAGCAATTCGCGCGTCACCGTATACGACGCGGTTTCGACTAAAAAAAAGAGACAGAGAAAACCATGCCGTGCAACGACCATCGAAGGTCAACCGTCTTTGGGCCACTTTTATATTACTTTTGTCCAATAACCGAAGCAACAAAATACTTGAAAATTTCTTTCTTTAGTCTTTTAAGTATCTTCCTTTTGTCTCATAATGAAGCTTTGTGCTTTAATTTTATGTAAAGTGATATTCTAGCACTTGCCGATTAACCTGTCGGTGCTTGACGGTTATTGAATGATTCGATTTAACCTAACCTATAAACATTAAATGACAAAAGTTTTCGAAATAATATGTAACGTTGTGTTAACGGTTTTCTTTGAATGTTTTCATTGTCATTGGGTCAAAGTATGACTGATTATATGTTCAAACGGTTCTGTGTTTTTTAATATGAGCAATACATCCAGTGTTTTCATATTGTATTATCCTCTTTGTTACATATGTTTGTAGTTTAACTTAAACTACTATGAAATTCTTTAAATTTATTTGCTTATATGTAAGTTGTTTTATTATATAAGTGATATTGTATTGAAATTTTCTTATTTTCTATAGAATTAAATAAAAACCCAGTAGAAGGGTTTTCAGCAGGCCTTATAGATGACAATGACATATATCAGTGGGAAGTACTCATTATTGGACCTCCAGACACATTATAGTAAGAAATCAATTTATTTAATTGTAATAAAATATGACATGATTAAGTAATCATTAATTGAGAGCAATGTATATAAATATTCTTTTATATTTTAGTGAGGGTGGGTTTTTCAAAGCACACTTACAGTTTCCAAAAGAATATCCACTTAGGCCACCAAGAATGAAATTCATAACAGAGATTTGGCATCCGAATAGTAAGTATTTTATTTAAATGAATTGTTATATGAATAAAATAAAATAAAGTTATATATAAAACTGTGTTATATTTTTAGTTGAGAAGAATGGTAATGTATGCATATCGATTTTGCATGAACCTGGAGATGATAAGTGGGGCTATGAAAAAGCATCAGAACGGTGGTTACCAGTTCATACAGTTGAGACCATTCTTATAAGCGTTATTAGTATGCTTGCAGATCCTAATGATGAAAGTCCTGCTAATGTGGATGCAGCCGTAAGTAGCATTGCAGAGATTTATAAGCATTGATGTCAGTTACTCAAGTCTTGAAATGTAATATAAATATGAAATTTTATTACTGCAGAAAGAGTGGAGGGAAAGTTACACAGAATTTAAAAGAAAGGTGGCGAGGTGTGTCAGAAAAAGCCAAGAGGAGTGTTTGTAGGAGATGAACAATTATTCAAATGGAAAGACTTATTTAATTCTGGTAAATTCTATAATTATTTATACGAAGTCAATTCAGATGTTTATTCTATAGAATTTAATAAACTTTTCAATTTCGTATAGGGATGCCGTAAGCACTGTAAGAAAGAAACCGATGCTCAGCATTAAGCTTATGGATAACAGTGCCACTAAAAACGGATAAAGCCTGACCCATTCTTAAACAGAAAAAGGGAGGCAGAGTGTGTGTGAAAAGAAAAGATAAAACCACACACTTCTATCAAGTTTATACCACCGCCACTGACGTACCATCCATCGATACGAAGAACATAAAGGAAATACATGCAGCTCACCTTTTACATAATAAACTAAAAAACTAATTTACACGTATACATAATGCAAAAAAATTATCTGTACGATTATTACCTTAATATTGATAGTTATGAACTTAACTTCCCAGTTCCTCCTGCTCAAAAGCTAGCCCCACCCTTCATACCTAAAAGCCCTGTAATTTGAAATGTTTATGTTTATCATTGAACGATAATTCCTTAGTGGCGTTTCGTATTTTCTTACTTTCGTAAATATATATAAATAAATTTTTGTAAAGTCAAGTTAAATGTAATGCCAGTAAAAAATAGAAACGAAATATATGTGAATCAACTGTGACACTGCGACAAAACATAATGTCGAATAAGCTGTACAATCGCGGCTATGTAAAGATATATGAAATTTCCGTTGAACCGTAAGTTGCCAAAATAACGAATTCTAATTAAAGTGATAATAATACTAATAACGATACTATTATTAGAAATATACTATTAATTACATTAATTACATTAGTAAACGTAACGTGAAATTGCGTACACTGCTACAAAGACTTTATGAACATTTTAAACCAGTGCCAGTTTGTGAAGTGACTGTTCGAGTGATTTTTTTTGTTGATATTTAAACTTGCGGTTCTGAACTATAGATACGTTCAAATTTCAAGAATTTTTTTGTCCAACTAGGTATAATTTCATATTGTCAATTAAATTCTACAATATGACAAACGACTATCTTGACATTGAACCTACTTTCACACAATTGTAAAATACTACTCACTAAACCTTACATAATGTGAGAGAATATTGTTAATAATCTTCAAAATTATTGGAACAAATTAATCCTCTTTTATACTGTGATTTAATTATTTACTCATACATAAATAGGTAATGATGTTTTATTTTTAATAGATGCAACGTATTTAAATAAAATTTGTTTTACTTCATATTTTTTTTTCTTTTGCAAATATTTGTATTATCAAAATTCTTCTTAGTGTATATTCTGCATAGTGTGATGCATAGTGTATTTATAATACAAAGAATTTAAATACTTTTATATCAAATGACAGAATAAAAAGAAAGATGTAATAGTATACAAGTTAAGATTCTGTACTATAATAACATTTGATAGTAAACATAAAAATAATCCTATACATTATCATTTACTCACATATTTTTTAACAGTACTTTAATTTTATGTAATGCTGTTAATATTTAATGATTATATCCAAGGTTAATAAACGTTTATCTGCTTGTACATAATCTTATGAAAGTTAAAGTTAAATATTAGTTTACTTTCATAATTTCTTTAATTACATTTATGATTATGAAAAACCTGAATTTCCAATTTACAGAAGAAATCATTGATACTAAAAAGAGCTATTATTATGAAACATTTAATAGTAAATAGCAGAAAAATATAATGATGGCTATTTAATTTTAAATTTATACATTATTGTTGAAATTTCGAAACTATATGTGGATATAGTAGATACCTAAACTATCGATACTCTGCATCTGAAATTTTTATCGGCAAATTGAGCATAGTTTTGAAAACTTGTTTACGTTGTGAGATATGTATGTATACCGCAGTTCACCAGAGTCCATAACTGCGAAAAGACCAGTTTTCGTTCTTCGCGCTTCTCTAGTGCGCATCTTCGCCCTGATTGGCGATACTCCCAAACGAAGTGGAAAGCGATTAGCAGAGAGCTCGCTGCGTTCCCCCACCGTCTTCCAACCTGCGCGTCGCAGTTATGGACTCTGGTGAACTGCAGTATACGTTATAAAGTCCTGCAATAATAATTGAATTTTTTTTTACAAAAACTAGACAATATTGTAGTTAAGAATAATAGCAAAATAGCTCTGCTATGGTTAGTAGGGTTTATGTTTCATTTTGCAATTATTTCCGTATTATTATCTATTCTGACGTGATTTCAAGATTTTTGGTTTGAATTAAACCAACAAAGATATAATTATGATCGATGAACAAGTTGTTTTGACATTACCTGATACACAAAACGCGGATTCAGTATTTTTGACTCAATCACAAGAATTATCACAGAAAAAGAATATGACGGTATGGGGAAGATTATGTCCAATTAAGTTACCCTTTAAAACAGTGGGTAAATATACACATTCATTTTACATTAATTATGATTTATCAGCATAATTTGTATAACACACCACTAATTACTTTTGTAGAAATGACCAAAAATATATATACACTTGGTCGTTCAGAGAGCTGTGATATTGCAGTCACTAAAAATGAGTTAAAGCCAAAGTGGCTTAGTGTAATGAGTAAAGTACATTTCAGAATAACTAGAGAATTTATTAATAGTACTAATGATGCTGTAGTTTATTTAGAAGATTTAAGTCAAAATGGGACTTTTATTAATAAAGAAAAAATAGGACGTGGGAACAAAGTAGTAATTGAAAGTAATGATGTTATATCTTTAGCACAACCAATAGTTACTGGTAAATACATTTGTTATTTCTTGTACAATATAAACATTTTAATATATTTACTTATGGTGCAACTTCTAATTATATTTGTTCTTGTTTATAACAGTTTATGTATTCATGAGCACAATAGCATTTGAAAATAATGACTTACCATTAGAACTCAAGAATAAATATGCAGTTTCACGTAGATTAGGATCTGGGGCATGTGGGGAGGTGAAAATGGTTTTTTCTAAAGTTGGCTGTAAAAAATTTGCCATGAAAACTATCATGAAAATGGGTACTGCAACAAATGGTCAGAAACATCCATTAAATGATCCAGACAAGATCTTAAATGAAGTTAAAATATTAAAAGCTCTGCAACATGTAAGTTAATATATATTTCAAGTTATCATAATTACTAGTAATTAGTAAATATTTTGTCCTTTAGCCTTGTATAATTAAAATGGAAGAAATTGTGGATACTCCAAGAGCAGTGTACATAGTTCTGGAATTAATGGAAGGTGGTGAACTTTTTGAAAGAATAAAAAGCAGAGGCAAATTGGGAGAAAAACATGCCAAATTAATCTTTTATCAAGTTGTATTAGCTGTTAATTATCTTCATGACTCTGGTATAACTCATAGAGATTTAAAGGTATCTGTTAAAATCTGTTATGCACAAAATTTTCCTGCAAAATAAAAATAATCTATAATTATCATTTAAATATAGCCAGAAAACATATTATTAGCTTGTAATTCGGATATTACATTAGCGAAAGTATCTGACTTCGGTTTATCAAAATTAGTTGATGCACAAACTATGATGAAAACTTTTTGTGGAACTCCGATGTATGTTGCACCCGAAATATTATCTACCATAGGACGTGGTTCTTACACGAATCAAGTATGTTTATTCATATAAAAGTGAACAAAAATGAAAAGCTTACATATTTTATAATGTTTTTGATTTTATCAGGTAGATGTTTGGAGCTTAGGAGTAATATTATATGCTTGTTTAAGTGGCTCAGTTCCCTTTAATGCCCAAAATAAAAATATCAGTTTGCAGGAACAAATAAAAAGAGGATATTATAGTTTTCCTGTTTCCAAATTTGGTGACGTTACTGAAAAAGCTATAGACTTGGTATAAGCACAATATTATTAACTTTGTAATATGAAATATCTTTAATTTCTAACAATATAATTTTTTAGATTAAGAGAATGATGACGACGAATCCGAGGAAACGTATAACAATAAAGCAAGTATTGTTACATCCTTGGTTACAAGATCGTGAACTTCGAGATACCGTGGATACATTAATTTTAAAAGAACATAATGAAAATATAGCACCTGAAAATAATTTCGCTAATATCCAGCGTAAAAATGAACAGTGTCAAAGTTTAATAAAACGTCCACGATTGGAATTATAAGTATAAATATATAAGATTAAGTAATATACAATTGATGAGCTGCCATTTTGAAGTTAATTATTACAGGTTGATTTCAGTAAATAAAATGATAAAGTTTTTCATTTTTGTAAAGGAATCTGTTCCAAAGGATGTTATTCAAATTATGTGAGCTCTAATTTATTTGTTACACGTATGTTTTTTATTACACAGAAATTAATATAAAATCAGAAATAACATACTCTACTATAATTCTTTAGATTAATTGATAGTGATATGAAATGTTATTACAGTTTAAACTGATTTAATTTACTAATGCAGTTATGGTATTGATAAAATTAAGTCTTATTGATTGTAAAGATATTTAGTAAAAAGAAGTATGGATGTATACCTAAATGTTGTTCAAATAGTTATTTAAAAAGAATTATTTTTGTACCTCACATTCTCGATCGCTGACAGTATTAAACGTTTGTTAAATATATATGTGAATATGTGTGATGTTTTTCTACGGAAAGTTAGTATGATAAAAGTAGCAATCTCCGTGTCAGGAAAATGACTATTGCGATAATTTGTTTACTTAAAACAAACAAGATCTTGTACAGAATAAGAAAAATAAATATATATACAATGACAAATCATTTCAAGAATAATGTTTTATTAATCAAGTTTTTTCTCTTCCTCGAGTCTATTCCTTCCTACACGGGTATATCTCGTCACCATGGCATGGATTTGGTAGCGAAGTATCCATTTCCGGTTTCTTTTTCTTAGTAAGTCCCGCTAACAATCGTTTTATTTGAGCTATAGCTTTTCCAGGATTCAAACCCTTAAAAGATCATTCATATATTTAAATATAACCATTGCAATTTTTATTCTTTATATAATATTTTATATTTTCTACCTTCGGGCATGTTTTGGTACAATTGAAAATAGTGTGACACCGATATACCGAGTAATAATCCCTCAATTTAGTAAGTCTTTCTTTGTGACCCATATCCCGTGAATCTACTATCCACCGATAAGCCTAAATGAAACAAGTATGCATATCATTAACAAATTAAGTAATTAAAGTTTGAAATACGTTTTCACAATATTTTGCATAATGTACCAGCAGAAGAGATGCTGGACCTAAAAACTTTTCACCGAGCCACCAATACGGTGGACAAGCGAACGTACAACATCCGCAAAGTATACAGTCGTATAAGCCATCCAACCTCTTTCTATCTTTTGGACTCTGCAATATTTGCCGTAAACCGATGAAATTTTCTTCTCCTGGACGCTTTAAAAATGGATCGATCTCCTCGTACTGTTTCAAAAAGTGCGACAAATCCGGTATTAAGTCTCTAATTATATAGGCGTGGGGCAGAGGATACAAGACTATAGGCTTCGGCGATTCCTTCACTTTTCTAAGAATAAAGAAGCAAGATAGTAATACGGTTTCATGATAAAAGTACTATAATAGCAATATTCTATTTTAATATTGCAACTTTTTTCTAAATGACTACAAGAAACTTGATCAAAAGGATAAAGATATTTCTTTCGGTTTACGTGAGGCAAGCCAAAGTATTGACTCCATTTATGTTCATCGCGCAAATTCCACAAATTCCTTCTCGACATGATCTTCGAAAGGACAACGTAGGATCGTATTCTGCTTTTATCAACGTCAACACGTCTAACACCATTGTACCACATTTATTTAAATCCACACTAAACTGTTGCATGTACGGTTTCACATTCTTTTTTTCTGGGTTCCAACGATATATACGGACAGTCTGGAGTCTTGGTTTTTCCTTTGGTAGTCGTTGCTAAAAATTAACCGATTTGTCATTCTATTTTTTAAACACATATTTATTCTCCTAAATAAGTTCGAAAAAATTGAACAAAGAGAAAGGATAGAAAAATGAAAAAGTATTGAGGTAGGTATTGTGGAAGACCACATTTATAATCGCTAACATCTAGAGGTATTTTGCATTCTTTCATGCTTTTCATTTCTGCATTAATGATATTTCCTTTATCCGATAACTGCTTCTCGTCTTTATTTCCGGCGCTGGACAAAAATCGATGACTTCTATAACCATTACTTCGACGGAGATACGTAATTGTACAAGACCAAAATTGGCTCGCATGACTGACGATTTTGTGGGTAAACATATTTATAAGAAAGTATTTTATGAGAAGCCTTTCATAAATGTCACGTCAGGCTACAATGGTATATTTCATTTTTCAAATCTCTCAACCATTTCGTTTTATAATGACCATATGATTCTTCGTTAGGATGGAAACAAAAGATCATCGTTTCGAAAGAACTTCATAGTTATTCGGAACGATTCAACTGCCAGAAAATGAAGATAATTAGTAATTTCAGAATTTAGCAAGATGTATTGATGAATTAAAATTGTTAAAATTCACGCAAAACAGATATACTAAAAGTTTATTGACGTAAATAAATTGATACGCGTGCATAACATCGAAGTTTTGCAATGATAATAAGCACCAATAAGCACTTGCTGCTATCTTTTCTTTTAAAGAATTTGTTATTTATCTTCGTGTTGTTTTTGTTCTGTAAAATCTGTGTATTTTATTTGAATAACTAGTTTTATTAATTTGTAAAATATTATGAAGATTATTGAGAAATATTGTATTAATAAATAACTTTAATAATCCAAAAGTAATTCTATCATGTATTTACTGTCCCAACACCCGTAAGTAATAGTTACAAAAATAAATTTAAATATGAAGTATGTTATACAGCATTAAATAATCTTTTCATGTTTTCTTAACGTTATAAATATTTATTTTTCCCAAATATTTATCCTATTGTGGAACTATTTATTTCATGATAAAGAATACTCTAAATATCGTGCTATGTATATAAAAGGTCAAAAGTTATCGCTCTGTATATGGGATATAATGGATTAACCCCCGCGAAGTAGTCTTTTCTTTATGCGAATCGGAATACATCAATTGCTTATTAAAAATCTTGTGTTTTAATATATGAACATACGTAAAAGCTGTTTGTTCATCTCAATTAAACTTATTACCACCTGTTGCTTCAGCTAAGGTATATCATTTTAATACAGCATACTTAATCGCAGAAAATTTCGTATCAGGTGTGATTTATTACAACAAAGTGAAGAAGTTAAGAAAATATACACTGGACAGACACCGATTAATCCTAATATCAAGAAAATATACAAGTTTCGTGAAATATTATAACCACAGAGGTTATAGGTTTACATAATAGATACTGTTTGTTGGAATATGTATATGCTAAATATAGTTTAACAATGATTAAATTATTTATTAATGTTTTGTACCTTTAGTACTATATGTATGGTTTGAGTTTATATGTAAACATTACAGTAAAGTTAATAATTTTGATTATATTATAATTTATAATGTTCTTTATTATAATTAATGGCAGGTTTTGTATTTTTAGACACTATGCAGTATAATGTTTTAGTTATTGGTGGTGGTGGTAGAGAACATGTCATTGCTTGGAAACTTTCACAGTCTCCACATGTAAGTATTATATATACATGTATAGAAAGGTTAATTTTAACAGTAATATAGTTTTTAATAATATTTTATCTTAGAGTTTATCTTTTTTTAGGTAAATAAAATCTATGTTTCTCCTGGGAATAGTGGAATCTCATTAGTTAATAAGGTTTCTTTAGTAAAGTTAAATGTGAAGGATAATAAGGTACATTTCATATTATTATGGAAACATTAATGGATACATGAATTACATGAAAGTTCAACAAAAGCTGTCTACTTTATAGGAAGTAGCAAAATGGAGCAAAGAAAATGATATAAATTTAGTAGTTATTGGACCAGAAGAATATTTAGCAAATGGATTAGCAGATGAATTAAAAGATGTAGGAATTAATTGTTTTGGCCCACAAAAGGCAGCTTCTAAAATAGAAGCTGACAAATATTGGGCAAAAGAGTTTATGGACAAACATCAAATCCCTACTGCAAGATGGAAAGGATTTGTGGATGCTGTGGAAGCAAAGAAATTTGTTGTAAAGTAAATGTGAATTTTTATTTAGATATATGTTCTTAAAAGAAAGCTGGTACATGTATAATAATTTCTTATAGTGCACAATTTCCAGCACTTGTAATCAAGGCTTCAGGTTTAGCAGCTGGGAAAGGTGTCATAGTAGCCAAAGATCAACAAGAAGCATGCAATGCGATAGATGAAATTTTAACAAACAGAAAGTTTGGATCTGCTGGGGAGTCAATAGTTATAGAGGAATTATTAGAAGGAGAAGAAATCTCTGTACTTGCATTTACAGATGGTATAATATTAGAAGCTTTAAATAAATTTTTGATCAGACTTTATTAAATTAAAACATTTTTAATCCATAGGAAAAACTGTTGTACCAATGGCACCTGCACAAGATCATAAAAGAATATTTGATGGAGATTTGGGGCCAAATACTGGTGGCATGGGTGCTTATTGCCCATGTCCTTTGTTAAATCAAACAGATTATGATTCTGTGAAATCAAATGTTCTGCAGAAAACAATTGATGGTCTTAGACAAGAACAAATACCATTTGTTGGTTTGTAACATGTAGTACATATATATGTATAGTTGAAAAAATAATTATAACATTACAAGAAATTTGTGTTAAAAATGTAGGTGTCTTATACGCTGGGTTAATGTTGACGCGAAATGGACCGAAAGTGTTAGAATTTAATTGTAGATTTGGTGATCCAGAAACGCAAGTAGTACTTCCGCTACTGAAATCAGATTTATTTACAATTATGAAGGTAATTCATATTGTAATATAAAACCCTTTAGCCAAAATTAATTTAATTTATATTGATGCAGGCTTGTTGTGAGGGTTCTTTAGTCGAATCTCAAGTTATGTGGGAAGAAGATGTATTTGCCGTGGGTGTTATTTTGGCTTCTCGAGGATATCCTGCATCGTCGTCGAAAGGCCAAGTTATAACAGGCGTCGATAAAATTTCGAGCAAACCAAATCATTTTGTTTTCCATAGTGGAACAAGTATTTCTCCTGAAGGAAAATTGCTAACTAATGGTACATCTCTATTTCATCGATATTACGTATAAATAGATTTAATATTTTTCATTCAAGAAGATTGTTTTTACTAGGAGGAAGAGTTTTAATTACTGTAAGTGTACAACCATCGTTAGCTGCGGCTGCTGCTACAGCAACATATGCTGCACAAAGCATATCATTTGAAGGGAAACAATTTAGAACCGACATAGCACATAAAGGAATCGCAAGGTATGTTGCGGATGTGATATACGAGATGAAAAACAATGTTAATCAAGCAATGGTTTTAGGTCTATCTTATATCACGGCAAATTAACGTATAAAAGTAGCGGAGTAGATATAGAAGCTGGAGATTCATTAGTTTCAGTCATAAAACCAGCAACTGTTTCGACTCAGCGTTTGGGTACATTGGGTTCAATTGGTAGTTTTGGTGGTTTGTTTGATGTAAAAGCTGCTGGTTATAAAGATCCAATTTTGGTATCTGGTACCGATGGTGTTGGTACCAAATTGAAGGTAATTTTATATTTACATTAAACATCGTTACAATTATGATTGATTTAACGTATCAAATTGTAGATAGCATTTGAATGCAACAAACATGATACGATAGGTATAGATTTAGTAGCGATGTGTGTAAACGATGTGCTTGCACATAATGCAGAACCATTATTTTTCCTCGATTACTTTGCTTGCGGCAAACTAAACATTTCTGTAGCTCGCGAAGTTATAAGTGGAGTTGGTGAAGGATGTAAGAGAGCTGGATGTTCATTAGTAAGTACACATAGTTTCTTTGTTTAAAGATAAATATAAAGATTACTATAAGAAATAAAAATATTTTTAGATTGGCGGGGAAACAGCAGAAATGCCTGATATGTATTCTACCGGAGAATACGATTTAGCAGGATTTGCTGTAGGCGCGGTTGAAAGAAATGATTTACTTCCGCGCATTGATGATATCGAAGAAGGTGATATCGTAATTGGTCTTCCATCAAGTGGAGTACACAGCAATGGATTTAGTCTTGTGCGAAAAGTTCTAAAGTTTGCAAGTAAAAAGTATTCGGACAGAGCACCTTTCTCTAAAAATAGTCGCACAATTGGTATTGTTTTCTATTCTTTTCTTCTTTGTAGTATACCTTAACTCATAATCATAAAATTAATTTATTCATATTTGCTATGCATTAAAGGAGATGAATTGTTGGAACCGACAAAAATATATGTGAAAGGGGTAATTCCTGTTTTGCGAACGAATTTAGTAAAAGCGTTTGCGCATATTACTGGTGGAGGTCTTACAGAAAATATACCGAGGGTTCTACCAAAAAATATGGGAGTTGTGTTAGATGCAACAACGTGGAAGATTCAACCAATTTTTGGTTGGCTATCAGCTGTTGGTGAGAAGTTATTCAAAGTGTACCGTAAATTACGTTGCTACTATTTCATTAATACCTTTTTTTTCAAAATTATTCTTCAGGTGGAATTAATAAAGAGGAAATGTTGAGAACATTTAATTGTGGTATTGGGGCTATCTTAATTTGTTCAAATAAAAATAAAGATGAAGTTTTACTTAAATTACAAACAGAAAATCCTAAAGTTATTGGATACACGAGTAGTTACAAAGGTAAGATTCAACTGATATGATTTAAATATGATTTGATCTATATTATGCGTATTAAAATATTTCAGATAGTAAACTCAGAGTAAATGTTAAGAGCTTTGAAAAAGTGTTAGAATTGGAAATGAAACAATACATACCGGGCATCATTTCAAGATTAAGTAAACATTTAAAAAGAGTAGGTGTTCTCATATCTGGTAGCGGAACCAATTTGCAAGCGTTGATTGATGCGACTCAAGATCCATCACTACATATTGGCGCTGAAATAGTCCTAGTAATATCTAATAAGCCAAATGTGGAAGGACTTAAACGAGCTGAAAGAGTTGGAATTAAGACAGTGGTAATTAATATTCTTCCAATTTTACCTTCTTTGATGTGCTATAAAATATCCATATACCATTTATGTTTAATGTATGATAACAGGTTATTAAACATACTGATTATCCTACAAGAGAAGCTTTTGATGAAGCAATGAATGTAGAACTTGATGCTGCTGGAGTTGAAATAGTTTGTCTTGCTGGTTTTATGCGTATTCTGTCAGACAGTTTTGTTACTCGATGGCGTGGTGCTTTAATAAACGTACACCCATCATTGTTACCATCATTTAAAGGCGCTCATGCACATGAAGATGTTCTAGCAGCTGGAGTACGCATTTCAGGATGTACAGTACATTTCGTTGAGGTATGAAACATTTTTAATAGGATCAATATTAGTAAAATACTTTCTTTATATATTCAAAAATATTTGTTACAGATTGATATAGATTCTGGAGCAATTATTGAGCAAGCAGCAGTACCTGTATTACCAGATGACACTGTAGAAACTCTCCAAGAACGAGTGAAAACAGAAGAGCATCGTATCTTTCCTCTTGCTTTAAAATATTTAGCTAACGAAAAAATACAATTGAAAGAAGATAATTCAATTGAATGGAATTACTAAACTCAAAACTTGATTTAATTATTTCAGTATAAATAATTCTTGCTCATTTATTTACTTTTATTAAGACTAATTGTTCAAGATAAATAGCTAAACAAACATAATTCTGGGAAGTACATCTATTGTTTAAGGCAATTTTTTATTGAAAATTGAAAATATAAATCCAAATATGCTGTCATCTTTGTTAGCAATAAAATTAGAATCTTTATTTTTTGAATCAGAATACTTTTTCATTTTGTTGGGTGCTATAGCAAGTGCTTCTTTCGCGAGATCGTCTAATTTAATATGACACATTTGTTTCTGAAGTACAGGCACCAATAAGTTGTATTTATCAATTTTATTATTTATTTGTTTTATTGTAGATTTATATTCATCTAGAATATTATTCCAAGTTTCTTCTTCTTTAAAATCTAATGGAATAGGACCCACGTTATTTCGCGCTTCTGCTAACTGTTTTTGAAGATCTTGTATCTGTTCTCTAATTTCCTTAGATAACTGTATCCATTCAGGAGTGAATCCATTTTCTATTAATATCTGTAATTTAAATATGTGGATTATTGTCTGTAAATTTTTAAGAGCAAGCAACTTTTCATACCTCATTCAATTTATACGTAACAAAATCAACGTATGGATTCCGGGTATTTATATTTTCTTTTAATGGTTTACCCATGCCTGGCAAATCTTTGAATTCACCTTTATTCATTGCTTCTTGAATTAAATCTTCCACCAGACGATCCATACCTAACCGTGTTTTAATATCTTTTGCGCGTTGTTTATCCATCCCAACTAACGTGTTACGTTCTTCAGCTTGTAATTTTTTTAATCTATGTTCCATTACATTATCGACAGCTTTTTGAGCTTTTTCTATAGTATACCATTTTTGTCTTTTACTAGGGGTTCCAACCCCTACATTATATGCTAAATAATGACGATGTTGCGGTGCAGTATGCTGCAAATACGTACATATATGGTTAATGTTATATACTGAAATAATTACATGATTTAGTATAACATACGTACTCTAATATCAAATTCCTCAACTTCAGGTAACTGTGCATTATTTTCTTTCTGTTCCATTCTTGCTTTTCTGATCTGTCTATAAGCATTTTCAATCTATGGAAAGCAGAATTGTACATTACATTACATTACACTACATTACATGATTTTCAATCAAAATATTATACCTCAGAAAATTTGACTGCATTAGCTTCTGATGTACCACTATCCGGATGAAATCTTTTTGCTAGATAAACAAATGCTAGCCTTAATGCTTCATCTTCACAATCTTCTGAAACCTCTAGAGCTTGATACCATTTTTTAAGTTGATGTTTAGATCTTTTTATATACACAAAGTCCACATATGGACTACAGAGGGAATTTACAAATGATTTTCCATTCAAACTGTTAAACTTAAACATGATTTCTAGAAAATATGTAATACCTTTTTTATTCGCTTACGTAATTAATCGTTTTGTAACTACATATTAACTACTGTTTCTAAAAACGTTGTTAACAACAATTAAATAACCTAAGCAATTTTGCATTAACATTATTACATTAATTTTATATGTCGGGTAAACGCACCTACGTGTTATTACTAATATTACTACGTGTTAAACTATAAATAATAAAATTTGTATATTATTCTACAACATTTAGAACGTAAAATGTCATCGTGACATTGACGTTTCAAAATATGCCTATGTGAGCATATATAGATGCAGTATCATGTGATAAGTTCGTAAAATCAGCTGTTTATTATATAATAATCATTCGTTCATAAATAATATAATTAGTATTTTTTATTCTATAAATATATTATTCTAAAATTTACAAATATTCGCGCATTCTAGTAATAACAGGTGTGCGTTTTTAGGGAAGGAGTGTTGTATATACCCTTTCAACACTTTCAGAAAGTGTTAAAATGTCGTTTGTATTACACATACGTGCTTAGAAAAGAAAACAGATGTAAATCTGCAATAATATTGTAAATTAAGAATTGAAAATTACTACAAATAATTGTATTTAACTTTAGAATAGTGGATTTATTAGTTCTGATTATCAAATTTTGAAATTACGAATAAGATCAATCGTTCTTTTTATATCAGATTATTGATAAATTGAAGAATATTAAAATATTTAATGCAACGACAATAATCATACACATACGAATGAAAGCGGATGTGTATGTATTTACAATACACCATGAATATGCATAAACTAATTAATCTTGAATATTAAAAATTATAAATAATGGCGGCATCGATACAGGCGAGCAGTAATAACACCTCTTCGAAAGAACAAAACGACATAAGAATTTTAACGCCTATTTTTCACATTAATTCAACAAAATCATTGATTCGTAATCAGAAATTTATAAAGGTATAAATATGATTATTAAAATTAAATATTTGTATACCATGTATGCTTTAAACTGAAAATGAAATATATTACGTAATCAGTATAATGATAGTCTATTATAAATAAATATGTTACAAATTAAAAACAGTTTTTAAATACAGGACTTGGAGTTTGCAAAAGCACGGTTGAGGACTTACGCTGCATATACGCCAACTGATCAAGAATTACAACAACGTGCAGCAGATTACCGAAAATATTTTCAGAAGTCTATCCCGAAGTTTAGTACCTCGTAATAATGAATTAACTTCCTATTAAAAGCGAAGAATATTCTTTCAATATGATAACTCGAGCCGAACGAACAAACTTTCAAGTGAAAAGTTTGTTGATCGTTAGGATCGATGGATCAGACTGATAATTCAAACGCTGTCATTAGATTGACAATAAGAAAATATAAGAATTTGTATTGATCGATACCCTTTTTGAAAATAAAATTCTTTCATCTGAATTGTTACGTAATTTTATAGAATAAAGAATGTTGCATACTTACAATAGAATGATGTTATTCTAATAATTTCTATGGTACAGAACAATAGTTCTAATAAGAATAAAGAATAAAAGAACACGTAGTCAAGTACGAACAGTATTCACCTGTTGAAATGGAATATTCATGTTCATTTTCTACGTGTGACGACATTATCATCGCTCGTAATTACTGACACGCAGACCGTATATGTACGATAGGATAACTTCGTTCAGGAGTTACCTGATAACGACCTAAACTAATAATTCGTCAAAAACCTATGTAATACCTCTGCGTTATATTTCAGACAAGCATGAATTTATATTTTGACCTTTGTGGAAATATTAAAATATACTGGTATCATTTAATGCGTTTTTTTTGTGGATTAAATTGAAACATTCGGGATGACAATTATGATGCAAAAGCGTATCAAAAAAAATATATAACACAGCAGATATTTTAAAATACTGTAAATTACTTTAATAAATCTCTCCCTCAATCACACTATACCGATCAAAAATTTAAGAAGAACTGATACATAACAGCTGCAACGAATAAAGTCCTGCTACATAACTTTATATTTTTACGTGGTATCATTTTACCAATTGAATAAATAAATTGACATTGGTAACTCTAGATTTGATCGTTATAGGGATCCGATGAACATCTGTATCAATACTTTCTTTATCTTTCGTGTATTACTTCTTTTGTCATTTAATCCGAGCGATAACGTTATTTTTTGTAATCTCAAAAAATGTTATAATTAACAATAACATTTTTAGGGGAATAACCGAAGTAATAAGTTTTGTAAAATGTTTTTTTATTTGCAATAAATAATTTGTCGTAATAAATTATAGACAACAATCTTATGCTTAGGCGTATTACAATTCGACACTTGCTATTATTAAGTACAAAATAAATTTTGTTAATATTTCAAAAGAGTTGCAACAAAATAGAACGTAACGGTAGCCTAATTTCACCTTGAGGTCATTTACTATCGAATTATGTATGAAAGCATAAACTGATACAAGTTTACTGCGCTGCATTACTGGGTCATTATAGTATTATCACCGTTGTCAACCGAACGAAGTAGCCATTAAAACAATAATGCATCTATAAATATTACAAAATAAGCTTCATTGCTTTTTTTTACACAACATTTAAAAGATTAATTAATTCTTTTGAGGTATTTGTAACTCGCGACGCGCACATAAATTGGGAAGTAAAAAATGGAAAAAACCAATATTGTTATTAAAATATCTGTAAAGTTGTTCTTTTGAATAAACAAGTTGATGCATTTGAAAATACTTTCATTTTATTACTATTTAAAAAAATAGTATATTTGTATTAAATAATTTTTAATGATCAACATTAACTTTAAACATACGTATAAAATATTTCGTTATAAATTAATGTTACTTTTGCTAAATTAAATTAGTTCATTCAAAGTATAAGATGTTGCTTTCAAGTATCTGTATATAATACATTATGTAATACATACAAAATACGAAATTAATTATTAAAATAATTAATATTTAAATTAAATACTTCCACTAGCTAATATAGCTTGCATGAAACTAATTTTTACCATAACTGTTGTTTACTTTTATGATTTCCATCTAAATTTCTCTATCATTAAGTATTTATAAAATTATTAATTATAGGTGCAATCCTCTCAGGATTATTTAAATGTACATGATGAGTTCCTTCCACTTTATGATATTCAAATCTTTCAGCACCTATTTTTATTTGATTCAAAACTTGATCATAACTTTCAGGAATATCAAATTTCATTCCAGGCACAGCACGAATATTAAGATAAGCGCATTTAATTCGTGCGGCATATGCAAGTACTAAATCCAAAGATAATGTACCCAATGTAGAAACCTGAATAATATTATAAACACATAAAACATAATGTATGTATTGTAAGTCAGTAAAATAGTTATTACCTTTAACCTTGGATCACGCGAAAAGAAGTATCGCTCAGGTACAGAGGAATGCTGCATACCACGTTTCATTAGTATCATTGCACTTTCTTTAGTTATAGAACCACTGTAAGCTTGTTCTAATATATCAAGCACTTCTTCGTACGTGTAAGACGGAATATTATCAGATTGCAGTAATTCATATTTTAAAAATTTATCGATTATGTCACCGGTGATGGTAGGAGTTTTTGTTATGTCTTTTACGCTCGGACTTGCAATGTCTAAACTTATCATGAACTCTACTTCATCAGGATATGATGCAGCATAGAGAAATGATATTGCTCCTCCCAAAGAATGTCCAAGTAATTTCACCTATGACAGTAACAAATAATTAATTGCGTAATAAAATATGCTCAATTGAAAAAAATGTAATAAAGTGTTAGCACAAACATTGATATTATTAATTAAATTAATTTCTTAACACAAACATACATTTCCGATACCATTAATTTGTAATTGACACAATGAAATTATCACTGTGTGCTAGTGAACTGAAAGTACAATTTACACTATACATTTTAATTTCATTACACGTGTATATGTCTCTTATATGATGCATAATTAAGCAGTGCAAACTTTCAAGGGTGACTGTTACATTATCTTATAACAAATCTTAGTGCATTTAAATTATACAAGGAGTGGTAAAATTTAATCCACTCGCTAACCTTATTCCAACTGAAATACTTGACAATTCTACGTAGTAGAATAATACCATCCCAGTAAACATAATAGTATTGACTCTTTGGATAATGGGAAGATAAACCATGACCAGGCATATCCAAACAAAGTATTGAAATCTCATCAGATAATAAAGGAATCAAAGTGTCAAAACTGCCAGCATTGTCTTGACGTCCATGAAGTGCCACTATTGGTTGGATCCCAGTGGGACCCCACCATTTGCCTGAAGGTGACAATATTATGATGAAATGATTATTTAGAAATTCTAAACTATTGATAATAACCATTTTAAATATGTCACTATGAATATTAATAATTCCCAAAAAGAGAATGTCTTTTAAAAAAATTGTTAAATGAAACAAAGTTGTAGCTGACTTACAAAAATTTGTTGTAATCTCAAAAATTCATCTCCAATTTATAGTTATACAACGATATTAAACAATTTGTACTTTTTATTTTGAAATATGATCTGAATCGCAACAATAATGATGAAATATTGAGACTAATACTGAGTGTAACAGTCAACCTTGTACAAAATAAATTTAAGAATGGTTTCATACCTATTAGAACTGCTTATAACTATCAATCATTATTTTCATCTGGAGATTTTTAATTGAGTATCAAAATTATAATTAAACTTATTAGTTGTCAAATATAAGAAGAGTGACAATTAATATGTAAAGATCGTTGTATAACTCCTGTTTGTTAGCTAACCTTGTTCCACTTGTAATGTTTAACAACTCTACGGAGTGCAAAAAGCCCATCCCAAAACATATAATAATATTGTCCACTAGGGAGGTGGGATGAAAAACCATGACCAGGCAAATCTATGGCTAAAATGGATACATCTGATGGTAATAATGTAATTAAAGTATCAAATGTCCCAGCATTATCTTGCCAGCCATGTAATGCCACTATCGGTTGCTCTTCCATTGGTCCCCACCAAATGCCTAAATTTATTATCATTATACTAAGGTAATTTGAACAATCTTTTAAAGTAGAAGGTTAAAAATAACTTTATGTGTATGTTTTCAATCACAAAAAGGAATACATTGAATTACAACATTTACTGACCGCTTATGTGACCCCATGGCACAGGTATCTGAATTTCATTTACACCTATAAATTGGTATGATTAATAATAAATTAATGTCACAGTGAAAGTACAGAATATAAAATGTTGACTTACTAGGTGCTTTATGTCCATTTATATTTTCAGTGGAAGCACTATTCTTCTTAATTATACTCATTTGTCTAATGTTGAAATAATATTTTATGATTAAAAATCCTTTCGAGATTTCGGAGGAAAGATAACCCCACCTTTCTATATATTCTGTAAATTTATTCTGTAATTTGTCAATACACAACAAAATTTAGTAAAGCTATAAAGATGCCAGTCATTCAGATAGACCAAAGTGCAAATAATTATGCAATGCTAAATACTTTTATAAAATCAGCACACCTTGGAAAAAACGTGATCTTACGTCATTTATTTTTACCTACCTATATTATTTTACTAATTGTTTCTAAGTTCTGTTCCTACGTTACAATTTCTCAAATACTGTAATACAAAACTGCTTGCAATATTACTAAATATGAACTCTGTATGATCAGAATACAGAATGTGTTATGAAATAACAATAAGAATTATTAAGTATTTGCAAGTTTTCTTATAGTTGTCGATTTATAAATAATTACATAAAGTTTGATTTACGATAATCTATCAGTATAGTAGGATGTGACATAAAATGATAAGGGAGCTCTAGAGCCCCCGAGATGCAAGACACAAAAAAGCATTGGATAATAAAACTATTCTGTATTTCATGTGTGATTAATTGTTGAAGTGGAAATATGTTTTATACACTCACGTTAATTTATTAATATAAAGATGACAGAATATTAAAGAAAAAAGAATGAAATGGACAATGAACAATAGTACAATAGTATAAGAAAATATTTTAAAATATTTAAATGTATGGACTAATTAGTCCGTAAAATAATACGGTAAGATTTTTAAAATTATTAGTTGTAAATAAATATTAATACCTAATGATTCATAATAATTTAGAAATTTTATTTTCTTTCAGATTAGTTTTAAAATTCTCTACCTTTTTGCATTGTGAAAAAATGGAGAACACGGAATATATAGTAAAGACTGTGATTTATGCAGGAACAAAAACCATTAATTTTGTACCTGGAACCAAAGTATGCATAGATTTCCCTCAATATTTTTTATTCTAATTCGTTTAAATACAAATTTCAATTTATGTTAATCATCTAATAATTGCAGTTAGTAGTAAATTACAATTTTTAGGTTGTATTTCATTTTAAAACAACAAAATGTGATCCAGAGAAAACAGTGATAGATGATAGCAAAACTATGGGAAGACCAATGGAATTGGTCCTGGGCAAAAAATTCAAACTAGAAGTTTGGGAAGTTATTGTTCAAAAAATGGCATTAAATGAAGTGGCATGCTTTAGAATTAATAAAAGCGTATGTTTACATTAATATAAACATACATATTATATAGCTGAAGGTATACCTAATAATACTTGTTGCTTCAGCTAGTTACAGCATACCCTTTTGTGTCTAAAACTCTAAGAGAAGTTGGAATACCACAATCAGAAAAACGTAGTCATCATTGTTGTGGTGTAACTTTGCAAAATGAAGGAATTGGATATGATGATTTGAATGAACTTATTAAATATCCTCAAGATTTAGAATTTACAATTGGTAATCAATCTAAAATAATTATATTTTAAAACAATATTTTTCTTAACTCTACAGTTATATTTTTTTAGAACTTGTTCAAGTAATTTTACCAGATGAATATGAAAAAGAATCATGGCAGATGACTGAAGATGAGAAATTAAAGAGTATTCCAGAAATAAAAGAGAAAGGAAATGCATTATTTCAAAAAAGGAAATATGATGATGCTTGTGAAATGTATGCTAAAGGCATTGGAATATTGGAACAACTTATGCTTGCGTTAGTATTTTACATATTGATGTAATTTTTGTACTAGTTAATTAATACATCTGTATTACAGTGAGAAACCAAATGAAGAGGAATGGCTAGCTCTAAATAAGTTAAAAACTCCACTGCTTTTAAATTATGCCCAATGTAAATTAATTAAGAAGGAGTATTATGCAGTTATAGAACATTGTACTACAATTCTTAAGCATGATCCAGGTTTGTTGCTTTATACATTCATCATTTTGTATACATAAAAGTCCAGATATTAATATTTCTGAAATTGTTAGATAATGTTAAAGCACTATATAGGAGAGGTAAAGCGTATATAGGCGCTTGGGATGAAGAAAAAGCTATCAAAGATTTAAGAAGAGCAGCTGAATTAGATCCTGCATTACAAAGTACAGTTGAAAAAGAGCTACAGGCATTCTCTGCAGCCATTAAAGAAAAAGATCAGTTAGAGAAAAAGAAATTATCAAAATTATTTAGATAAATGAATATATGTTAAATCATATTTAAGCAAGCCGATCACAGTGCTCACTGTGAGTGTTTATATAGAATAAATATAAATATATCGATCACAGAAATCGATACCTCTTAAATTTGTATTTTATTATATCAAAGAAAATGATACTATTAGTGCCATCTAACAGTGAGCGAAACAGATTATCCCAAAAGAAAATTTCTTTATCGAAAAATAAAGAAACTACGAACTATAGCAATTCTCGAAAGCGTTCGATCGTCACAATTTATTTTAAACCTTAGAACCAATAATGAAATATTGTATTTCAATGCGGTGTGAAATAGGGGTGGTTATAGGACATTGGAATGCTCCGCCATCTAGCAGTAGATGGCTGATACTAGTGGAACTGAATTTTGCTAAGAACGGTAATCTTGGAACCTACATCGGGACTAAAGGATCGATAGATCCTTCCGAAGAAAAGAATCAGAATAAAAAAAATAGCGTGTTCGCTCGAAAAATTGATTTTACTACTTTACCCGTTAACCGAATCGTAGCGCTCAGCTCGATATCGTTTTCTAAAAATTATCATCTGATAAATGTTTAGAAAACGATATCGATTACCGGGTCACACCACGTGGAGGTGGCTACGATAGTGACCCACCTAAAACAATAAAATTCTCAAAAAGAGACAACATTAAATACCAATTTAAACGACAAAATGTTGAAACAGAAAATATAATTAACATCATAATTTCAGCAATAACTGAGAAAATAACAATTGAACAACAAAATGCTGTAATAGAAAAGATGATTATTAATATCATAGGCTCAGTAACAATCGAAACGGTAGAATACGGAAATAAAAAGCAACTAACATTGCAACCTCAGAACCATTTAATAAAAGAAACCAGAATACGAATGTATGATGTGAGAACATAAGATATCATTTACATATAAAATCAATAAAAAGAGAATAATTTCCTGAAATAAAATAATAACCTCCCTAAAATCATAAGACCCCCCAAAACAAACAACATAAAACTTTCAACAATAAAATGCTGAAATAGAAAATATAATTAATATCATAATTTCAGTAACAATTAACAAAATAACAATTCAACAATAAAATGCTGAAATAGAAAATATAATTAACATCATAATTTCAGTAACAATTAACAAAATAACAATTCAACAATAAAATGCTGAAATAGAAAATATCATTAACATCATAATTTCAGTAACAATTAACAAAATAACAATTCAACAATAAAATGCTGAAATAGAAAATGTAATTAACATCATAATTTTGATTACAATTGAAATGAAAAATGCCGAGAACAGAAAATATAATTACCATTACAATCTCACAGATATTTAATAAAATGAGAACTCACCCAGACTATGTTTTAAATAAATTGAACCTATTTAAAATGGGAACATGAAATATAATTGATGTGCAAATCAATAAGAAAAGAATAATTTATTTCAATAAAGTAATAAACGAAAAAGAAATAGGGGAAATAAAATCGCGAGTTGACCATTCAACGAGCTGGGTATTGAACTCGTAAAATTTCGAGTTCAATATCTTCTCGACGATATGTGCAAAAGGCACATACAAAAGAAAAACCAAAAAATGAAAAACAAATTAGCGAGCATAGTGACAGAATGACTGTCCATCCGAAGATGGAGAGCCATTAGTAGTTCCCCTCTTCTGGGCAAATTTTGCCGGGGCTCTTCAGCATATAGCCTCTTCTTTCTTCGGCAATAGCCTCACAAAAATCACTCGCGAAAATTTTACGTTTGCTCAGACATTTGTAAAAACGTAACACGTAAACGAGCAACGATCCCTTGAATCGCTACCCGCATACCTGCACAATTTTTGCAAATGTCCAAGCACAAAACACTTTTTAATTTCACTTCACTTCACTTCACTGCACTTTCACTTTAATACTTCATTTTTGTAATCGGGTCTAGTACCACGACTACGACTTACAAACTAATAAGGCTTGGCCTTTAAAAAAATCAAGAGAGAATGCTAAATTAATTAATTAATCAACTAATTAATTTGCATTTTCATTTTTCCTCTCGATTTTTTAATTTCCAACCCCAGATACAAGCTTCTCACGTATTAGAGGAGAATACGAAGAGAAACATGAAAGCTTGCTCTGGCCCTGCCTACTTATAAACTAAACTCAATCACACCAGAAGTAAACTACCTGCCTGCCTATCGCTATATTTAAAAAAGGGCAAAAATCATTCTCACAAAAATTCACTCCACGGTTCTCATACAACCACCCGGGTGCAAAAATGCCTACACCTAGAGAGAACGTCCCGGGACGCCTCCGACACCCGAGTTCAATTCAACTTTCACACTCTAATAAAATCATACCTTTTTGCTGAAATCGACTGACAAATAATAGTGAACATTATGCTAAAGTAACACATTTCATTTTCGTATTCTATTGAATTATATATTGTAAAAATTTTTCAATTTATTCTTGATAAGTATTTTGTAATGTTATAGTAAGTTAAGATTGTTAATAAACGATACAAATCCCACATCCTAACCACACACACACATGTGGAACTTCTATCGTGGTTCACTATTGGTTCACTACTTTTGTCAGTCGCCAAAATGTATTACACTTAAAACTAAACCTTGTCCACCGCCCTCCACCCACGCGAGTACATCTAAGTACCCGAATGAGCTTTGGGCATAAAAATGAACAAGGCCAAAGGTATTTTCACCTACCAGTTTTCTTCATGTGTGCTGAAATGCCTAAGCTAAAACGTATGATTAGCAAAAACTAAAGATGATATTCTCACTTTATTAAAAGTAAGAATATCGGCGAAATATCGCGGCTCCGATTTAGTATATGGGCTGGCCCCCCAGGGGGTTTTATTTTTAATAAAAGTAACTCGACTTTGCAAATATAAAGCTTGAAGAGCAAATACAGAAAAGCAAAATTGAGCAACTATGACATAAAACATGGTGCACTGCTAATATCAGTTGGCAACGGAGGTTCTTAGGCCCCCTGGACTTGCGCCCGACGCTACATACCACCCACCCCGCCTGGACGTCGTAACGCCAGGACAGGATGCACCCCTTCGCTAAGAGCGCTACCCGCCCGTCCAACACGTTGCATCCAACGGTGTCAGATTGACGGACGCCCATAGTATAGACAAAAGGACTACAGTTTAGAATATGGTAACATACTTTCATATGTTCCGTATTCTAAAGCTGCGCCTGCTAAGGCCTAGTAATGCATGGGTTTATCTCCCATGAGATGGTGTTTCACGGTCTTATGCCGCGGAATCCTTGTAACTAATTTGATTAAATAAATAAAATATTGGATTGAGTTTAAAAACCAAAAGGATTCCCACCAAATACTAGTCAGTGCATTGTCATATTTACCCTCGCGTTGAAAATTTTGCGCAACACTATTTAAACTTGAAAATTCTAACGGGGTAATATTACACTACACAAGCGTATGCGGGTAGATAAATGATTATGTGATAGAGTTCGTGAGGCTGAAGTGCGATTGATGAGCATTTAGGGTCGAGAACCGTGAACGTGACAGAATGAATTTCAAGTACGAAACAAGAGCTTTCTACAATGCTTGAAGAGCAAATACTGAAAAGCAAAATAGAGCAACTATGACGCAAAAATGGTGCACTACTAATATCGGCTGGCAACGGAGGTTTTCGGGCCCCCTGGACTTACGCCCGACGCTACATACCACCCACCCCGCCTAGAACAGGGTGCACCCCTTCGCTAAGAGCGCTACCCGCCCGTCCAACACGTTGCATCCAACGTGTCAGATTGACGGACGCCCATAGTATAGACAAAAGGACTGCAGTTTATTAAATGGAACATATGGATGTGCGCCACATTCTAAACTGCGCCTTGAGAGGCCTAGTAATGCATGGGTATATCTCCCAGAGATGGTGTTCACGGTCTTATGCCGCGGAATCCTTGTAACTAATTTGATTAATTAAATAAAACATTGAGTTTAAAAACCAAAAGGATTCCCACCGAATACTAGTAAGTGCATCGTCATAGTTACTCTCGCGCTGGAAATTTTTCGCAACACTAATTAAAATAGAAAATCCTGATCTAGCAACATCACTAAAGGGGAGCTTTAAATTATGCTTGAAGAGCAAATATTGAAAAGCAAAATTGAGCAAATATGACTCAAACATTCGTCCACTGCTAATATCAGCTGGCAACGGAGGTTCTTAGGCCCCCTGGACTTAAAGCCCTACGCTACATACCACCCACCCCGCCTGTTTAAGGCTCTAGGCCCAGGCAAGGTGCACCCCTTCGCTAAGAGCGCTACCCACCCATCGAACACGTTGCATCCAACGTGTTCGAGTGGTGGACGCCCATAGTATAGGCAAAAGGACTTTAAGACAGCTTAGCGTATGGGTTGCAACATACTTAAATGTTCCGTACTCTATGGCTGTGCCTGCAAAGGCCTAGTAATGCATGGTTTTATCTCCCATGAGGTGGTGTTCACGGTCTTATGCCGCGGAATCCTTGTAACTAATTTTATCATATAAAAACCAAAAGGATTCCCACCGAATACTAGTCAGTGTATAGTCATATTTACTCTCGCGCCGGAAATTTTTCGCAACACTACTTAAACTTGAAAATCCTAACGGGGTAATATTTCACTACACAAGCGTATGCGGGTGGATAAATGATTATGTGATAGAGTTCGTGAGGCTGAAGTGTGAATGATGAGTGTTTAGGGTCGAAAAATGTGAACGTGATAGAATGAATTTCAAGTTCGAAAGGGGAACTTTATACAATGCTTGAAGAGCAAATACCGACCCCCTTGGGGGCCAGCCCATATACTAAACTGATGCCAATTTCCCAAGTAAAATCGGAAAAACGTTTCAATTTCAAGAGCGATTTCGTTATGAAAGTAAGTAGTTATAATAATTAATAGTATTCATGCTTATTACTTTGATATTGAAATCCGCTCATCGCGAAATAAATTCTTGTACATATAAAAAAGAAAGTGTATTGTGAAGTCGGAGGGTCATCCGACTTCTCTACATTTTTAAACTCGAAATCTATATATGTAAATATGTACAAGAAAACCCTATCCTGAGCTAAGGCATAAAATACACAAAAAAGCAATTTGCACGATTATCATTGTATAAAATGATACAGTGATATTCGTGGGTCACTATGCTCGCTCAAAAAATAAAAATTACAACCAATTCCCGTGTCGCTACGGACCATTCGTTCTACGACATGATGGGAACCGGAGGAACTTTAAAGCATGCGACTCACCAATCGTTGACTTGCACCACTGTACTCGCCACGCATCTTAGATTGACTGTTGGCTCGTCAAAGAAACGGTACCCCCACTGGCCAAAGCACTCATCTGAAAGCATAAAAATCACGATTCTTGAACGATATATGTTTTCTCTCAATTTGTTGTAGTGAATATGCTAATACATAGGATAATTCAAAAATATGCATGCAAATCTAATGGGAATAACTACACCATAAAACACGGTAAAACACATGCAAATACATCCCAAAACACATAAGGATTAAAACCATAAAACACCGTAAAATATTTGCAAAATTATAGTAAAACACATAGGGTACCACTCCATAAAACCCACTAATAAATCCGTATAAATATGCCAAAACACATAGAGAACCACACCATAAAATACAATAAAGCACATGCAGGTACATGGGGTACCACACCACACGACACATTAATGCAATTGTATAAAAATGTCAAAACACATGGGTAACCACACAATAAAATGCACTAATATATCCGTATAAATATTCCAAAACACATGGGAAACACTATAGGAAACACGATAGGCACACATAGTAACACTTATGGTAACACACTGATAAATCCATGCACGAATATCTATGGTGTCAATCCGTACCGGTATATGTTTGACAGCTCGATCCGTATCCTTTGGCGGTCGCGATTAGACTGATTAGATTTGACCTCCCTCCGGGTCGCGCTTGTACCGGCGCGAGGCGCGCGGCGCGCGCAATCAGGCATGACGTTCCGCTTCACCGGTTCCGCAGATTTAACTATTTCTATCTGATATTTGTTAATATTTGTTTAATTATTATTTTATATTTTACAATTGTTTATTAATCAAATTATTGTTATATATATTTAAATTGTTTATTTCTTTAATTTTCACGTGGGTATATTGTAAAATTTTGTTTGATTATTTTATTCAAATTTATTTAATTACTATTTTTAATTTTACAATTATTTGTTAATTAAATTATTGTTATATCTATTGAAATTTATTATTTTTGTAACTTTTATACATGGATATCCAGTAAATTTGTTTGAATTATTTAATTTGAAGTAATTATTGTGTTTTAATATAAATTTGATTTTCATCAAATAGTTATTAAACGTTATACAATAATAAAGTTACAAATACTCTTCGATTCTTTAATTAATTTATTGCTTTTCTAAAATGATTTATTTTCCAAAGTAATTGAATTATTTTAATGATTTTTGAAAAGCAATTGAATTTACCGATACAAGGGAACACCGGCGCCATCTATTAAAATACAGCGGAAACTACTTGACATCTTACTAGTTGATAATTCAGTTTCGGGAAAATGGATCGATAAGTTGTTGAGTAGTTTGCGCCACTTTTGTATAGATGGCGCTGGGATCGAATTTTAAAAATATGTATGGCGGTCTTTTTGAAATACAAGTTTGCTAAACAATTATTTTAATCATTGTTCAGTCTTGTACTGATTTAGAATGATTTCTAAAAAATTGAATCTAAGAAAGTCAAAATTGCAATTAATTTAATTTTGCAATTAATTTATAATTAACATCTGACGCCACCAAAGGCTTCATAACTCCTCGAAAATAAAGTTATGTCCAGCCTTGTTGGATCTGAAACTGAAGTCATTGTCGACCATGAGTGTGACCGTCGATATGTTTGACATATGGCATATCTCCTTTTACATCATTCCAATTAAACGTAGAACATGGAATGTATGATTTTTTTAAAATACAAATCTGTGCAATTCTTTTTAAGGTAATCACATGCTTCTTGTCGAAGATCATGAAACGTTATTTGAACGTAACCTGAACCTAACCTAATACGATATTGGTGTTAACTTTAACATGTATATAAAACGTTTTGTAAAAATGATTTATTAAATAAATTGTTTCTATGTGTTGCATTCTTTTTTGTTTTTCATTTGTTGCTTGAATTATTTTAAAATATCGTTTATGAAAAAATATTGCATTCTGAAAAGTTATATTCATTTTACTTAAAATATGTGGAAATTAATGTTACTCAAATTTAGTACATTACTAAGTTCAACATTTTATATTTTTAGAAATAATAAATAAAAAAAAATTGCAAAAATGAAGCTAGTAGGAAAAAATATTGACAAAGATGGAGAAGGGTGAGAAACTTATTTTCAATAGTAAATTATAATATTAAAAATAAAACATAATGAAATATTGAATTAAAATGTTATTAGGAGTGTATCCCTTGTCCCTGAGAATACTGAAGATATGTGGCATGCATATAATGTTATTAGTGAAGGTGATTTTGTTAGTTGTTCTACTATAAGGTAAATATGTTAATATCGTTAATCAGTTACTATGGAACAAGTATCAGAAAACATATGTCATATTTAATGTCACATTTTTTATAGGAAGGTGCAAACAGAATCTGCAACTGGAAGTTCTAATAGCTATAGAGTTAGAACTACCCTTACTATATGTGTAGAAGGGATTGATTTTGATACACAGGCATGTGTTTTAAGATTAAAAGGTAGAAATGTAGAAGAAAATAAATATGTTAAGGTAATTTGATTTAGAATTATTCAGTAAAGTACAAAAAAGATGTTTAATATATTGCTGAAATTTTGTTTAGACAGGAGCATATCACACACTGGATGTTGAACAGAACAGAAAATTTACAATTACTAAAGCAAAATGGGATTCTATTTCTTTAGAAAGAGTTGATACAGCATGTGATCCTACACAGGTAAAATTGTAAGGATAAAAATAACAATAATTGTTTCAACAAAATACTATGTTTGATTTTAGAATGCAGATGTTGCTGCTGTGGTAATGCAAGAGGGTATAGCACATATTTGTTTAATAACTTCTAATATGACAATAGTCCGTGCAAAAATAGATCAAGTAATTCCTAGAAAAAGAAAAGGAAATGTTTCACAGCATGAAAAGGTTTCATTTATAAAACTATGTTTTATCGAATTCTCCTAAGTTTTCGTGATATTAATATATAACTTATTTTAGGGTTTAACACGATTTTATGAAAGTGTTATGCAAGGAATCTTGAGACACATCAATTTTGATATTGTGAAGTGCGTTATTCTTGCTAGTCCCGGATTCGTTAAAGATCAGTATATGGATTATATGGTACAGCAAGCCGTTCAATCAGATAACAAAATAATACTCGAAAATAAAAGCAAGTTTCTGCTTGTACATTCTAGTTCTGGTTTCAAACATTCATTGAAAGGTATATTAAGTGCTTTAAGATAAGTTAATAAAATACAGTAACTCATCGTTATATAATTTTTGGTAACAGAAATTCTGGCTGATCCTGCGGTTGTTTCCCGGATTTCTGAAACAAAAGCAGCAAGTGAAGTAAAAGCTCTAGAAACATTTTTCACGATATTACAGACTGATCCTCCCAGAGCTTTTTATGGGAAAAAGCATATTCAGAAAGCCAATGAAGCTCAAGCTATTGAAACCTTACTCATCTCAGATAAATTATTTAGGTAAATAAATTTTCCTCTGGTTAAACTTGATTTCCTTATTTGTTACTGTAACAATCATATTCAGATGTCAAGATGTCGCTACAAGAAAAGAATATGTTGAAATAGTCGAAAATGTGAGAGAATCTGGCGGGGAAGTGAAGATTTTTTCAAGCTTACACGTATCCGGTGAACGTAAGTTAGCATTTGGAATTTATTCAATCTTCAATTTTTGCGAACATGTATATTATATGTTTAATTACCTTTTATATAGAGTTAGATCAAATTACTGGAATAGCAGCTATACTACGTTTTCCTATGCCGGAATTAGAAGATGAAAGCGATGGAGAAAGCGATGTAGAGAGCGATGATTAAAAACGCGATATTAATACTTTAACGTACAACTTTGTATATACTTGTGCTGTGCGCAATCAAAAATATATTAATAACGAAATTGAAAACCAATTTGTTTGAATTTGACCATCCTTAATACTAAATACAAGCGCGTGAATTCTTTGCTGATTTTGAATGAAGTTAATTAGTTATAATGACATAAGGTGGCGCTGCTTTTTATGTTTTCACTACGATCAGTCTCCTCAAGTGTGTTTCTCCCATAGAGGAGCACGTGGATTCGTTTTCAATTTGTTTATTATATGCTAATGTATTTTTCATATTTTTAATTGTAAAAAGTTGCACAGCAAAATGGTCGTAATAGGAAAGAAGAAGGTATTCATTAATATTATTTACGATTTTTTTGACAGTGATTCTTGTGTAATGTCATTGAGGTTAAAAACATTTCCAGCACATATTACAGTATTAATTCTATGAAATATTATTTCAATTATTATTATCATTAAACTGTATCTTTTAATTTGCAGTATCAGTCTGGAGAGGGGGCCCAATTTATGTCAAGGAAAGCTGCTTTGAAGAAATTGCAGCTTTCCTTGAATGATTTTCGTAGATTATGTATATTAAAAGGTATATACCCTCGAGAACCACGTAATCGTAAAAGAGCCCAGAAAGGAGAACCTGGTATTAAAATATTGTATCACAAGAAAGATATTCAATTTTTAATGCACGAACCAATAATATGGAAATTGAGAGATTTCAAGGTATGTCAAATCAATTCATTACTATCATGATACCAAATATTACAGAATGAATAATTTAATAAAATGTCATATTTCAGATATTCAACAGAAAAGTTGGAAGAGCAAGAGCTTTAAAAGAATTTTCAGAAATGAAGAGATACCTGAGTAATCATCCTAATTTGAAACTAGATCATATTGTCAAAGAACGTTATCCAACATTTATTGATGCTCTCAGAGATCTAGATGATTGCTTGACTCTGTGTTTCTTGTTCAGTACTTTCCCATCTCTTAACCATATACCAAGAGATCAGTCATTATTATGTAGGAGACTGGCAGTTGAATTTTTACATGCTGTAATTAATGCCAAGGCTCTAAGAAAAGTGTTTGTGTCTATCAAAGGCTATTACTATCAAGCTGAAATTAAGGGTCAAACAATAACATGGATAGTACCCCATCATTTCTGTTTTGAACCCCAAGCAAGAATGGATGTAGACTTCAAACTCATGTCTATATTTGTAGAATTTTATATCATAATGTTAGGTTTTGTTAATTATAGGCTTTATCATACACTCAATTTATATTATCCACCCAAACTCAGTAGTGCTGGTAAGATGTTTTCCTTGTATATTTATATAGATTACACATTTTACTGTGATATTATATAAATGTTTAACATGTAGAAAATATTGAGAAGTCTCTTGTGGATGAAGATACATATGTATCTGAAAGGATAGCAGCACTAAATGTGCCACTAGTTAATCTAGATCCCTCTACCCAAGTTGCAGAGGATGAAGAAATGGAAATGGATCAATTCACAAATGTATGTATAAGAATAATATTGTGTTCTTTCCTTTTAAGATACATAACATATAATTATTTTAGGACGGTGATGCCACGAAACTAGAAGAAGCCAGATTAGAGGCAGAAAAAGTTAAAAAATTGAAAACCCTGTTTAAAGGTTTGAAAGTATTTTTAAACAGAGAAGTACCAAGAGAACCGTTAGTTTTTATTCTGCGTTGTTTTGGTGCTGAAGTATCTTGGGATAAGTTGCTTTTTGTTGGAGCAACGTTTGATGAAAGTGACGAAACGATAACACATCAGATAGTGGATAGACCTAGTATGACTAAACAGTATATTTCTAGGTAATATTTCGAAATCTTTTTAATTTTACTATCGATTTGTTCCCAATTGTTCTCTAATTATTATATATTTCTATAGATACTACGTGCAGCCACAGTGGGTGTTTGATTCGGTAAATGCCAGAGAATTGTTACCCGTGGAAAAATATTTAATGGGCTGTGTGCTTCCACCGCACCTTTCACCATTTTCGGACAGTCGTCAAGATCAAACATACATTCCACCAGAGGAACGTGCGCTTATGGATCCCGAGTTCAAGTTGACTGATGGTACACATTACTGTTTTTTCATAATAAAGCAACAGTAAATGGTAAAAAATGGACATTGAAGTATCTTATATTTTTTAGATAAAGAAGAGTCTGAAGAGGAATCAGAAAACGAAGAAGAAGAAGATGAGGAAAAAGATGTGGAGGAAGATTCAGACGAAGAAGTCGAGATGAACGAAGAAGATGAAAAGGAAAGTAAATCAGAAGTTCAACAAAAGCACCAACGGGATCGATTGCTCAAGGTAGAAAACCATCAGAGATGGTTATATTTTTTTGAAGTTACAATATTTTTTACAATTCACCTTTGCAATTACAGAAAAAGCAAATGAAAGTAAAAACCGGAGAGTTAACAAAGGAAGATCCATGGGAGAAACAGCGACAAGAGCGGCAAGAATACCGACTACGTGAACGAATGGTTAAGAAGAAACACAAGAACTTGTACAGAAGCATGATGAAAGGTCGCGAGCAGAGGGCTAAAGAAGTATGGCTTCTCCGCAAGAAGAGGCGCATTCATGATGCTTCAGAGAAGCAAAAACGCAAAGAAGAACGCAAACAGAAGAAAGCTAAATCTGCGGAATAAATGTGAACAAAAAAAAATAAACAATAAATTAACTTTGTAATATATCTTATCGTTTTCTATCTCACCCTACTGTTACACTAAGAAAAAGAATCATTATCTATCAAACATAGATGAGCATAAATAAGAGAAGATTCGAGTATGAATCGTTGACTTTCTCGATGCCTGTAGGTACAGTTACACGTAATGGAGAGATGCCTTTAATCCAGTCCTCCCACCTACCGGAAGCCTACGCATACGACCATCCTGGTCCCTACTTTTCCAGCGAAGGACTTTGAAGGCCAGTCTACCCACACAAGTTAGCCTACGCAATAGCGAACGCCGTACGCGCATACTCCCATGAAAGTTATTTGTCGTGACAGTCTTTTCGACTTGATATATTCAGAAAAAAAATTCCTTGCAAATTCTAAGACGACCACCCAGCAAGGTCGTCCTTTGATCCCAAGTGAATTTAAATCAATAACGTTCTCCATTCAAGAGCGATTTCGGTAGTCAGGCTGTTAATGAGTTTTTGATTAGTCCCGTGACTTTCGCTAGATGAATTAGCATCGAAGGACAAATCAATTTAACAGCGGATAAATTACCATCGATGCATCCGGTCATTTGATTGCTGGTGCGTCACTTTGAATCGGATGCGGGCGAAATATGTACTTTTGTATGGCACTGAATGTTTACACAAATTTGCTATTCAATTATACGTCCAATCTTCGTGTATGGCTAGGGTATTCTCTTAAGAGAAATTCATGGATTTCAAGGCTAAATAAAAATGTTTATTTAGCGACGCGACATCATCGCGGTTGTAAAAGCAAAAGTACACCGTGAAAGTAAATGTTTGCCTCGTTATTCGTAGGATATCTACGTGGACTTGATTGCGATTTTGTACTGTCCAACCAACGAGACGACTTTAATTTCTATTCGATGCACGAACCTTACCGCTTGCCACTCCGTGCGATTGATTCTACGTCTTTGATAATGGCGATCGGGCTTGTAAATAGCTCGTAAAGAAACGAAATAACGTGCAAATAAACTGGCTACGGAGGTGGTTGAAAACGGTGGAGAATTAAGTGACGGGTAATAAAAAACATCTGCAAGGTTTTTGCGTAATCCGATGTACAAAAGATAAATCAGCGTGGAAATGGCTTCCCTTTGGAAAAATTGTTCTCCATTCGAACAAATGCGAAATTGCGAAGGTGTCTTGCGTAAAAATGCAATTTCGGTTTCTCTGCTGCCAGTTGACGGATTGACCGTTCCTTGAAAATCGACACGGAGCATTTCTCTTTTGGCCAACGTGTTTTTCGCGAGAACCGGTGAATGTGGTTCGTAGCTGGAACGGCTCGCATCGATTTCTTCGGCTATTTGCAGTGGTGACTGAACCGATGTGTCGTCGGTGAAGTCACCAACACCCGTGTACCATTCGTGTGCAGACTCGGGTGCTTACGTCACCCTTGCTATTCCTGTTCCAGCCCATCTCCGACGGCTATCCTTAAAACGAGCAACCTTTAACGGCCGCAACCTGCGGTCTAAGAACGTTTTAATTTAACCGATCTCGAGTGGCAATCCGGCTAATCTTAAACATGTTGCTCTGCTTCGCTAGATCCACGGATTCCTTGCTATTCCCGCGGAAATCAGTGACGATCCTCGCATACTTGATCCAGGGAAATGTACGGATAAGTTTAATTAGACAGAGATGAGCAACTTTAATGCCGGCCATAAACTTCGAGTGGCTTTAAATGATTCTGTTAACGATCGTTCTCTTGGTATTTTCTTCAGGTTTTAGTCTATAATTGACCGTTGTACCATCCATTGGCGTAAGTAGGTCTTTCGTGTGGAATTTGAAACGTTATTATATATTTTTTATTCTGTATTTGATCCAAATTTATTTCCATTAAGATCAGATTTCTTCAGTAGACGAATATCCTTTTATTTATTTAAATTAATTGTTGATGGAGAGGGTTAGTCTGTATTCGGAAGATCAGAATTATTTTGGTGTCTACCTGGTTACGCCAATGATTCCTTCTTTGATTGCACACCGATTATACGACTGTCATTAAAATTCACGATAGCCTGTTTCTTTTTGCAAATCGGAAAGGGTGTACCTACGGAAATATTCCCAAGGACTTTCGTGTAGGGTTCCTGGTCCTATTTGACCAGATATCGATGCTGAATTTGGTGCGATCGAGATGGCGGAGCGTGGGATGCGCTAGCACACCCACACGGTTAATATCCGAGTGTAAAATACCAAGGTTTTCGAAAATGCTTTCGAAAGTAGCGTTATTTCTGTGATGAAATGACAAATTTTTTTTTGTATTAATGAACGATGTACAGAATAGGTTTAAATGCCTTGGACGTTACTGTAATATTGTAAGATAGCAAGTGAGAAGTTTAAACTGAAATATGTAATAATGTTAGAAATTAATTTTGTGATATCAAAAGGCGTCATTATGTCGCGGGTTTCTAATTAATTATCAAAGAAAATAAACAAGAGTTTACTTGAACTTGCCTCATCTCATTGACACGCAAGATTGATTCAGGAAGAGCGGCCTTGATTTCCATCAGCGTTCCGTGTAATTGCGGTGTAGCGGAGGATCATCAACGACGGAGGAGGTTTTCCTTTTCGCCACCGAGCACAGAGGAATCGTTTTTGCATAGAAAAAAGAAGTGTAATAAATGACGGAAGATGCTTCTCCTGCGAATAATTATACAATCAAGGTTATTACGGCATTAGGTAATCGATGCTCTGACGCGATAAGAGTACAGACTCGTTTGTTTAAAATAATCGGAAAAATAATATTTATAGCAAGAGCGTAGGTACTATGCAAAAGAGACGAGTTTTAATAGGTTTAATTACTGGCTGGCCGGTCGTTCGCCTTCGGCGATGAGTAACTCGAGTGATTTCAATGCCCGCACAAGCGGTACGTTCGGTCTGAAATCGATCGAACTCACTGGATCCTTCGTTTCCCGTTCATGGCTCTTCGACGTTGCCTCTCGATGCTTATTAAATCCGCAACGCATGGAAAAGTCTGTTTAATGATGTTTAAGATGGCGTGACGAGGCGTTTTGCTGGATTACATGTTCCTCGAGATTCCAGGTAGCATCGAGGTCGAAGAAATGATAAATTTAAAGAAAATCCGGTTTCAATATTTTGAAAATTAAAAAAAGACGATGTAGAGAGAAGTGTAGTACCATTATATTCATTTGAAGTATCCAAGTCCGATAAGAAAAAAGTCAGGCTCACTTTTCCAAGTTTTTCTCCAATATTTATCACCAATAGAAAGTATAATATTCTTCTGTTTTCCCAAGCAACATAGAATTTCTTTCATCTGTAAATGAACCACACAAAACAAACTCCGTTCCATTTTTTCTTTAATTCCTGTCACGCATGTTTGCGTTTGGTTTCACGTGAAATCAGCACGGAAAGGAAAACCGATGCTGGATGGAGCCACGTCGCGGTTTTATGCTTTCTATTAGACGGTAGGATCGAGTAAAACGGTCGATCGTTTTATTTCATGGGTAAGCCATCCCGTTAATCAAGGAAAACACTTTTAAGTGGCGCCTAATCAACGGGAAATATTCATAGAGGCGCGAGATTACGCGACCTCCAGCAAATCGAGGAATTCCTCTTACACGAGAGGCCCAACGGAAATGTACATTATCGAATGTCGCACAGACCTTCGAAGCGTGCGGTTGCATTGTGATGTAACCGGTGATGAATCAACGGGGAACGGCGATCATTCACGTCGCCAGGCGACACGTGCCTGGTGCGCTCGCAAATTGTTCAATTACCACGACCTCCGACTATATTAGTCGGCGATTTTAATCGAGCTATTTGCACCCACTTAATATCTACAATATCTACTTGCTGATTAAACTATCTTTATAATTATTGATCTTTAACACACGGGGATATGGCGAAATAGAAGTTGAAAGTCTCAAGTTTTAAGATCCAAAGGCTAAGAGCCGTGCGTCGCCGACTTTCGGGACGGAAATTAAAAAATTTCTAATTTCCTATTTCACCAAATTGTAAATCTTAAGTCTCAAAGTCTAGAGTGTAATTTTTCGAAAAAAAAAAAAAAAAAAAAAAAGGAAGAGATCACTGTTCTCAGAAGAGAAGCGAATAAACGTAGCAAAGAGAGAGATCTTCATGCACGTATTTATTACCGAAGGGTTCGGGTTCTGAAACGGTGTCAGCATTCATTCTTGTCACCCCAGGAGGGACGGGGTGCTGTGAACTTGTTCGAAAAAAATGTACAAGGGCTAATTACAAGGTGGTTCGGTTGGCTGACGGTGAATCTTTTGAAATTTGATCGAGCAATCGATCGCGCCCCGGTCTGGCGATCGAAGTTATCCCCAGTTGGCCAAGCGGATGACGGCATCGTCGAAAAGAATACGAAATGAACGCGTGCCCTCACGAACCCGTTACCTATACTATGCCCAGCTCGAGTTCCAAGGTATAAGATGTGTTTCCAAGGTGTCTGAGATCCTGTGCTACCATCTGGAAAATCGTACGACATCTTAGTACCCCTATATGGTTAACTTTCATGTCAAAATTATATTTCACGAACAATAATCCTTTCTAAACGAATAAAAATAAAATTCACTCAGTTCACTCGCGATGCTGCCCGATGGTCGAGGGTTAAATTAAAAATGTAAATTAATTGTGAACCCGCATTATCTCAGAAATCCTTGTGTTCAACGTGCAATCGTGAATCCCAGATTAACGCAATACACTTGTTGTGCAACCTCGTTACGGACGAGGCAGGGATAAACAATGAGATCTAAGCGAAAGGCAAAGTTTACTCTTTTTAATCAGTCAAAATCGTTTGGTATCGCGAAGGGATCATAGGTTGGATTCACGGAAGCCAGATTCCCCGACAGGGTCTCATGGATCGGTGCCTGATGCTTTAAAAGATTGCATCGTGGCTCACGGATCGTTGATCCGATCTGACGGAAGGAAAAATTCATGGGATCCGGGAATCTCGACGGGAATTGTTGTGCGTCAAACGCACGAAGACAGGAAGGAGTGAAAAACAGGGGACTGAATTGTTTCAAGGATGTCGACGAGAAATCTTATCTTCCGTTTTGTCGAGTGAAACGTTCTCAAATATTTGCAGAGTAATGGACAAATAAATCGGTTTCAGATTACCTTGTTGGACATCTCTTATGATCGCTGAATACTTGACGTTAAAAATGAACCGAATATATTTAAGAATCAAGAAAATTTCAAGTTATTTTAATTCAACCTAACGGTAGACAAAGTACCCAACAAGAAACTCGCGTATCTATTTTATTACCCGAAACGTTTCCTCTCTTATCCTGTAATATTAACGTAAATCAAAAGTTGTATCCCGTATATACTTCTTATTCCCATTGAACGACCCGGAAAACTATCAAAGAGACGTCCAACCGATTCCGTGAAATCACGTGCAGTGTCGTTGAAGGAAACGTTCAGGCAGGTACACGCGTTTTGCACGAGTCTAATGACACTAGGTACTACGTAGCCAGGGTACATCGGTGTCGCTGAACCCCGCTGCCTCGAGGCACTTCACAGGCGGAGGCCACGAGAAGAATCCACGGACGTGAAGCTCTATACTTTGCACCATTACGCTTAATCTACGGCCTGCCGTGGCAGCGACGATTCATAGAGAGGAAAATAGCGCGTGGAAACGAATCGAAGCGTCACCAGAGGAACGCTTCGATGTCTTATGTTGATTTGTGACCCAAGATGATCCAAGAAAAACCTGCTATGGTATTTGAAAAAACGCGTGCCAACCGTTCAATGCGCTCGTGAATCTTATGGAAATCGGGTTCGATCGGTTGAAAAATACACGAATGTCGCTTTCACGTCTCTTCTCGTGAATTATGCACGAGCTAACGTTCGATCGACGCGGCTATGCTCGTTCCGAAGTTTTGCCCGTTGTTTTAAGTGGTATTCGAATTCAGTAGAATAAATCGTTTGTATTGAACTTGATACCATCCCTAGCTCCATCAGCAAGGCTGCACGAGTTCGTTTCATTACCATCACCTTTCTACCGACCCGCTTGAAACGTGATCAACCTTGGCGAACGCAAACGCATCGAAATGCCCGCGAAATTCCAGCGTACTGCAGCTCACCAGGTTCGACTGACCTCTGGCAAGAGGATCATCTGTCCTCTAAGATACTTAACCTACAGCCTGGCTAAGTATAGCCGGGGTATACCATGTACGAGACTTTCCACTACACCTAGAATCAAGCTAGGTAGATCGGTTTCAGCTTTTCGAGAGCGACTCGTACGTATAGAGCTTTGCTCTAGCTGTGAACCATGGAAGCGAGTCGGAGCGGGTGAGCGTTGAACGCGTCGGAACCAGGTGAAAGACAAAGATGAAAGGAAGACGGCGGAGGTGAGGGCAGATGAGGAGAAGGTGAGAGAGGTGTTCGTTGAAGGAAAAAGGAGAGTAGGGAGACTTGTAAAAAGAGAGAGGCAAGTCGAGCAAAGAGAAGGATCGTCGACCAATGAGACAGCAGGCCGGCGATGACGTCGTCGTTGTCTCACGTCCAAGTCTCACGAAAAGTCTTCACCAGCCACCAGTTCGTCCGCGGTCTCCCGGCTGGACGAGAAGTTCGTCCTTTTCACCACGTTTTCACCCTAAGAGGTGCTATTTATTTATTTATTATTTCTTTCTTTATTTGGTGAGTCGACCAGTGAAATCAGTCAACATTGGACTACGAATAGAAGGAAGGATCCTGGCTGAAGGAGGAGGCTGCTATCAGCCATGGGGACGGGTAAGTGATCCGGTGGTCCAACCGTCTGCTTCGAGGATTCGATACTTCAACATCATCCAACATCGTGCCATTGATCAACATAATTTTAACCCCTTCGATCGATTACCAGATAGCACTTCTTCCTTTCGCTACCTCGATAGTCATCTCTTCCTTCTTTCTAAGAAGATAAACAGACCGGAGATCTGTTTACAGCTGACATTATCCGATGATGGTCTCCACTTCCGTCTGTCTGGTTGTTACAAGATCGCTGATCTTATGGGATCGACGGAAAGTATCAATTTTAGTCGATAAAGTAGAGAGGAGGGCGGTGAGATTCCAGGGATACTGCTCTGGGCTGTCGAGGATGCTGGGGACGGGTTTGGTCTCCTCCGAAGTCAAGGTCACTCGAAAGATCATTCGCGAGTGTTCATCAGTCTGAGTCACTTTGAAACTATGTAGTCTTCAAGGATGCTGCGAAAAAAGCGTGTCAATTAGGGTGATCGAATGGTTTCGCGGTTCTCCAAAATGGACGTCCTCTTTCGTTCGAGAAAACCCGTCGCTCGTCGGTGCAATCCGATCGAACGACGATGCGGATACTTTTCACCGTATATTTACCGAGACTTTCGTTTTGTTATAAGCGTTTGCCAAGGATATCGAAAGTCTTTTGCCTCTCGATCTTCCGTGGAAAAGTGTAACGCTGTTGCTGACGCTGCATCACTTTCATCTCGCGTTCTGTGGACCGAGACACATCGATATCAGTGAAAACGTTGAAAATATCGTTAGAATCGTGGGATAGATCGCAGTTTCGGAGGGAATGCTTTTTATCCGATGTCGGATCAAACGGCGTTATGTCAGAGCGCAATGATAGCTTCGACCTTTAGCACATCCTTTAGGCAGATGGTGTCAAGGATATGCACGAGGTGTGCGAGTGTACCGATCAGAAATTATGCGACTACCTGGGCGTAACGCGAACCGGTTGCGTTTTTGCGCGCTAAAATGAATCCTCCATTTTCGTTTGCCCGTCACGTTTCAACCTCCCGTTCCTCGCGCTTTCTTCTTTCCTCCATGGCTTTGTTTCGTATGCACGTACATATATTTGACGATCATTTAATTCGATTGCATCCTGCTGACTTTTCATACGTTCGACGGCCAACTTCCGGTTTCGTCAGCGTCGGTGTTAACGACTTTAGAAAGTACTCGAGGTAAAAGTCGTAACGGCTTCCCTTAAAAGGTTCAATCGTATCGTTGCACATTTAAGTTGATTCAATTATGATCATTTGTCCTTATATTCTTCTCTTATGAGATAGGATACTGAATGATTGATTTGGTATTAGAACTCGGTGTGATTTTATCATCTAATTCGTTTGAAAGCCACTTTCTTAACCTTGGACCCAGTGTCGTTTCAAACCACCTGAAAAATGGCTAAATAAGTATCTCAAGGCCTCTGTAATTACAAAACACTTAAATCGAGTATTTGAAATTATAGATGACAGAAAATAATGAACGTACCATAAAAAAATTTGCTTCTCCTCTTCTAAATTTATTAATTTGATAGGTCTATCATTCTAAAGGATAGGCGTTTATCCTATTCGAGTATACCTTCCAGGAGGAACGGGTTGAAAATACCAAGGAAAGTTTCATGGTACAAATCGTTTCGTGGTCGTACGTGATCCAAGGTGTAGTGAATTCGAGCGAACACTTTCTGTGACAAGTATAGAACTTCTTCGTTCGCTTGAATCCGGTTTTGCGGACGCGAGTGCGTGCTTTCACGGAACGTCGAAACCAGGAGATGTGCAAAAAGGATTCTAGGAGGATTATGCGGCGAAAACGGGTCGCGAGTGCAGCGAGTCGTGAGTGAGTGAGCAGTTTGATGGATTAAAGAAAAAAAAAAAAAAAAAATATATGGATATGCAACAGTGACAGGGGAGAGTGTTGCTTTGGTGCACTTTTATGGACCTCGACAGCGTCACCGTCTCTGGATGTAACGCAAGTACCTATTTTTACCAACGAACTACCTGCCGGCCATTGCGTAAGTTCTGTGGGGAATGTAAAGATACGGATGATTAAGGGGTTCGAGATTGTAAATCCGCTGAAGATTGCTCGGTACTAATTATGGAAAACAGCGTCATTTTCACTCGTGTACCTTAAACAGGTGGTTTGGCAATTTGTAGATTTGCAGCGCATGTTTAGTACTTTTTGCACAAATTTTTCTTCGAATCGATATTAAAATAAAATGGCACTGTGTTGCGTGCGAAAATTATATAATTCCATTTGAGTGATAGTAAAGATATTATCCCTATTTTCGCTTGGTTGATTCAAATGCCATTGAGACCGTCACCGCACGAATGGAAAGGCAACTATGCCCGAAGCTTAAACATATATTTTTTTTCATTCGAACAAAACGTCGATTGGGCAGGCTGTTTGTTAGGCTGTTTCACAATTCAGCATTTTACACGGTTCCGTCTGGACGGTGCCGAAGAACCTATTTTCACGAGCGATGCCATTATCTTGCAAATGCATTCCGAATACATTACACGATCGTTTGCTCCTGTGATCCGTTCACGTTTTGCGACCGGTTAAAATCGATTACCGGTGCCTGGTTTCCTGGAATTCCTCTAGCTCCGCGAAGATGATGTACAATGAAGCTATATACGACGAGCGATCGTTGTTTTAGCAATTTCCCGTGCCGATTCACCGGGTTTAAAACATCGCCAAGCGAATTCCACGTTTTATGCGGCAAAGCGAAAGAATATATTTTTGCTCGTTCATCGTTTACCTTCTTCGAATAGGCCGACGTGAGTTCTCGAAAGCGAGAGTTCCACTCATAACACAATTTGCAAAGCCATTTTATTTCAACGATGGGGCTGTTTGAAGATTAGCGTCGTTTACGTGAAAATACGTCGATAATCCAGGTGATTTCCAATAACGAAATGGCTAATCACACGTGCTACATCGTCAACCCTCGAACCTTGTATAGAAGAAGCGCGTTGAAAAGTAAAACTCTATTATTTTTCAACGGTGATTGTTTCTTATGTCACTGATCGAACTGGTGCGCGACCAGTTGTATCGATAGGGAAAGGTATTGTCGAGGTCACGGTGCACAGGTCCGTCATTTTCCCGGTTACAAAGTGGAAACGATCGAAATTAGAGCAAAATGCGTAGGTACACGAAACGATGTAGGTTGATACGTTGCTTAATCACTCGGTCTTAGTTACTGCGTGCTCTAGATAGGATACGAAGAACGCGAGAGATGCGTAGTTTACATGCTGAGGATCGTTAATTAACATTTGTCAGAATGAAAGTAAAAGACAAGTTCGATTGAGATCGTAGGTTGAACGACGACAATATACCTAATGACGTATCAGTGGTTTCATCTTGTAGATTCTTGGAGATGATAAGAGTCGAGGAACTTGAGGATTTTCTCTCGTTTGAATAAATTACTTGTCGTCATTAATTAGCAGCAGAAGATTGCCACCTTTCGTATAGACTCAGATGAAAATAATAATCGTTTGTCATATTTATCCGATCCCTTCCGAAAGAGAGGCGCGCTTAATTTGACAAATTATTAAATTTCAATCGTCCGCAATTTTTTCATTCACTGTTTATGACCCCGTTCGAACTTTACGTTGACAGATTATGCAATGAAAATGTGTATCGCACGCGAGGCATGTTATTCAGGTACGTTCTGGTCGTCGTTTCTACTGGAACTAATTAATGAGCATAATACAGAATCATCCTTGACAGCGTTTGATCAATCGTCTGGAATATTTGTCCGAGAACATTGGCATCGCTGTTCGCTTAGAAAAATGGTAATAATTCAATTTGGTTTACTTTTGTCCCTAACGAGGGCAGAAATATTACTTCTCACGGTGGAGGATACATAGGAAGCGAGTTTATCAGAGGGAAATCTAGATTCTGATGCGTTGATACAACGCATGTGAAAATTCCTCGACAATTAAGAAAGTGTAATTAAATTGCTTCAACTAGCGATGTTCTGTCGCATGACTCCGCGTCGTTGCAACCTGCAATCATTCGAAACCGATGTCTCTTCTTTCCATTCGAATACAGTGTTGTATTCTACGTTCGCATAACTGAGAACTCAATCAAGATGACCAGGAAATCGTTATTCGCGATAACTCTGAGGTAATTTTCTTCTTCGAATAGAAGAAATTTAATTCGATCGTAAGGTTTCGCAGGTATTCGCGGTTTAGAAAAGAAAGAATGAAATTTCTGCTTCGTGTAATAGAACTTAACAGCGCATAGTTGAGCAGGTATAGAAGTGTCTTTTTGCTAGTGTGTTGAGAAGATGGTCTGAATACGAGCTGCACAACAAGCTGCCGTGTAATCAGTGCATATTTATGAGTTTCGCAAGTAATATTCAACTTGGACTTCATTCAATTATGCATCCTCCGGGCGGTTTCCTCGGCCCAATTGCAATCTTAGCCGTGCTTCTCTATTACGAATGCGAGGGCACGCCTGATGAGATGAGGTGTACGATGAACGTTTAACTAGAAAAGAAAAACAGTAAGTGGTTCGCGTGTTTCTCAAGGATTTGCATCAACGTTTCTCGAATAAATTAACAAAAAAAGACAAAGGAACGTATGCTCGCGCTTTTCTTCAGATAACCCCATTGGAAAGTTGCTTCCAACGTTCAAGGACGATCGTTAGTTGAACATTTTGCATTTAGGTGATCTGAAAATAAAATGATTACCCTGAACGATTTTCTACGGTCTTAACGCGCCGCTTAATGTGTTAATTAAATCATAGCCGTCCGGAGGGCTGGACCTTGGCCCTCACAAAATCACCGTTCGGCTACCGTATAATAAATACGCGAGCATGCAGATGATAGAACGCTTACTGAAGACGAGGATGATTAAATCGGTCGATCGATCGGTGGAGACCGGTATCCACGTCAAGCAACGCGAAAGTGGCGAGGTGCGGTCGTCCATTGCCGATTATAGGCATCCTTCGTTTCTCGAAACGCCACTCGTCTCTTCTCTTTTCTCTTTTTTCTCTTCCAAGTTGTCTACGAGAGAGAAAGGTAGACGGGACAGCATACGTGCGAGGATGTATCTTTCTCCGGTCTTCTTCGTTTCTTTTCCCTTGGTGAATTTTTCTCGCCACGAATGAGTACACCCCACGACCTTCTGCATGATCCCTGGTATCATTCAAGAGAAGGATGGAGGAACTTTGGTGTACATTAAACCGTATCCTCCGGATCGAATCGTTAATTTTCAAAGGATTCACCTTATAATTTATAGCACCTTCCTGTCCGGCCTCACGCGGATATTCTAGCGAGAATTTTATAAATGGTCGCTCGAGCGCAGTTGTAACTCGAAGGGAGGAAATATTAGGATTCTATACAGTGGAATTCGTCTCTTCTTGTTTGCTCATTTCTCATTCTGCTCATGGCTTCGCGTATATACCTGGGGACCGGATAGTTCCTGTTTGAATATCGAGTTCCTCTTCTTTCACTACAAAAAGAAAATGAATTATTCGATGGCACTTCTTCTTTATATTTGAAACAGATATATAAATCGTATAATTATTGCTTCTCAATAGAAGATGACACACTGGCTGTCAATGCGTTAATCTATACCGTAGACGATTAAAATAACGACACGGTCAGACGTCAAGAACAATATTAATGACTCGAAGGAGTACGGAGAGGAAAAGTGTGCAATTGAATAAAATTATGGGGGCCAATTATTTAAGCTAGCGTAGGCAGTTGAACGAACTCGAGGAAGTATTCCTTCTACCTTGTTGTAATTCGAATCGTTGGGTAACGTTAGGTAACTTCAAAGATTCGGTTGATTTTTTCAGAAATGAATTTTCGTTTGCTATTTAACAGATTCCGTGTGTACATTGCGCGTTGTCAAAGGAACCCAGGCCGATTGTTTAATTAACAAAGAAAGTCGTGGGAGAAGAGAAATGATTGTTACACTCTTACTGTATACATTTTTCTCTTTCTCTTGGCCTGAATGCGAGCAACGTTATTCCGTTGGCTCCTCGGAAGCAGAATATTCTTCGACCTTTCGCGGCCACCAAGTGTAGGCGCCATTACTTGCCTCCGGGTCTCCCTACTCCCTTCTTTCTTCTTCTTCTTCTTCTTCTTCTTCTTCAGCTCATCCTGTTGTGCCCCTTGTACCATCTCCTTCTGTTCTTCTTCTACTTCTACGACTACTCGTTTCTCCTTCTTCTGCTTATCTTGTCCGTCTCTACGAGTCAAGGACCGTTCTCAAGGAGGTCGCTCCTTTTAACCAGGCGTGTAGCTACACGTTTTCCTTTGTCTCCGGGAATCGCTTTCGTATCGTTACGTTCGTACCACGTTTCCCTCCTCGTTGCTTTCGCTACGAGGAACTTTTCTGCCCGTGCACATCCGCCATGGAGAAATCAACCCCCTGTGAATACTTTAATTTTTCAACCAATGTCTTTCGGAATCTGAGCTGACCACCACATCCTCGTTTCACAGGAAATTATCAAAATAAGTCAAACACCCGAGGGCCCATAGAATTTATAAAATATATGGCCATCGAAGTCATTAAAACCTTGCCAGATCCTCCGGATGATAATATGTAGATCGTTCATGCCTATAATTTCAACGAATTAAAGTCCATTATTTGGCAAGAAAAAAACAGCAACTGATTTAATGACCGACCTTACCTGCCGTCGATTGAGATTTCGGTTTTTGCTCGTTCCATGGTAATCGTTTCTTGTTGAATAATCCCCCGGGTCAGAATGTCATGGCCATTGTCTTCGTTGAAGGTATACGCCGTCACGTATCCCCGAGCAAAGTGGTACGTAATTGAGGAACACCTGTCAAGTTAATAACGCGAGTTAATTTAATAAATATCGATTATTCCAGTCCCTTCCTCGTTCCTTCGTACCATGGTTACCGTGGAACTTATGGAGGGCTGTTGGAAGATTCTTGGTAAATCGTAGCCGGGATGACACGTCTGAAAGCGTCACTCTTGCTTTTCTCAGTCAACCACGAAACCCGTTTGTCACGTTTCTTCTAAATTCGCTGAAGCATGCGAGCAACTTGTCGCTCTGGATTATAATAAATCGTCTTTCTTGCAGTACCATCGTTCTCTGGAAACATTCCTTTTGCACCGCGAATTCTTATTCGTTTCCAGAGAATCCTACGTAATCATTTAACCCTTTGTGCAAAATATTATTTGGAGAACAACGAATTTCATAATTTTAAAACAAACCACGTACGCGTTGTAAACAAAGAATAGCGGTTGTTTAATTGCGAACTGTACATTCTCTCTTGCACGTCGTAAAAAGGAAAGATGATCTGGGTGATCAACGTGCGGCTAAATATATGAGTCGAATTTGCATACAAATGTTAGCTTTCTGCAAGTCGACCGTACCTGACTCGCGAATAATTTCTAGCCCGATATTTGCCTAACCGTAAATCCGTCTTCTCTCTGTTTACGAATTCGCGACAACCTGTTATTCGAATTCTCTCGTAGCTAGATCTCGCGAACGTGATCTTCCTGAAAAACCTCTATTCCTTGCGTATAAAAATGTTAAGCGTCTGTGAGAATAGAATTACGGTATTGATTACCGGTGTATGCATAAACCGAGGCTCGATTTGTACCGTTGCGATGACGCGACTGAGCAGTGTCAATAATAAAATTATCGACGATTGCGTAAAATAGTTGGCGAAGTTGTCGAACGCGTTACGTAAATTGTATTGGCAGTGTAAACGCGAAGGCATTAATACCTGGACGTAAAAAAGAAAAAGTATGTCAAACATTGATGAAAATATACGGGGTGAATGATGGGCAGGTTAATTTTTCTTAGGTCTTGGGAGAACATGGAGAGTCTAGGAAAAACTATTATCTCTTAGAATCCTTTAGAATTCTAATTCCATAAAAGAGAAGGAACGAAAATAGCCGTGATACCTACATGACGGTATCGAAGAATTCGATAGAGCTTGACGATCCTATTTGCAGCGAACAGAAATGAAACAGTGGATTCATTAAATCTTGGTTTCGCTTGCTTGCCGGAAGACATTAGCAAAAGCCTGTAATCATCGTCACGAAGCATCTAGGAACTGTTCGCGTCTATGGGAATGCCTGTCTATAGAACGATTGATTGTTTATGATAAAGAGCCATGATGAATGTCCACCGTAGACGGCAGCCGGCTTGCTCACGGTACAATTTCTACCAATAATATTTCTTTCCCGCTCGTACACGGCTCTTCTCGATGAGTCGCAGACATGCTTAGTCGACGACCTTCCACCCCTTAACGGTTATGGTGCAATTATTCGAGGTTCGAGATGGCAGTGTCACGGGTCACGGTGCAAATTACTTTTCAAGCCACCTTCCGTGGTTCCGTTACGCTCGCACACGCACGTACGGTATCATTACGATGATGATTTTATCATTTCATTGAGCGAACGTGCGGTGACGCCGATAATGAGAGTCATTACGCGAGGAGATGTTTTCCTTTCGTCGTTCTCCAGGAAACTCCTCGTCTTTTCCTTATATTCATTCGCGTTCTGACCTTGCCTTCTCCTCCCAAAGGAGAGGAATTCGAAATCAGCGATGCTTCGGACCTTCCAAGAAGCGTATAAAATGAAACGCATCGATGATGTTTTATGCATGCGTTTATTCTCCAAGTGGACTTTTTTGCAACTGCGCTTTATAAGTATAGTCATTGCTGGACGATGATGAAATGCTTACACCAGCTAAATCATTTGAAGGGGAACAGCCAAGGTTGCGCGTATCCTAGAACGCCTAAAACATTTGCAAACTATCCGCTTACGTTTCGCTCGGACGAATAAATTCACAGCTTTGTTCAATCGGCAAAGATACATCGTTCCACTCTTTGTCTATGATCGCGAATATTAACACATTACCAAAGATACAAAATGGCGGCGAAATAAGGCACGATAAGTAAAATGGACGTTTGACTCGATCATTGAAACGACTAACCCTTCTGATTTAACAACGTTAAGAACTTCGTGGTGGCTCGAGTAACTGATAGCCGGTGTATAATTCCCGTTTATCCGTCAATTCCGTTTCCCGTTTCTGCGCGGTGCGTTTTACACGGGGAAAAAAATAAGCAGCGGCGCGAGAAACGTTAGAACGGTGAATTTTCGCAACGATCAATTTGTCCGGTTAACAATCGCAACACGTGTTAGACGGCGATCAGGAAAATTGCTGTAATTTTAGCATTTTGCAGTAGTCATCTAGGCGTGCGCACGCGGTTCTTCCAAACCGATAATAATGCCGTCGTTTCTGTACCTTAAGTGGTCCATCGAGCCATGATTCGAATTATTATCCGTCAAATTTTGTTTCGTATCCTCTCCCTGTTTCTCCATAATTGGTTATTTAATAATTTGCAATTGATTTGAAATTCTAATGATTTAATAACTATCAGTTGCAATGCTTCGAATCGACACGACTAATAAGTAGAACGTTTCCTGATATAGACAACTGTAACAGTTTTACTTTTACCCGCGCCTCGTTTAAAAACTTTCTCTAGGCAGTTCGAGATTCTCGTGGAGGGATTTCATAAAATGATTTCATTTCGCGGTGATTTATCGTACGGATTGTATTACAAAGAAACTAGAATTTATACCCGTATTACGTGGTAATGAAACAACATCGTGCCCCTTGTGCGAATAACCGGTGACACGTTTACAGATCGTGCGCCTTAAGTGGCCGAGCGGAGAGTTCAATGCTTGCAACAGACAGCACACGCAACGTCGTGCTCCATTACAATCGTGTCACCAGTATTTCCATGTTTAGGGAAAGCATCCGTTAACTGATTGCGCATGCAACACGTGCTAAAAGAAAAAAATTCCCCAAGGTGGAAATTAATCGTTTGGAACTTAGAATTAACCTTCGAAGGTGAAAAACGTGTAAATTTCCACGGTGGAAATTTATTATTCTTTTATGATTGAAAAATTTCACCGTCTGATCAGTCGATGCACCGTTCCAGAGGTCTGGGTCGCGATTGATTCAGCTGCTACGAGGGATAAAGAGGATTAAAGACCTCCGCTCGTTCGATGAACGCGTAACGAGTTACGAAATCGTTCAATGAAATTTCACGATGATCAATCGACCGACGAGCCTAGATTTTTATTAGCGATTATCTAGCGGATTCTCACGGATCGAACAACCAGAACACCATACCGTTACCAAGATCACCGTGCGTGGGAAAAAATGGCCGACTCACGCGAGAAAATTGTTACGTCTAATATGGCGATGCCATGATCGCCGAGCAATATTACGATTAAAGTTAATGAAAAGTTAGCTGGCAACTAATCATGCAACGATACGATTCGATTACTTATAACGTCTTCATCGTGGACAGTCTCATAGGAATTTCGTCGAGACTGTTTACGACGTGGATAATTAACGCTTCACGTCCTTTTGCTAATTAACGTCTCGCGGTTGTTTTATCGTTAAACGTTTTTCATGCTTGATAAGCTTCATCATTATGCATGGAAGGGTTGTTAAGTTTCGTGCGAGGATACATCTTGAATTATTAATCACAGACGTATCCTTTCTGCATCGAAGGCGCATTCAACTACGGATGAATGAACTAGAAAATTAAAACGTATCCTTAATACAAATATTTCAATTGTAATCATATTATCTCCCGAGTAATCAGACTGTGAAGTTCTCTTTTCACAAATTAATATCCTCGATAAAATCCTGAATTATCATTAAATAATAGTCTAATAGAAAAGAAACTATGCTGTGCGAATAAAAGCGACGAGAACCAGAATCAAGAATGGTAGTTTCTGATCGCACCCAGTTGCAGTTGAAATGAATCAACTTTCGATCGAGGTCGCAGACACGAAAACCTTGGCTCTCATTCGTTTTGCGTGGCGAGCATCGAGCATCGGCGATTTTCCTTCGATTTTCTCACGTCCTACGCACCCGCGACCCGTTTTAATCATCCTGGACACGCTAATTCACCTCGCGTCATCGCCTTGTCTCTTCCAAAGATGGCATCCTAGCGTCGGCCATTCATTATTGTCGTTCAATATTTCTCGTCCGTGACGTAACCGTGTGATCGATACGAGACCTTCTGGAAAGGCAGGTCGACGTGATCGGTCTCTTTATTCGTGACGGGTTGAACGCACCCGGGAGAATTTCGATCGCTGCAGGACGTCGACATGGGTGTTCCTCGCGGAACCGTTTCTGCCTCTCCCGCGAAAGATGCTCGCGTTACGAGGGACCTTTACTGTTAGACGCCGTTTTACGACGCCAGGCGTCTTTTCTACTGGATCCGTAACAACGGGGGCCAGCGCGAAATCCGTGGAAAACTTAACGGTACCGGGTGTTCGCGTATGCGAGCCGGTTGTTCTCTAAGCCTCTCTTTCTCTATCCTTCAGCCTTATTTATATTCCACGATTCGCGTGGCGTGATGTCTAACGTTTCAGTTCTAACGAGGGAAAAATCGCGAGGATTTCAGTAGAATTTATGGCCTTGCAAAAGTATAAAGGAAACTGTAACTTTCATAGATGAAGCAAGTTACGTTTTGGCGAGGAGCTACCGGACGATCCACGTCCTCCATGCTCAAGGCTGTTCGCGGTAAATTAATTCGTTGGAAACAACGTAGAGATAAACGTTTCATTAGCATTCGTCGATGACGCAAACCTCGTTAGACAATGAGCGCACCGAGTTTCATTTCGCGCCTCTGTTTTTCACATTTTTCTCCACGAGCTTTCGCGACCGGTAGGAGCTTCGGGTTGTTGTACAGGAATCGTTCGTTGCCTTCTGCCGTCTTATGAGTTCATATGCTTCGCATACGAATGAGGGATATTCAATAAACTTCCTGCCTTTTGATTAACCCCTCTGCCAATGATACATTATGTAAGAATGCACATAAGGAAGAGGCAGACTGCAAATATAAATTAGCCTACAGTTTAATTCCGAGACAGGATAAAAAAGGAGTAGATTAAATCGTCTGAGAAATACTGTACAGAAATTTCAATTTCAACGATCCACTGATTACTGGCAAAACCTTGAAAGTGAAGACACCGTGCGAACGACTAGGAGTAGAACATAAGAGGCAATCTTTAAGATAAACAAAAAAAAATTGAAGGTGTCAGAGTTAATTCGATGTTCGAGCATGGGCGATGAGAGACCCACGCGTTACGCCAGTTTCGTTTGTAACTTACTACGGTAACACCAAAGAACTTTCACTTTGCAACGGAATTATATTCTGTCTTGGCTGGTTCGCCGCTCTCTCGTTTCGCCTTGTGGTGGGCGTCAGTTTTAGGCCCGAATCATTTGCCGGTTTTATACTTTGTTGATTCATGCCGGATGTTGCCACAGGCGGGCAAGATGGACGTCGGATCGTGTTCAGAATAGGAATTTCCTAACGCCGTTGCAACCGAGGCTGGCTCGGTTCGCACGAGCATCCCATGGATTTTCATCCTTCGTCTCTGATGTTCAATAATACCGTGTCTAACTTCGCAAATTGAGAGCGTAATTCAACACCGCTCTCTATATTTCATGCCATCAGAGATGCCACAATAAACGTTCATTTTATGCAAACGATGCCCTGCAACTCGTGTTACTCGCTAAGGGTATCGCCGTGAAATGTGTTACCGTGTCAATGATATCATCCGGTAGGCAGACAGAAGGAAACGATGACAAAAGGTATCAATTAGTCGGCGTCGTACACACGCCAGCATCGCTGACACGCGCGCCTCTGCACATATCTGTTCTACCAATAACGCAAAACTCCCACACAATGCGCGTTGCGAAACGCGCCGAGAAGAAAGGAGGAATTAATGCGATGCTTGCTGAACTCATTTTCGCTGGCCTACTTCGAATCCTCTCAATTTTTTAAACAAACATGCGATCATTTTGGAAATTTCAATTAAAAACCACCCAATTTCGAATGCTATTCGCTTTCATTACAAGTTGTATTAATAATAGTATAATGAGATCCTGGCGACAGGATCTGAATTCGAGGACTCCACAATCACCACCCACCTCTGCCTCAAGTTTCCCTCCATATTTATCGAGGAACGCTCGAAGCAAACACGATTTCGACATTCCTCGAACGTGTTCCTAGACCCCTTGCTGATGACCTAATCGATTTAATTAATTATCATGCACCCGTCGAGGACCTTCATAACTATTCTCGTCAGCATAGTTACTATAGTTTCATAGATTTTTCCTTCGCCTCGCCCACGATGTTCTCGTTTTATGGAAGCTTGTTCGTTAAGCGCCGTGAAAGCGTTTGAATGTGTCACGGTACATCTTGCCCCAACAGCTTCTACAATTTTTGCTTTCTATATTATACTTCTTCGAACGTCCCACGCATCGTATTTTGTAAGATTTAAGATGTTTACGTGGAAAAGAAATCTTTTTTCTTGAAATTTTAATGCCTTCGATGCTACGTCAATGTTATATGTCCGGTTTCGCGATACTGAAAGGTCGAAGTTATTTGAAAAAATGGTGATTTTATATATTAATAATTACGAAGCAAAAAAATGTGAAAACAGGTATTTTCACGGACTTGATAGTTGGTATATTGAAGGAAGTTCTTCCTTGCAACGAACGCAACACTGTAATTTAACGATATCCGACAGCGATCAATTTCTGTTGGAAAAAGCATTTCTGAGATACAGTTAGCCGGCTAACGAGAAGCGTGAAGCTTGAAACAGAGTCTTAATTATTAAGCTGTTCGCTTCTTCACCGAGTAAACTGTGGGATGTACTGGCGGTATGGTTCGCGAAAATGAATATTTATTAATCGACGTGCCATTTAGCGGTAAAAGTTACGCGTCAGGGGGCTCTCTCCTTGGCCAGGCATTTCTCTTGCAAAAGCAATCCGATTCGCACGAATCTCAAGAAAAGAGAAATGCAGCTACGTTGGAACTTCGTGTCACTGGTTGACACAAATCTGTACCCAAGGAAACAAGATAACGGTCATCGTAAAGATCACCGGTCTAGGATTCTGGACACGAATTCGCATAAAACGGTGCACTGGTGAATCTTAAATTTTGCAAATTAAGTGAAACTTCGTCAGTAGATGAAAGTTGTTCGGTAATAAATTCGAGAAAACATCTTCGTAAACGAGGCTGCTCAAAAATGATTTCAAGCCTATTAATTATTTTAAATGATTTAATCTCTAACAATTGACTAATCACTGTTTGCAAAGCAATGACCCTGACTTCAGTTAAGATCCAACATAATCGTCGTGGTAATTTCTGCAATTTGCGGTGTTTCTCGTCGCGAATTGTTTCAGCTACCGTACGCTAATTAGCGTCATTTCATAATGATCTTAAAACGCGGAGGAAGCATAATTCAACATCCTGGCTGCAGGTGAACATCCGATGATAGATCATATTTGAATCATTAGAGTTTCCTCTCGATGATACATACATTATAATTCATCACCGTCGAGGAGTCATTAAATTAAGATTGAAAAGATGACCTTCCTGTCGACCATAGATCAAATTGATATTAAAACGAAAAACAAAGCCGTCATTAGAGTCGGCTTGAGTTAGATGCTTTTAATTTCGAGGTCATCCCTGAAGAATACATGGGAAGTCCCTTCACGTGGAAAGCACTAATCATCGTTTGCGCCTGGTGTCATTAATCCAGAGTAGCCCACATTTCACACCCTGTACCCTCTTTAATTAATTGAAATTCACTCGATAGTAACCGATCGAATTCCGAAATCAATAGCCTGCGATGCTATTACTATGTTACGCCACACTATTCACGAGTTACTTCCGCGAACGAGCGGAATGGCGGAAGTGGCGCGGTGTCGGTGCATCTGAAATTCGTGGACGCGGCAAGGGTGGCCAATTTCCGTGACGAAAATTCCAGCACAAGGACAAAATAGCCTGGCCAGCTGTGTAGCTGTTAGTCGGCGACGAGTTAAGGGTACAAGAAGGAACTGATGGCCGACTCGAGTTGTTGCGGAGGGGCAGGAGGGCCACAGGTGCATCGCACTCGCACGCCCTCCTTTATTACGTTCCTCGGTGTCTTTTCTCCTTCTCTTTTCCGTCCCTCTTGCTTCCTCTACAATCTTATGCTCGTTAGTAACGGGCTGAAGACACGTTTAGTATCATTTTTTAGTATTAACCGAAATTTGCACCTCATTCGAGCAATTATTCAAATGCTTACATTATTTTCTTTCCATATCACCTCTTTTCTATTTCACTTATTTCGTATGCATGAAATAACAGGAACTAATTATTATTTAAATGTCCTTATTTTACAATTAGTTTCTTTGTTTCCCTTCTGACCACACGTTCTCCCTCAACAGTTTCCTTCTCGAAGGCTCGTTTTTCTAGGCTGTCTTTCTGCGTTCCTCTTGCTCGTTCCTCTAATTGTCCCTCTAATTTTCTTTCGGTCGTTCTTTCTTCTACGTTCCTCTTCTTCCTGCTCGGTGAATCCTGCCGGCTGCACGTACAGTCGTTAACATTTCGCCGCGTGCTCGCGTACAATGCGTCCGTTCGAATGAATGTTCGCCATAAGTTGCGGCGCACGTAAAAGACGTCTTCCGCGAATCGCGTGCACCGGTGTCCCTTGAACATTCCACTTCCGGTGCTTCGTGAAATCTCGACGGCGATTCTCGAACGTTTTACGAACGTTTCTCCCTCTTCATTCGGTCGATTACGATTCTTCAATTGCGAATAATATTTCCCAGCAAATTCTACAAAGTTTCTTCCCCTCTTCGACGGTGTATATCTATGATTTTCGTTCTCTAACCGAATCTAACGATTCTCAGTCACGAAGGTACTAATTAACTTTCAATTAACTGCCCTACCTTTGCACCGGCTTGTAACATACGTATGTTAAGGTAGCTCGATAAAAAACGCGGTTAATTCAGCAGATAATTAGCGTTACATTTCTTCCCACGGGATTTTTCTTGATGTGCCATTAAATCCGACAATGTTCAGTTGATTAGGGAAACTACAAGTTGCTTAATTATCCTTATCTTCTATTACACCGTGTTCTTCAGTTTATCACTTCTATTCTCATCTTTCGTTAAACGATAGGTAGGCAACATGTGTTCGCAGTTAATTGTGCTTCTTAAATTTCAAAACATCATGGCAACCAGGAAACTGGGTTCTTAGGGCCAGGGCTAAACCGTAAGTTGATACAGTCAGGTTCGGGTAAGGGGGTCGCAAATGCCGACATGTTACCGGGAAGTTGGTCGAACAGGTGCTTCTGCATCGGTTCCCTTGTTTCATGAACAGCAGTAGGTCGACAGTGTTCCAATGGTTCTACAAGGGTTTGGATTTTTCGACGTTCTTTAATCTATTAAAGAGATCCTGTTACATCTATTCGGAACGAAATAAAATGATATAATATAAACGACGTAATTGTTGAAGAATCATGGGTGTGTTGGCCCTGAAAAAATTGAAATTTTCAGTTAATTAAAAAAGTGATTAATTTCGTTCCCTTCTGTTGCAGCCAAGATGAAACATCTTCGGCCGTTGGTGGTGTGGATACTTCTATTCCTGTGTCCAGTATGTAATTCTATTTTTTTATATTTCCTATTCGATCCGCAACGATTTGATCCATATTTTCATACGCGTTCCAGGCCGAATCCCTCAGAGGGGTCGGGCATGGATTGAGGAGAGAAGTATTCTTCCTGAACCTCGAAGACGGCTACTTCGGCTGCCAGGTGAACGAATCGACGGACGTGTTGCAGCTCCTCCAGCTGTCCAAGCTGTGCGACGAGCACGTCGATTGTTACCAGGGCACGGACGAGCAACGTGACAGATTAAAGTGTACAGGTAAGTTCCTCGCAGCCGAGGAAAACCGGGCGGAAAAGTTGCACGGTCGTGTGAGCAGGCGCGGCGAATAGGAAAAGAGGCTCTCCTCGCTTGTTCCACGACTCGACTATGCTACCGTTACGATCTCCACTGTTTCTTTACGTCATTCTGTTGTTCCTGACGCGATTACGCCAGCCAAGCGATTCCTCCGCAGCTCACGCGAAACCGCAACACAAGTTTACGCCTCCTCCTCACCCGGAGGATGGTTAGTAATAAGAAAGCAATCACTTTGAATCAATAAATTTCAATGAACAAAAAATGCAAGTTGATAAACGAAAGATTATCAATTTTTGATTTTCTTTTTCAAAGTATTCACGAGCAAGACACTTGAATCCCATCCATATTAATTATTTTAACGACGTGGAGTAGCGCACCCTGTTGTCGTCGTGTTTTCTTCCATCGAGTTCTTCCTGCGCAATTAATCCCATCGACATTGATCTTTTTTTATTCTTCTTCTCATCGTAATCAACGTTTGTTCGTCGATGATGAACACGTTACGTAACCCGCTGGGAAACGAATTACTCATCGCAATCAACATTTTTACACGGCTCGCGGTATTTTCTCACCGATGACTAAGGGTTCGCGTTGTGTTTACCCACGACAAATAACGAATTGATTTCTCTTCTGCTTCCGACAATAGATGACTGCACGAAGGAGGACGGAACCAGGTGTCTGAACGGTGTCTGCTTGAATTCCGTTTGTCATTGCAACGACGGTTTTGGTGGTTGTAATTGTCAGGTACCGGGTGAGTAAATTAGAAAATTAAATAACCAAAATTACAACTTCCCATGACGATTCTGCTCGAACATATGTACGGGTTAATCGTCCGTGAAGGGTTAATGGCTTAGCGACGCAGGATAATGCATCATGCAATTCTGAAACACGTTGCAGACGAGAACGAGTGCAAGTACCGACCCTGTGATATATTCGCGCATTGCACGAATACTCTTGGTAGTTTTCAATGTTCCTGTTTCCCTGGCTATCAAGGCGATGGTTTCTACTGCGAAGGTATGCAGCAATAATTCTTTCTCTCACGTATGTTTGTCATGCTCCCTCCACGTTTCCTCATTGCTCGCTGATACGTATCTGCAGACATCAACGAGTGCGACAACCCGGCTTTCGCCTCGAGATGCGTGGAGAACGCAGAATGCTGTAATCTTCCCTCGAATTTCCTATGCAAGTGTAAATCCGGTTATATCGGCGACGGGGAGGTGCACTGCGAGGACGTGAACGAGTGTGCGATACCTGGTGCATGCGGTGACAATACCGTTTGTCATAACATCCCTGGAAATTACACCTGCGCTTGTCAGGATGGCTTCACGGGAGACCCGTACGAAAGTGTAAGTATCCTATATTCTTCGTAATTTCACGAGTTTTTCTAAATTTAATCGTGACTTTGTATAGTGTATCGATATCAACGAATGCGAATACGAGGGTGCTTGCGGAAGGGGTGCTTTGTGCGTGAATTTACCTGGTGCTCACAAGTGCGAGTGTCCTGAAGGATACAACGGCAGTCCCGAAGAGGAATGCCTGGACATCGACGAATGTTCACGCAGCCCTTGTGGTCGTTCAGCTGAGTGCACAAACGTGCACGGAAGTTTCCGTTGCTCTTGCCCGGAAGGAATGAGCGGCGATCCTTGGATCGGCTGCCACGGTGAGTAACTTCGTTCCTAATTATCTGAAACGTTAGTACACAAGTTATAACATTCAGCTGAAAGTATCGTTAAATTGAAATCTCAGTGTGGTAAGTCTTAGAGAAAAATATAGAAAACATAGTAGATGTTAAAATTATTTTTTTTAATAATTGTCTGTGTTTAACAATTAAATAAAATTCATCGGATAACACGATTAATGATTGATTGTGATTAATCGAGAAATGACAGTAAAATTACTAACATCGCGGTAACAGATGTAAACGAGTGCGAGGATGGTTCAGCCTGTGGCGCGGACGCTGATTGCGTGAACACAGAGGGTAGTTTCGAGTGCAGATGTCGTGCTGGCTATCAGATGGATTCCACACACGGTTGTGTCGACGAAAACGAGTGCAGTCGGACGGATGCGTGCGCGGCGAATGCAAGATGCATCAATGTGCCGGGATCGTACAAGTGCATCTGTCCCCAGGGCTTCATCGGTCAAGGACTAACATTGTGCGAAAGTCAGTCTCTCCTTTCTAACTCTTGTAAAAGAAAAGAAACACTTGTTTAGTTGTCGCGATTGTAAATAATCCAGTAACATACGATAACATGCGATTAACCGTGTTGATTAACAGACGTGAACGAATGCGAGAGAAATCCTTGCGGCGAAAACGCCGAGTGCAGCGACACGATCGGCAGCTTCGTATGCAGTTGCAAGACGGACTACACTGGGGATCCTTTTAAGGGATGCAGCGGTTAGCAATTAAGATCATAGTCTTCCTTTTTCTTCTATTTAGAAGCATAGCGTTCAGAAACGTAAATTGTTGAATAATGACAAATTTGGGTAACAGAGAACACAGTACTTTCTGAATGATCATTTCCACTGACATTAATATTAATGATTCTTAGACATCGATGAATGCACGGCGTTGGAGAATCCTTGCGGAAGATACGCGATTTGCAAGAACACGGATCCTGGGTACAATTGCATCTGTCCGACGGGATATAGTGCCAATCCTAATCCGACAGTCGCTTGTGAACAGGTAATTAATATTACTTTAAATCCAAATGATTTAATCTAACACAAAATTCGTCGCAGACCGATGTGACTACACTTTGCAAATCGAACTTCGACTGCGTGAACAATGCCGAGTGCATAGAAGGACAATGCTTCTGTAAGAATGGATTCAAGGCTGTAGGAGCCGAGTGCGTGGACCTGGACGAGTGTCTTTCGAATCCTTGCGGACCTGCTTCCATTTGTAGCAACACCAGAGGAAGTTATCACTGCGAGTGTGAGTCTGGTTTTGTTGGAACTCCGCCGCACATACCCTGCAAAGGTAAATTAAAATCAAGCGACTGCAGTAGGGGGTGAATATTGATTGCAGAAAGATAATCGAACGGGTGATTTAATTTTGGCAGCACCTTGCGACGAAGTAACTTGTGGAGACCATGCGTATTGCAAGGCAGATGGTCACGAAGCGTACTGTATCTGTGAGGATGGCTGGACCTTCAATCCAAATGACATTGCAGCTGGCTGCGTTGGTAAGGAAAGGCTTGATGACATCGACAATTGGTTTTTTACGCGACAACATAAGTAATTTGTTCCTCCAACTAGATATAAACGAATGTGACGCCGTAAATGGCCCTTCGGGTCGTTGTGGAAGAAACGCAATCTGCACTAACACTCTGGGTGGCTTCAGTTGTCAGTGCAAGCCTGGATTCGCTGGAAATGCCTTCAAACAATGTCTAGGTATATAAGAAACGAATAAAGAAAATTCTTTTCTTATTGGACAATTTTGATAATATTTTGAGTTTTAATATAGACGTAGACGAGTGTACCAGACACGATGCCTGTGGTCACGGTGCTACCTGCACGAATACAGAAGGTTCTTACGCCTGTACTTGTCCAGAGGAAACCATACCGGATCCTGATCCTTACATCAAGTGTGTCGGTATAGTTACCTGCGAGGTTGACGGAGACTGTCCTGGAAATGCCATTTGCGACCCACAGAAACGATGCCTGTGTCCGGAACCCAACGTTGGAAATGACTGTAGACGTGAGCAATCAAAATTTCTGAATCCTAATTTGATGGATCATTTCGTGAGAATAATATTCATGAAAATTTCTATGTGTTTCTTTCAGATCCTTGCGAGGACTTGACTTGTGGACCAAATGCACATTGCATGTTATCTAACGACGTGGCAACCTGCCTGTGCCGCAGTGGTTACACAGGAAAGCCTGGAGTTAAGGGTGGTTGCAGGGATATCGACGAGTGCGCGATCAATCCGTGTCCTCAGGGTGCAATTTGCAACAACGAGCCTGGTTCCTTTTCTTGTCAGTGTCCTAGCGGTACCACTGGAGATCCCTACAGTGGTGGTTGCCAGGAATCTAAGTCCCCACACGTTTGTGGACCCAGCACCCCGTGTCCAGCTGGGGAACAGTGTATCAAAGATGAGTTCGTGGGCAGTAGTGTGTGTATTTGTCAAAGAGGATACACTCGTGACCATGAAACTGGTAAATGCAGAGACATCAACGAGTGTATGGAGCTCAGGGAGAAACCTGCCTGTGGTGTCAATGCTATTTGCAAGAATCTACCTGGGAGTTATGAATGTCAGTGTCCACCTGGGTTCAATGGGAACCCCTTCTCCCTTTGCGAAGGTACACTTCCAGTGCTATGCTGAATTCATAAAAAATCCTCGAGTTAGATTCTCAATAAATTTTCATTTACGTTAATTACAGAATGCAACAGCATCGAATGTCAGTGTCAGCCTCCCTACAAGATCGTTAATGGTAAGTGTATGTTGGCTGGGTGCTCCAAGGGTGAGAAATGTCCCAGTGGTGCTGAGTGTATAACGATCGCTGGTGGAGTCAGCTATTGTGCCTGTCCTAAAGGGTACACTACCAAAATTGATGGTTCTTGCGAGGGTGTGTATCATTTCTATCTTACCTTAAAATTAATCTTCACATATCATTTTTTTTTTTTTTTAATTGACATTGATTCACAGATATCAACGAATGCATCGTTGGACACCAAGTTTGTGGATACGGAGCGGAGTGCATCAATTTGCCTGGTTCCCATCAGTGTGTCTGTCCGCATGGATATGGCGGAGACCCATACAACGGTCTCTGTTCTCCGGCCCAGAAAAGATGCACAAGCGACAACGAATGCAAAGCTAACGAGAAGTGTGTGCAACCTGGCGAATGCGTCTGTCCACCACCGTTTTACTCAGACCCTCTCGATGGCAACCTTTGTAAAAGTAAATTTCATGAAAAGAAATGTTTAATACGTTGGTCGAGAAATTTTTTAAACTGACGTTCCTTTCGAATGTTTCAGATCCCTGTGATCGTTTCCCATGTGGTATGAACGCGAAGTGTACCCCAAGCGATCCACCAAGGTGCATGTGCGAGGCTGGCTACGAGGGAGATCCTCAACATGGATGCGTCGATGTGAACGAATGTGCGAACAATCCCTGTGGACACGGTGCTTACTGCATCAACACCAAGGGCGACCATATCTGCGAGTGTCCAAAGGGAACAGTGGGTGATCCTTATGGTGCTGGTTGTACGGGAGTTGCTATTGCAAAGAACGAGTGCTCTTCCAACGACGACTGTGATAATATTTTCGCTTGTGTAAACGGAAGGTGCGTGAACCCTTGTGAAAACATACCTTGTGGACCAAATGCCTATTGCGAACCTGACAAGCATGCTGCTTGGTGTCGATGTGTGATCGGATTCGTGGAGGGCAAAAACAACGAATGTGTTTCTCGTGAGTATATAAATAATTATAAAATATTTCAAATGATTTTTAATCAACAAATTACTTATCTGTTTATAGAATGCGACGGCTTCGTCTGTGGCTCTGGAGCACAGTGCATCGTGAGCTACAGCGGACCAACTTGCAAGTGCATCGAAGGTTTCATGGGCAATCCGTTCCCTGGTGGACAGTGCCAACCGGACGTCTGTTCACCGGATGTTCCCTGCGCTGAGCCAAGTGTCTGCATAAGTGGAAGGTGTAAACGCCGCTGCGAAGGGGTAGTCTGTGGTGTGGGTGCTTCTTGCGATCCGTCTACGAACAAATGTGTCTGCAATCCATACTTCATTGGAAATCCTGATCTTCTCTGTATGCCACGTAAGTATCATTAGAATTTCACAATTTGACAATCTTTTTACAGACAAAATAATTAATTACCTATAATCTGGCAGCGATCAATCCTGCTGTCTGTGATCCCGGCTGTGGTCCTAACGCCCACTGCGAGTATACTCTTCAAGAATCAAAATGTGTCTGTAATCCTGGAACTACTGGAAATCCGTATCATGGTTGCGGTATACAAGACAAGTCTGATTGTTCCACCGCATCGTGTGGCAAAGATGCACACTGCAACGCTGGACCGAATGCTGTTGAGTGTTTATGTCCTCCTGGATACGCAGGGAACCCCTACATTCAGTGTCATGGTTGGTATAAGCAAATATGTGACGAAACGTGTATGTTTAAACCGACGTATAACACGTGCGTTAATTGTTTCAGACATCAATGAATGCAATGGAAATGCTTGTGGAAACAATGCAGTTTGCATCAACACCATCGGGAGCTACGATTGTCGCTGCAAAGAAGGCTTCTTCGGCAACCCGTTCATCGGTTGTCAGCAAGTCCAAGTGGGCCCCTGCACCGATCCTTCAACCTGTACCTGCAGCGACACCGTTCCATGCCCCTTCGACTACAGTTGCGTGGGTGGCAAGTGCATAAACAAATGCAGCGACGTGAAATGTGGTCCCAGATCGGTTTGTCAAGATGGTGCCTGCGTTTGCCCACCGGGATACAGCGGCAATGCTAACGACCTCACCAAAGGCTGTCATCTTCACGGCCACTGCTCCAACGACCTGGACTGCGAGCCTCAGCAAATCTGTTTCCAAGTTGGCAAAGGTGTTCGAAAGTGTGTCGACGCGTGCAGCAAGCTGCAGTGCGGTCCGAACGCATTGTGCATCACTCAGAATCATGTGTCCTCGTGTCTGTGCATCGACGGGTACCAGGGTAACCCCAGTAATCTGGTAGAAGGTTGTCAGCCATCCAAGTCGGTCATTACACCCGGATGTCGTCGTGATTCCGATTGCCCGGATGGTTCATTCTGTATCGACTTGGACAGTGGTACTCGCGAGTGCGTGAATCCATGCAGCAAAGTGGTTTGCGGTGCCCATCAGAAGTGCGAACCGGACATAATCCCTGGCCATGCTACCTGCAAGTGCCAAGATGGATACGAGTGGAATCCGATATTGTCCTCCTGCGAGAAACCATCTGTTCCCGATTGTATCTCGGACGACGACTGCCATTCGACTGAAGCCTGTAGACCTGACGCTTTGGGTGTGCTGAAGTGTATCTCTGTGTGCCGTAGTTTTACCTGTGCGATCAACTCTCAGTGCGTGGCCGAACGACATCACGGTCGCTGCGAGTGTCTACCAGGCTTCATCGGTAATCCAAATGATCGTCAGGGTTGTCAGACACCTAGAAAGGATCAATGTTCAACCGACAGCGAGTGTCCGGAGGATCAGACTTGCAGAAGCACGGAGGAAGGACTACTGACCTGTCAACCAGTATGCAACTTTGTTACTTGCGGTCCAAACGCTCTCTGTATAGTTCACAATCATGTCGCCAATTGCGAATGTCCACCTGGTCTCTATGCCGGTGATCCTAACGACGTGGTTAAAGGATGTCGCACTGTTCCTTGTGTCTACAACATCGATTGTCCACCTACTCAACTGTGCAACAGGCTAACACACACGTGTTACGATGCTTGCGACGAAAATGCCTGCGGAGCAAACGCTGTTTGCATCGCAGACGACCATAGAGCTATCTGCCAATGCCCACCTGGACTTCGACCTAATCCTGTGCCAGACGTAGAATGCGTTGCCATTGAAGCTTGTCACCCGAATCCCTGTCACGAGACGGCCATATGCGTTCCAGGACCTTCCAATAATCCTATCTGTCAGTGTCCATCCAATTTCGTCGGTGATCCCTATGGCAATGGCTGTCAACCTGAAGGCTACTGTGCTAGCGTCAAGGACTGCCCTGTTCATTCTATCTGCCACAACCATCGTTGCGTCAATCCTTGTGAAGATGCTTGCGGACCGAATTCCATATGTGAGCTCGTCAATGGACAACCGACCTGTAAATGCATTCACAGATTCGTTCCATCTTCGAAGGGACCGCAAGATGGATGCGTCCGGGCGAAGAACTATTGTGCCGTCGATGCTGATTGCGATGAAAGCGTATGTTTGGATGGACAGTGTATAGGTAAGATATATTTTAATTGATTTTTGAATTTAATATAGATTCTTGTTTTTAAGAAATACGTCTCTTACAGCTGTCTGCAGAGCTACTGATGACTGTTCTATCGGTGAAAAGTGTCTGAACAATAAGTGCATGGTTCCTTGCGTCACTCATAATCAGTGTCAGAATGATCAGGCCTGTGTCAATGGAGTTTGTATTCTGGGATGCAGGAGCAATAAGAACTGCCCCTCAACTGAGTCCTGTATCAACAACAAGTGTCAAGGTATACATTCAAGAATACAAAAATAGTCCGTTAACTTATGATATGGTTTCATACGAGTTATTTTTTTTATAGATCCATGCAAAAGGAAAGACGTCTGTGGTCCAAATGCAATCTGCAGTTGCACCAATCATGCAATCACCTGCACCTGTCCACTTGGTTTCCACGGAAATCCCACGCCGCAACAGGGCTGTGTCAGAGTACCAGGCATCTGCGATGGTCATCAAGATTGCCCCAGTCAGCACGTCTGTGTTTCTGGATTTTGTCAATGCCAGTGCAGTGAACAGAACAACTGTGCTGAAGGAGAACGCTGCAAGAACGGTATCTGCGTTAAGATATGCTACAGCGACAGCAATTGTTTGCCCGGCGAATTGTGCATCGACGGAGTGTGCGAAGTGGGCTGCACTTCCGACGTCGGCTGCAAGGACAACGAAGTGTGCATCAACAACAAATGCAAATGCAGTCACGGATTCGTTGCTGGTCCAGAACGTTGCTTGGACGTGAACGAGTGCGAGGATCAACCGTGTCACTCGAGCGCGGAGTGCGTCAATCTTCAAGGATCCTATCGCTGCGTCTGTCCATTAGGCACTGCCGGTGATCCTGTAGGATCTGGCTGTGTGATACCTCATCAGTGCACCGTCAATGCTGATTGCGCGGATTCACAAGCTTGCATCCAGCATAATTGCACCGATCCTTGCTCTCTGGTTGATTGCGGACCTAACACTGTTTGCTCTGTACTGGATCACACTGCTGCCTGTCAGTGTCAACCTGGTTACATCGGCGATTCCTCCGGGTGCTTCAAGGTGGAATGCCTTTCCAATAACGATTGTTCTACAGATAAATATTGCAACCAGGATACCAACAAATGCAGCGGTAAGCGATGGATTTATAGATTCTTGAATAATTTCTGATGGTTCTTTATAAGATCACATGATATTCTGTTTGAAATTGTTTAGGTCCTTGTAACCAAGTGGATTGTGGATACGGTAATTGCGTAGCCTACGATCACTCTAGTAAATGCAAATGCTATCCAGGATTCGTGCTGGCAGGTGATATCTGTGTCGACGTTAACGAGTGTTTGAAGAATCCTTGCCACCCTTCTGCAGTGTAAGTAAAATAGAGACACTTGTCGTGAGGTCTGGAGGCTCCGATTATAATAGTGCATTCTTGTATGCAGTTGCCAAAATTCAGAAGGATCGTACGAATGCATTTGTCCACATGGTCTGGTGGGAGATCCCTTTAAGTCTGGTTGCAAGCAACCCGGTGATTGTTTCACGGATACCGATTGTCCGAATTCTGCAGCTTGCGTTGACAACAGGTGCAAGAATCCTTGCGATATTTCGACTACTTGTGGCAAGAGTGCAGAGTGCTTCGTTCAGGATCATGTTCCCCTTTGCAAGTGCCCTGGACAGACCACTGGAAATCCAGCGGTAAGTACATAAATTTTATTCAATCCCTTCCAGAGGCTCTTGTTAAAGTATAAAATTATAAATTCAGGTGGAATGCGTCCACTTGGAGTGCAACTACCACAGTGACTGTAATCCTTCAGACGCGTGTTACAATCACAAGTGCGTCGATCCTTGTTCTCTATCGAACGTTTGTGGTCAAGGAGCAGATTGTTCACCCTTGAATCACAGTGCTGTCTGTACTTGTCAGCCAGGTGGTACAGGCGATCCAAACTTAGGTTGTACACCTGTTCAATACTGTAAGTCGGATTCTCAGTGTTCAACGGGTTCGGCATGCAGCGGTGGCATATGTACAGGTGAATAAAAATTTCAAAAAAATGAACCAACACCAGGGTGGTTTAAATTTAAGACGATGTTTTATCTGTGTCTTGTTTCTGTAGCACTCTGTGGTAGCACAAGGGATTGTATCGGTGACCAACTTTGCATCAATGGTCTCTGTCAACCCACTTGCAAGAGTAATTCCAGTTGCCCAGAGTATCAGTACTGTCACAACAACATCTGTGTACAAGAATTGCGTTGCACATCCGACGACGATTGTTCTTACGACGAAAGGTGCATCAAAAATAACATTGGACAAGCAGAATGCCAGAAATCTTGCGACTTGGTCCTTTGTGGACGCAACGCTGAGTGCAGAGCCAATGATCACCAGCCGGTGTGCTCTTGCAAAGCTGGTTTCTTCGGAAACGCCAAAGACGACAAAATCGGCTGTCAACCCATCGAGTGCGAAAGTAACGATGATTGCAGCGGAGAGAAAATCTGTGATACTCACAAGTGTAGGATCGCGTGTTTGGCCCACAATCCTTGCGGCGTTAATGCTATTTGCACTGCAGAGAAACACGTTCAGGTAACTATTCTGGCATGTAAATTCATAAGAGAGATATTAAATACACGCAATTACTATACTTCCAACAATTCTATATTATCCTTTAGATCTGCACGTGTCAACCAGGATACACAGGGGAACCAACGCATGGCTGTCAACTGATCGACTATTGTTTGAACGAACCATGTGCTCCCGGAGCTGTGTGTGAAAATTCCCGAGGATCCTACAAGTGTCACTGCCAACAAGGTATGGTTGGCGATCCGTACAACAGCGGCTGTCAACCACCAGTCGAATGCCTACACGACGACGACTGTCCATTAACTGCTAAATGTATAAACGTCAACAATATACCAAAGTGTTTCGGTGTGTAGTTTTTTCAAAGCAATCTCTATGGTACGAATAAAAATTTTCTCATATTTAATCTTGCTTCTACGTTGTATTTTCCAGATGTTTGTTCACGTACACAGTGTGGACCGAACGCAGATTGCGTTGCCACTAATCACGCAGCAGCCTGCCAGTGTAGATCCGACTACGAGGGTGATCCAAACAATTTAAGTATAGGTTGTCGACCAAAACCAGTAACTTGCTCATCAGCCACAGATTGCTCGACTAATACTTACTGTTACGAAGGGATCTGTCGACGTAAGTACTATCTAATCATCCAGGGCATCGTTCCCTCGAACCGTGAATCAAATAAAATTCATTTGAAACCCCTCCAGCGTTCTGTCAATCCGACGAGGAATGCAATCTATCGGACGTGTGTCTGAATGGACAGTGTTTGGATCCTTGTAACGTAAGAGCTGCATGCGGAATAAACGCGGAATGCAACGTAAGGAGTCACATCAAGCAATGCAGTTGTGCTCCGGGATTCACTGGGAACTCGGAAGTGGAATGCGTGAGACGTAAGTTCCTAGACTATCATTCTCGGTCACACGATCTTTATCGTTCGATCTCCAGTATCCTCCATTCTTACCTCAGCATCTAATCCCACGATACTTGATCATTCCAGTGCCGGTGTCCTGCAAAGACAGCAACGATTGCAACGAGGGCAACACCTGTCGCGACAACGTGTGTCTACCGATCTGCGATAGCGACACCGAGTGCGCGTTCAACGAGAAATGCGTCCGCGGCAACTGTCTGCTGACCTGCAGACTCGACAACGATTGTTTCCTGGGTCACATATGTCTAAACAACATGTGCACCTTCGGTTGTCGCGCTGACGAGGACTGCAACGCTAACGAGGCCTGCATTACCAACAAGTGCACCAATCCCTGTGAGGCAACTCCGTGTGGTCCGAACGCAAAGTGCACTGTCTTCAATCAACGAGCCACTTGTTCGTGTCCTGCGGGTTTCATTCCTAATCCAACTGCGAAAGTGGCTTGCCTGAGATCACCTGGACCTGCCTGCCAGGCGAGCAGGGACTGTTCAACTGGAACAACTTGTATCGGAGGTGTCTGCACACCTGTCTGTTCTACGGACTTGAATTGTCTGAGCAACGAACGCTGCGACCCCTCTGGCATCTGTAAATCCTTGTGCAGGAGGGACGAGGATTGTAGGAGCGGAGAGATATGCGAGGGACTCGTCTGTGTGATTGGATGTCGATCGGACGTAGAATGCCAGGAAAATTACGCCTGCCTAAATAATCAATGTCAGGGTAAGAAATCTTTGGAATCTTACAGTGCGTGATTACCCTGATCAGTACCTGTGGTTCGACATGTTCAATGTTCATCCTTTTTTTTTTATCATAGATCCTTGCTTGCTCTCCGATGCCTGCGGAGTGAACGCTAAGTGCTCGATCGTGAATCATCGGAAGTTATGCGCTTGTCCTGCACCGTTGGTTGGCGATCCGCTAATTGGATGCAAACAGGCGTTCCTGCCTTGCAACACGGAACTGGAATGCGCGACCGGCCAAACTTGTTACGGCAGATCCTGTTACGCCACCTGCAGAAGGTAAAACGATTAATCCTTGAAGCGTATCTTGTTGTTCATTACGCGAACTGGTTGCCATATGTAAATCATTTTGTAGCGATGCTAATTGCTTGAGCGACGAACGATGCGACGCTGGAATTTGCAAGACTATCTGCAACAGCGACGATCATTGTGCAGCGAATCAGATCTGTCAGAATAGATTGTGCGATATCGGATGCCGCAGCGACAATACTTGCCCCAACGACGAGTCCTGCCTGAACAACAAGTGCAGAAGTATGCGTCTGCATAACGATCTTGATATTAAAAAATTAATTGATTCTAAAATTGATGGCTTTCCTTATAGATCCATGCGAAGGCGGCAAAGCATGCGGAGAGTGTGCAGGGTGCCGCGTGGTGAACCATGTAGCACAATGCAGCTGTCCAGCTAATTATTATGGAAATGCATTAATCAGCTGTTCCAAGTCTATGATTCCTTGCGATAGCTCTTGCGAATGCGATGAAATTGGATTCTGCACAAAGAGTTGCTCCAGTCAGGACCAATGTTCCTGTGGAGAAGTTTGTCATTCTGGAAAATGTCGCATCAAGTGTGATATCAATAATTACTGTCCAAAGGTAGTATTGGTTTATTTCAGGTTTTCTTAACGATCCCAACTTGGCCTAACTTACTGTCATTCAATCCAGGGTTACGTTTGTGACGGAGGACTGTGTCTCGTCGGTTGTCGAACTCATTCCGACTGCCCCTCGTCTCTATCCTGCGTGAGTGGCCAGTGCGAGGATCCGTGTTCTGCAAACGGATCTCCTTGTGGCATCAATGCACTCTGTCGCGTTTCCAATCATCGTGCAGTGTGTCTGTGTCCAGAAGGTTTCCAGGGAGAGCCAAGTGAAGAATGTTATCAATTGGAGTGTCACCGAGACGACGACTGCGAGGCGAACAAACGTTGCAGCGAGGATGGAGTTTGTACGAATCCTTGCCTGCAACACGGTGTTTGCGGTTTCAACGCACAATGTAGAGTGGTGAATAGGAAGGCTCAGTGTTCCTGCCCACCTGGACACTATGGAAATCCAAAGATCAACTGCAAGAAAGGTATTGAAAGCTGCAGTTTGATTACTCGAAATGTCTAAGGACCTCTAAAGGACTCGTTCGATGTTTCAGGAGGAGACGAATGTCTGAGAAGACCTTGCGGCGTGAACGCGAAATGCAGGGAGACTTTGAACGGATTCGAGTGTACTTGCGATCCTGGATGTCACGGTGATCCTCATCAGGCTTGCATCTGCGACGGAGGAGAACTTTGCAAGGATGCTCGATGTGGAGTGAATGCTGCCTGTCGCATTTACAACAACCAGCCCCAATGTTACTGTCCAGCCAACTATCCATCTGGCGATCCGATGCATGCTTGTAAGTTTTTGTTTCAGAGAATATTGCACTTGTGCTACATTACTCCTAATTTCCACGATTTCTTTTATTCTTAGGTCTAGAAGGTTTCCATTTTAAATTTACATCTAATTTCCGATTACAGGTAGCACAGACAAGAGCTTAGGCGATTGTCGCACGAACGGTTGCGGTAAGGGTGCCGAGTGCATCCGGGACGGTACAATATTTGTATGCAGATGTCCACCTGGTACCAGTGGATCTCCAGACGTTGAGTGCACCACAGGTAAGAGACGACCTACTAACTGTTTAACCGGGCAGATCTATTAATTTCATGTACAGCATTTGTGACTAGCGAGCAATACTGACGATCAGAGGAACATGGTCCGTAGAATAACCATGTATCGTCTAGTAGGACTTGAAGTAATACATAGATGTATTAATCCAGTGAATCGTTAACAATCGAGAGACAGATGTGATTGGACCAGTTACCAGATTCTATACATATTATATTATACGACACTGGATTTACTCACAATGGTCAACATATATACCTGTACATATATATATACATATATAGACAGTTAGGCATACTGTACATAATGTGTCCAAAGAAGAAACACGTATCACACATGTCTCACACATAACTATTCATATGTAGAATGTTTATTTCAGTATCCAATCTGTCTTGAGGAAACTGTATTATCAAGCAAAATGCTAATGAAAAAGAAAGTATATATATATATAGAAAGAGAGAAAGAGACATATAGACCGCATTTGATTGCAACAACAAAAAAGGTACACATTCACAGTGAACACCGATGATCCATTTCTAGACATAGGATTTAATGATACAGATTGGGAACTGCGAAAGGGACATTCTCATATACCCATGCTTGTTATTTTTTTGCTGGATTTATCCACTGTTACATTATTTTCCTCTTATTTTCTTGTTGAATTCTGTGGGGGCTTGTGTTGTAAATATCGCTGCTTGCCAATTTACGGTACATACATATATATATACACACGTATATATATTTCTTTGGACAACCAGAGGGTTGTACCTCGTGTTGTCGTAAAAGAGTGTAAAGTTCTCTACTTCTTCACAAGAGCTACCCTATTTTATTTCCGTATTATAAATACAAAGCATGTGGTTTATGTTATTTGTGAGAAAGTTTCTTTTCACAGTTCTTATATATGCTTTTTTCTTTTTTTTTCCTGTCCCATCACCACCACCACGACCACCACCCACCGTTCCACCGACTCTACACCAATGACACTACGATTCAAAAATTAAACAAAAAAAAAAAAAAAAAAAAAAAAAAAAAACATGAAAATCTTGGTTGAGATAGAGCGCGAATGCACCAGTGACCTAGAGTGCCCCAATGAAAAAGCCTGCATAAATCTGCAATGCGTGGACCCGTGCGGTCTTCGCGGTGCCTGTGGGATCAACGCTCTGTGTCGTGTGGTTCTGCACAAGCCACGATGTTCCTGTCCGCAGTGCTATATCGGTATGCCCCACACGGCCTGTCATCCAGATCCTAAATGCGACACGCTCAATCCCAGACCTACACCGAGTATCGGTTGCTCGTCCGATCGCGACTGTCCAGAGAGCCTGTCGTGTCACACGCGAACGGGCGAATGTCGTGACCCGTGTTTAAGCTCTCGATACACCTGTGAAGTGAACAAGAGATGCCAGGTGCGTAACCACAGGCCGATGTGCGTATGCAAATACGGTTTCGTCGTGAACGAGATCGGTGAACTGACATGCGCCCCCGACACGTTGACATGCACCAGGGACTTCGACTGTCCGTCGAACGCCGCGTGCGTGAATGGAAAATGCCAGAATCCGTGTAACGTGAGAAAGAAAAAGCCGTGTCCGGCTGATAAAACCTGCGATGTCCTGGACCACCGTCCCGTCTGTATATGCACACAAAATTGCAATCCCTCCCTCTCCATTTGCCTGCGAGACAGTGGCTGCTCTCCAGACTTGGCGTGCCGCAACTATCGCTGTGTGGACCCATGCAGAAACTCCACCTGTCCGGCTGATGCCCCCTGTTACGTGGAGGAGCACAAGCCTATCTGCAAGTTCTGTCCCCCCGGCTTTGTGCCAGATACTAAATACGGATGCATGAAAGGTAAACACCATTTCTCACCACCTATCTCTCTATCTCGCTCTTGCTCTCACGTCTCTCTGTATCTCTCTGTTTGCCTGTCACTCGACTATGATAATAGCTGCCACCGATGATGATATCTTTTTGCGATATCTGGATATCTCTCTGTACAATATTTTTCTCGCCTCTACCGCCTCACACCAAACATACCAGTTGCTACTTTTCAGGTTTCCGACCATTCAGACAGTGGAATCCTTTCAAAAGGTTCAACTATACAGAGTTTGCCCAGATAACTCTTTGAAGTCTGAACTAAATTGGTAGAGTACCAATTTACCAATGTAATCTAGTTTTTAATACCTAGCGTCAATGAATGATCGACCACAGTTCCGTTGTCTGAATGACAAAACGTTTCAGGTTCCAATACCACAGATACAACTGTTCACCACCCCTCGAAACCTAGAATACTCTCCCGCCTCTACTCTGCCGATATTCTTACTGTTCGACGAGTATTTTTTTTTTTCTCCGTTACATCTGTCTCTGCAAAGACCTAATTCGATGATACTTCTGATTGATAGCTTGTCTATTTATCATACGTGCGAGCATGCCAATAACTTAATCTTAATATTAATTCGTAGATTACTTGGAGTAAACAGTACGATATCAGTAGTATAGTTTAATCAGACGCTTGAACGTTTTTTCAGCCTTCTCATGTTCTGTTCAATTTCTCTCTTGGCTGAGATCATTGTGCTGATGTTATATTGTATCCGCAGCAGTTCACGACTACACGCCAGACTATTTCTGCGAGTCCGACGACAACTGCAGCGACACAGAAGCGTGTGTCGATGGATCCTGCGTTGATCCTTGCGTCGACCATTGTCGATTGCCAGTTCGATGTAGGGTTAAAGCACACAGGCCAATTTGCGGCTGCGAGGATGACACTTGTACAGACACTACAACGCAAACATCGTTGTCTACAATTGATTACACAACACACGAAACCGATGAACCATTTTCGACAGTTACACAACCCAACGTTGATACTTTACCATATACTTTATCCACCATTCACGAGGAAACTTCAACAATTTCGTATTCGACCGAGGGTACCACAACTCCTGTTGCTGAAGAAACTAGTTCTGTGTCTGTGGAAGGCAACTTGACTTTGACGACAACAGTTGTTACTGATACTTCAGAAACTTCTACGACACTTTTCCCGGATGTTGCTATAACAGTTAAAGATATAGATACAACTTCGTATGACGAAATTACAACCTCGATCTCTTCAGAGGTACCTGGCGTTAAAGACATTTTAGATGAAAGCACGGATGTTGTTCCAACGGTAGGAGATATTGAAACAACTGTGCCCTATGATGATGGTACAAACAGTATTACTACAGATAGGGTTCAAATAGTCACTCCAGTTACATATGTTCATTTTACGGAGAAGATACCATCATCTGGAGATGTTGTTACAGTTACACCGGTATGCGTAGGAGAATACACTACGGAAACGACAACAGATATTACTGAATCTATAGATATGTCTAGCAGTACAACTGAGGTTGTTACATTTGCAGACAGCTCGACTGAAATGCATTCGACTACCGAAAGTTCGAATTTGATGACAACGGAAGATGTTACGTTGATCACTGTAACAGCAGAGTATCCTTTAGAACAAGAAACAACATTTGAAATACCGTCGACGACTGAACAATATTTCACTGAATTAACAACTGAACAACAATTAACAACGCATCCTTCTGATACTGAACAACATTCTACAGAGCCATTCTCTATTGAGCAACAAAAAACAACTGCACAGTATTTTACAGAACAGCCTTCAACAACCACATATTATTCTACTGAACAAGCTTCAACAACTGAATCTTATTCCACAGAACAATATTCTACTGAACAACCTTCAACAACCACACAATTTTTCACAGAACAACCTTCAACAACCACACAATATTTCACAGAACAACCTTCAACAATCACACAGTATTCTACAGAACAGCCTTCAACAACTGAACAATATTCAACAGAACAAATGCCAACATCAGAACAATCTTCTACTCTAGAAACACCTACAAATGCCACAGAAACAACAGGATATACACGTTGCAATGAAACCATTGACAGTAAAGACTGCAATGTCTGTTTTAACCATACCAATCCATGTTTAAACGAAACTAAATGGAATGTAACAAATCATCGGCCCGTGTGCTTCAACCTAACAGTCAACCAGAGTACATCTAATTGTAGCATACTCCCAGGTAAAGATTTCTGTTGTCGGGAGTGTTGTAAATGTTCTCGTGTTCACCAATGTTGTGACAATCATCCAGTATCCAGATAAAAATTGGAGGCAACCAATTCTGGAGAGTTATCGTTTGATCTATCATCGACCATTTTATCGGATGGTCTCAATTATGAAACGATACAAGAACGAAACATTTAAATGTTTATCAAAATTACAGTACACTGCTGCAATCCAGTGCAGACATGGACCTGCTGCATTAGCGCTCTTTGCATGTTGTATATTATTATTGTGCTTCTGCACGATCTCTTTTTGCTTGACTTATATGTAGCTATTAATTGTAATTCCTTTAAGAAATCCACTTCTAAAGGAAACTTCTGGTTTTGGTTGATAATTTTATTGTATATTTCCTTTAAATAATAATTATGGATTATGGAGTTTCTTTTATGAGTGGACCAACTAACAACTGTTTCTGGGCTTCACACATATAACACAGAAACCATTATATATGTTCTAGAAATTAGATGATTTTGTGTATATTATTTTCTATGTTTAGTATAGTACAATACATTATAATTTTTTATCAAACATATGTGCATAATTTCAAGAACTTTTTTTTTGTTGAAAATTTAAAGGGATCATTAAGTAAATCATAATTGATTAGATTGTGATAGAATATTGGTAGAAAGTCAGACTTAGAATTGTTTAAAAATTTATGGATCGTTATTTTGAGCTTCTAATATTCATTCGTTTCATCAGATACCAAATGCGCAACGCACGACGACTGTCTCTCCCAATTGGCCTGTATTAATCAACAGTGTTTGAACCCCTGCACTGTTCACAATCCATGTGACTTCGTCGAAGTGTGTCATGTTCAAGATCACAGACCCGTTTGCGTGAAAGGTAAAAAACAAATTATCAAAGATATACAGAAAATCAATTGATGCAAATTTACCAAAATGGAATTTTCTCAATTTTCTCAGATATAACGAACGGAACAGATTGCCCTTACTGTCCAGCAGGCATGGAGTGCGACCCAGCGACGTACACTTGCGTGAAAGGTTTGTTCAAGAATCTTCAACCTCATCTTCCACATTATTACCTTTTTTACAGCGTATATTCATTCTGTAAATATGTACATATATATTGTACATATATCCAACAACGTGCAATTTCACTTTCAATTCTACACGTATCAATCGACAATTTCTTCGGTTCACGATTTCTTCTGAATCCCGAGCCTTAACTATCGATAGTTTTCTCTTTACTGTTACAATTATCGAGTATGAAACTCGTTCGACGACACGATTGTTCGATACGATCTTGAATCTTTAGCACACCGACACACGTACACGATACACTATGTTTTATAATACACTCGAGCCTGTCACCCTATATTTTGTACCCTTGCACACTTCCTTGGGGCTACATGGGCTTTCTCAATCTTTCTCTAGCGGGTTGCACTAGCCACAAAGATTGCCCGCTGACAGAGGCGTGCATTGAGGGCACTTGTCAGGAACCGTGTCTCGTTTGGAACCCGTGTGCCCACAACGCGATTTGTGTTAACACGAATCACAAAGCAGACTGCAGTTGCGAGGATGGTTACCACGGAAATGGTTTCTCCTACTGTGCACCAGGTACTTCATTTTTAATTAATTATAAATGGATCGACTACTTAGAAATACCAATGCACAATGTTCTGTGATGGTTTTAGAAGAAGAAGAGGGCAAAAACATCTGCCAATACAACGAAGATTGTCCACCGAGCAAATACTGCGATCGTCTGAACAGGAAGTGTATTGATCCTTGCTTGGAAACAGACTGCGGTGCTAACGCTAACTGTTATCCAGAGAATCATCAAGCACAATGCAAATGTCTGCCGGGATTCCAAGGGAATCCACACGTTGGTTGCACTCAAGGATCTACGGATCCTTGTGTTCCAAATCCTTGCGGATTGGACGCCATGTGTGAGAATGACAACGGAAATCCAATATGCTTCTGCCCGAAAGGTTTAACCGGAAATCCCTTTGAGCAATGCAGTAAGTACGATAAACTTGAAGGATTTATGATCAGAACAATTTGCAATTAATTTCAAAATCTTGTGTCCAGTTCCAGAGGGTGATCAATGCCAAGGCAATCCTTGTGGTACCAACTCTGGCTGCCGAGTAGTATCAGGACAAGTGAGGTGTTTCTGTCTGCCAGGATACGAGGGAAATCCTCCTCAATCTCCTTGCTCGCTACCTACCAACCCTTGCGAGCCATCGCCATGCGGACCTAACACTCAATGCTCGGTTTTGAACAATGGTCTTTCGAAATGCACCTGTTTGCCAGGATATATCGAAAGTCCTAACACGATCAGAGGATGCGTGCCAAAATCCGATCAGTGTGATCCTAATCCTTGTGGACCAGGAGCCAAATGCGATGCGAACAGGATACCACCATGCTATTGTCCTGGAAACACCATTGGAAATCCTTATCAAAGCTGTGCTGGTAAGGAACATTAAAACAATGGCAACTCCATTAATAGTAAAAAGGAGAGTACTGGAATATGGGAGAAAAATTTGTTCATTTTCAGCACCACCAGCCCATGTGCCTGATCCTTGTTTGCTGATGCCCTGCGGAAAGAACGCAATCTGCATCGAAGAAGATGGTGCAGCAAAATGTAAATGCGTGCCACCATTCATTGGTAATCCGTATATAGACGGCTGTGAGGCAGAGTGCATCGTGAACCAGGATTGCGAAAATCATTTGGCGTGCTTCAACCAGCACTGCAGAGATCCTTGTCCAGGTGTCTGTGGTTCAAACGCGAAATGCGAAGTGGTTGAACACATTCCAGTCTGTTCTTGCTTGCCTGGCTACACAGGGGATCCATTCAGCTCCTGTAAAGTCGAGAAGTCTCGTAAGTATCTATAGAAATGAAATTCTTCTTGTTGCAATCGATGGATCATTGCTGAAACTGAACGTCTGATTGAATCTTCCAGCTCTTCCGCCTCAAAACCCTTGTATGCCATCACCTTGTGGACCGCACAGTATCTGTCGTGTGATGAACGATCGTGCAGTGTGTTCCTGCAGCCCAGGATACCATGGCACGCCGCCATCCTGTCGTCCAGAATGTCTAGTTAGCTCGGAATGTCCTGCACATCTGGCTTGCATCGGGCAAAAATGTGGAGACCCTTGTCCTGGTTTGTGCGGTCAGAACGCGTTGTGTCAGGTCGTCAATCACAACCCTATCTGCAGCTGTCCTCCGGAATACGTTGGTGATCCTTTCACCCACTGTGTCAAGGAAGGTAAGTTAATTTGCTGGCCCAGGATGTTAACTTAATCCCTTGTAACGGGTCCCTGGAAAATGAAATTATCTTCTTCTTTATTAGATACGCCACTACCAGGACCAAAGAATCCTTGTCTGCCTCCACCTTGTGGTCCTAATGCGGACTGTCGCGTGCAGGAGAACCATCCTGTCTGTACATGTATCAGTGGAATGTTTGGAGCTCCACCAAATTGCAGACCAGAGTGTTTGATCCATCAGGACTGTCCAAATTACCTGGCCTGTGTTCAGAAAAAGTGTGTCGATCCCTGTGCCGGGTCTTGTGGGTTCAACACGAACTGCACTGTACAGAATCATCGTCCCATGTGTCAGTGTTATCAGGGCTACGAAGGGGATCCTTTCTCTGGCTGCAGCAAAGGTAACGATACTAATTTTTTAATTAATATTTCAAGTTTTCTAATTAGAACTGTCAACATTATTATTTATTATTTTTGTAGTTATTTTCCCTCTTGAATTACCCTGTGATCCATCACCGTGCGGTGCAAACGCAGTCTGCAAAGAACGAAATGGAGCTGGTTCGTGCACCTGTTTGCCTGATTACACGGGAGATCCTTATGAGGGATGCAGACCAGAATGCGTTCAGAACTCTGATTGTGTTCACACGAAGGCTTGTATAAACAACAAGTGCAAGGATCCGTGCATTGGAGCTTGTGGTATAAATGCTCAGTGCCAAGTGATTAATCATCAGCCTTCGTGCAGTTGCTTGTCCGGTTACACTGGGGATCCTCTAAAATCTTGTCATATATCATCTGGTAAGTTTAGTACTTTACGAAATCTACTGACTGCTTATAGAGAATCAATTAATTGTATATGTCGTTTCAGTAACACCATTGCCAGGTGATCCATGCCAACCATCCCCGTGTGGTCCATACAGTAATTGTCGCGTGATTGACAATCACGCGGTCTGTTCCTGTCAACCAGACTACGTGGGCAGTCCACCGCAATGTCGCCCAGAATGCGTGGTCAGCACCGATTGTACTCAAAACACGGCGTGCATTGCGCAAACGTGCAGGGATCCATGTCCAGGCACTTGTGGCCAAAACGCTGATTGCCAAGTCATCAATCACAATCCTGTGTGCAGCTGCACGTCAGGATACACTGGAGATCCATTCTTCGGATGCGTTAAAGAACGTAAGAATCGTATGAAAATTATTTATCTAATGTAACATATGTGGTTTTTAACAAAGACTTACGTTGTTCTCTAAAGCGGAAGCAAAACAGCCTGGAACAGAACCAAGCGGCAACCCATGCATTCCATCGCCCTGTGGACCGAACTCTCAGTGTCGAGTGATAGATGGATTCCCCGCATGTTCTTGTTCACCTAATTACGTAGGCAGAGCTCCTAATTGTCGACCTGAATGTGTAATCAACGAGGGTTGCCCTGGAAACCTGGCTTGTCAGAATGAACAATGCGTGGATCCATGTCCAGGTTCCTGTGGTGTGAACACCTACTGCAACGTCGTGAAGCATAATCCAGTTTGCATTTGCAACACTGGATATACTGGAGATCCGTTCACCGAATGTGTACCAATACTGGAAGGTACGTTGTCACTCGAAAAGTTACCTCCTATGGTCTAGATAGTTCAATGGTTCAGCTTCTATAAAATGTACGTTCCTTTACAGAACCCACCACGACCGAACAACCACGTACACCGTGCAATCCATCACCCTGTGGTGCGAATGCTGTTTGTAACGAACGAAACGGTGTAGGGTCTTGCACGTGTCTGCCAGAATACATCGGCGACCCGTACACAGGTTGCAGACCAGAGTGTGTCACAAACACCGATTGCGAGCGTAACAAGGCTTGCCTCAACAACAAATGCGTGAATCCTTGCCCTGATACCTGCGGTCAAGGAGCCACTTGTCGAGTGATCAACCACGCTCCGTCCTGCTCCTGTCTGCCTGGATACACCGGAGATCCTTTCAACGCGTGCACTGGAATAGAAGTAACACCATTGCCGGTTAATCCTTGCGAGCCTTCGCCGTGCGGACCTAACAGCAACTGCCGTGTACACAACGAACATGCAGTGTGTCTGTGTCAACCAGGATTCGTTGGAGTACCACCTACCTGCCGGCCAGAGTGCATAGTCAGCTCTGATTGTTCTCAGAACAAAGCATGCATCGACAACAAGTGTGCGGATCCTTGTCCAGGGTCTTGTGGTTTGAACACCAAGTGTCTGACGATCAATCACAACCCTATCTGTACCTGTGCGAACGGTTACACTGGAAATCCATTGGTACAATGCACCAGGTTCAACGTGTCCCAGCCACCGTTCAAAGATCTAGGAAATCCTTGCTCTCCGAATCCTTGCGGTCCGAATTCACAGTGCAGAGTCATCGGTTCGCAGCCAGCCTGCTCGTGTCTCTTGAACTTCGTTGGTCGACCTCCAAACTGTAGGCCAGAGTGCACAGATAATTCGGACTGCTTCCATTCGGCTGCTTGTATAGATCAAAGATGCAAGAATCCTTGTCCTGGTGCCTGTGGAGAGCTGGCTAGGTGCACGGTTCAGAACCATGTGCCTATCTGCACGTGTCCTGAAGGGTACGAAGGGGATGCTAGTGTCCGCTGCGTCCTGGCGCCTCCACCAAGTAAGTTTCTATTCTAACATCAAATTATTCTTTCGTGTATCATATTTCCCACCTAATTCTTTTGTTATTTTTTTGTTCAGCTACAGATATAAGTGTATCGAATCCGTGTTCGCCGAATCCTTGTGGTCCAAAGGCACAGTGTCGCGAGAGAAATGGTGCAGGAGCCTGTGCTTGTCCACCAGACTTTATTGGAGATCCTTATGATAACGAAAGGGGATGTCACAGAGAATGCGAATCGAACAACGACTGTGCTCCACAGTTAGCCTGTGTTGGATTCAAGTGCTCAGATCCTTGTCCGAGCACCTGTGGCACACTGTCCATCTGTAAAGTTCAACAACACGTTCCTGTGTGCACTTGTCCTCCTGGGTACACTGGAGACCCATACTACGCTTGTGAAATTAAAGAAATGACAAGTAAATATCATGCCTTATTCAATACGAGTATAAACAAATACATTTTGGAATACACGCTTCTTTTTATTAATTTTAAGGAGTACCTCCGTTGGATCCATGTTCACCATCACCATGCGGACCCAACAGCAAGTGTCGCGAAGTGAATGGTCAAGCAGTGTGCACCTGTCTTCCGGAATACAGAGGAATTCCGCCAAACTGTAGGCCGGAATGTGTGGTCAATGCTGAATGTCCACCTCACGTAGCCTGTCTAAACAAGAAATGTGTTGATCCTTGTCCGAACACTTGTGGATTGAGAGCACAGTGCACCACGAAGAATCACAATCCGATCTGTACCTGTCCAGTTGGTTTTACAGGAGATCCTTTCACCCAATGTTCTCCTTATCGTAAGAATAATTTATCCAGCTATTTTTATATCTGATCACCTTTGAATTCGATTAATCTTTTATGGTTTCTTCGATAGCTATAGACGTCCCTTCGACCACGGAAAGACCACCATCTTGCACTCCATCGCCGTGTGGTCCAAATTCTTTATGCCATATCATATCCGGAAACCCAGCGTGTTCCTGTCTACCAAATTACATCGGTGTACCTCCAGAATGTCGACCAGAGTGCATATTGAGTTCCGAATGCAAGAGTCATTTCGCTTGTGTCAATCAGAGGTGTCAGGATCCTTGTCCAGGATCGTGTGGTGTCAACGCTCAGTGCCATGTTCTCAATCACATACCCGTCTGCACGTGTATGGAGGATTTCACCGGCGATCCATTCACGCACTGCACAATCATTCCTCCGAGTAAAACAACAATTCAAATTTTAACATCGCCTAGTAATGGTTTCATGATCTGTAATGATATTCAATTCAATTTCAGCTGCCTTACCGCCTGTTAGTGATCCGTGCAGTCCATCACCTTGCGGATCAAACGCAATATGCAACAACGGCGATTGCAAATGTCTGCCAGAATACATCGGCAATCCATACGAATCCTGTCGACCACAGTGTATCCTTAACTCGGAGTGTCCACGCGACAATACCTGCCTGAAAAATAAATGCAAGGATCCTTGTCCAGGAACGTGCGGACAGAACGCGGTTTGCGACGTGGTGAATCATATTCCTGTTTGCTCTTGCCTGGCTGGTTACGTAGGAGATCCGTTTGTTAGCTGTCGAGTTCAACCACAAGGTAAATATTTCAACCAAAGATTAGTGTTACAAAATATACATCGATACGATTTCAATACTTAAATTATGCAATTCGTTGCAGTTCCTCAACCATCGAAAGATCCATGCTCGCCCGTTTCACCCTGTGGACCAAACAGCCAGTGTCGCAACATAGAGGATCATGCTGTGTGTTCCTGTCTTCAAGGATACCTAGGCTCCCCACCGTCTTGTAGACCAGAATGTGTAGTCAGTTCGGAGTGTCCGCCAACTCGTGCTTGCATCAACAAAAAGTGTACAGATCCCTGCTTAGGATCCTGTGGATTGAACGCTAGGTGCGAAGTGATCAACCATTCGCCAATTTGCAGTTGTCTTCCTGGTCAGACTGGAGATCCCTTCAAGAGCTGTTATGACATTTCAAGTAAGACTCACCAATTAAATTTCTAATGTAAATACGCTCTTTAAAATTACTTAATCTGATAATCGTGTTCACAGTTCCACCAGATGTCAAAAACACGGGAGATCCTTGCAAACCTTCACCCTGTGGACCAAACGCTCAGTGCCAGAACGCAAATGGATATCCATCATGCTCTTGTCTTCCTTCCTACATAGGTACACCTCCATCCTGCCGTCCAGAGTGTCTCATCAATCCTGACTGTCCCACCGATAAGGCGTGTATTAACTCAAAGTGTACAGATCCTTGCCTAGGATCTTGCGCGGAGAACGCTAGGTGTCTGGTTGTGAACCACGCCGTTACGTGTTCGTGCACATCCGGTTACACGGGAAATCCGTTCGTCCAATGCATCGTGTTGGAAGGTGCGTTTGCTGGACCTTCGTTACAAAGTTTACCTTCTGTGTTCTTTGACTAATTATCACTCTAAATTACAGAGGAAGCGATTAATCCATGCGAACCATCACCTTGCGGGCCTAATGCCATCTGCCAGCAACGCGACAATGTTGGTGCCTGCATCTGTATCGACGACTACCACGGAAATCCTTACGAAGGATGTCAGCCAGAATGCATACTCAGTTCCGACTGTCCAACCAACAAGGCCTGTGTCCGCAACAAGTGCGAAGATCCCTGTCCAGGAATCTGTGGCATCCAGGCTCAATGTTCAGTCATCAACCATATTCCAACCTGCACCTGTCAGCCTGGTTACATAGGAGATCCTTTCACCAGTTGCACTCTGCCGCTAAATCCGGAAACGGAACCCACAGTGTTCCTCCCATGCAACCCATCTCCGTGTGGACCTAACAGCTTGTGTCGAGCCAATAATGAACAAGCCGTGTGTTCTTGTCAGGAATCTTACGTTGGTTCCCCTCCAAATTGCAAACCTGAATGTGTCGTGAACTCCGAGTGCCCTCAAAATAGAGCCTGTTATAAGTACAAGTGTACCGATCCTTGTCCTGGAACCTGCGGAGTGGGAGCCAATTGCCGGGTGATCAATCACAATCCCTTGTGCAGTTGTCCTCAAGGAATGACTGGGGATCCTTTCTCCAGGTGCTACCCTCATACAGGTAGATTGAAATGGAATGTTTCCATTTTATTCAGCGAAAACAATTTTACAATGCTTTACTTTTTATTTAGAGACACCAATGCCACCGGCGGGTGATCCTTGCACACCAAGTCCTTGCGGTCTGTACGCAGAGTGCAGGGCAATCGGTAATCAAGCCGCTTGCTCTTGCTTAAAGAACTACATCGGACTTCCGCCGAACTGTCGTCCCGAATGCGTCGTCAACACGGACTGTGCATCGAATCAGGCGTGCATTTCAGAGAAATGTCGAGATCCTTGCGTCGGATCCTGCGGCCAGAACGCGGACTGCAGGGTGCAGAATCATATTCCTGTTTGCTTGTGCCAGACAGAATACACCGGTGATCCTTTCACGCTATGCTCGCAGATAATGCAACAACCAAAAATACCCGAAGATCGTTGCAACCCATCACCATGCGGACCGAACGCAGAATGCAACGACGGAGTTTGTGCTTGCCTTCCAAATTACTTTGGCGATCCTTACTCCTATTGCCGTCCAGAGTGCACTATGAATTCGGATTGTTCTCGAGTGAAAGCTTGTGTCAATCATTACTGCGTCGATCCATGCGTTGGCACGTGTGGAACGAGTGCAAGGTGTGATGTGGTTAATCACATTCCTATGTGCAGTTGTCCCCCAGGAACCACTGGAGATCCGTTCACTCTTTGTCGACAGCATCTGCCCGACGGTAAGTTGGACCGTATTGACCGTATGGACCGTATCTTGCGGAATTTAAAGAAAAATTATTAGCTAAGTGTTCATTTCTTCAGAACCAAGAAAACAACCTTGCACCCCGTCTCCCTGTGGAGCGAACAGTGTCTGCAAAGTAGCGAACGATCATGCAGTCTGTTCTTGCCAACCAGGATTCATTGGCAGTCCTCCTGCCTGCAGACCAGAATGCGTGGTCAGCGCAGAGTGTCCTTTGACCCAGGCGTGTCTCAACAACAAGTGCCAGGATCCTTGTCCTGGTACCTGCGGTCAGAACACGAGGTGTCAAGTGGTCAATCACAATCCAATATGCAGCTGCCACGATGGACATACTGGCGATCCGTTCACCAGATGTTATCCGATGCCCAGTAAGTTTCTCTAATATCATAAAAGTTTGATCCCAATGTTTCTCAACGTCTTGTTAACATTTTATCATTTATTTACAGAGACACCGCCGGTACCAACGAATCCATGCCAACCATCTCCGTGTGGACCAAACGCAGAGTGTCAAGTGAGGGGCGACAGTCCAGCTTGTTCGTGTATAGAAAATTATATCGGTGTTCCGCCAAATTGTAGACCGGAGTGTACGATCAATCCGGAGTGTCCTCCGCATTTAGCGTGTATGCAACAAAAGTGTCGCGATCCGTGTGCCGGTTTGTGCGGTTTGAACGCGCAGTGTTCGGTAGTGAATCACCACGCGGTCTGTGCTTGTGTCGAAGGTTACACCGGAAATCCGTTCAGCGTTTGTGAGCCGTACACCAAGGGTGAGTTAACCGCAACAGATTTTTGCTATTCTTTTTCTTTTCCGCGCAAAATATTTGCCCTTTGCACGCGGGCAACGCAGGTAAGTGCTTTTGCTCAACCTTCTTTTAACCCATTCATTGCGTTATCTAACAAGAAACCATCGTCGTCGTCAATGAGAATTGAATTAACGAATGGCCCTAACAAAGTGACAAAGCGTCACGATGGTGGCGGGGCCTTAGAAATGATTTTGCACTTATGATGAAAATCGTTAGCAAACGAATCACCCTATGCGATTAACGAGTTCGTTAAGAACAGCACGCCTTCGAAATCCCCTTGCGTACTTACCCCGGAAAATAACCGAGAAAGAACGAATGGTGGCGGGGCCTATGGAGTATAGGCTCTTAATTGCACTCACCCCTTGACTGATACCCGATAACCAACTAGTACCCTTTGATTAGGAAAAACATCGCACGCACTGATCATCCCCAATCATGCCTGGAGATAGAACGTATTTTGCGTCCCTTTGATAGGCACCCTCGTTAAACCTGGACACGGACAATTAACCCCTAGAATGTTGTACCAGCTTGCCTGACCCTCCCCAACTGGGGACATAAACATGCTTATAGAAATGTATCTTAATCCCGAAAACACGCTTAATGGAAAATTAATGGAATTATCATAACGTCCCTTAACGAAATTAAACCCAATTAATGAAACATGAACAGCCACACTCATGAATCAGAATACTCTAACAATAAAAACTAAAGCAAGCTACAATTGAACCACCGAATTTCCAGTTCTGGAATCATTCAAGAAAGCTTCCGCTTTTCAAAGCCATAAGAATTCATAAACTTTGAACAATGAAATAGTTCACGCCACTGCACAAGCTTTGACCGACCACCGTTGCACGATCAGTGAAACTAAAGAAGAAAGTATTTCTTTTCTTTCCATCAGATACACCCCCAGACCTTAGGAAACCATGCGAGCCTTCCCCATGCGGTACAAATGCGATTTGTCGCGAGAACAACGGCGTTGGTTCCTGTTCCTGTTTGCCAGACTACATAGGTGACCCATACGAAGGATGCAGACCCGAATGTACCCAAAATTCCGATTGCGCCAAGACGATGGCCTGTATGGGCCTGAAGTGCAGAGACCCTTGCCCAGGAACCTGTGGATTCCAAGCCCGATGCGAAACGATCAATCACCTTCCAGTCTGTTCTTGCAACCCTGGATACACTGGCGATCCCTTTGCATATTGTACTCCGCCCCCTGTTTCAGATTTAATACCTTCAGAACCATGTAGTCCCTCCCCCTGTGGACCGAACAGTAAGTGTCGAAACGTGAACGACCATGCCGTGTGTACCTGCCTGGCGAATTTCATTGGAAATCCACCGAACTGTCGACCCGAATGCGTGGTGAACAGCGAGTGTCCCTTGGAACTGGCGTGCATCAATCAGAAGTGCACGTCACCCTGTACCAACTCGTGTGGTATCAACACGCAATGCAAGGTGATCAACCACAGTCCCATTTGCATCTGTAATCTTGGATATACTGGAGACCCGTTTACCAAATGTTTCCCTGCTCCACGTAAGAATATTTCTTCTTCTATCAGCTTGACCATCAAACATTTCATCATTTCATCTGCTTCATCCTGGCTACTGATTGACTTTTCCAAGCAATTGCCTATTGAGTGAATTTATTATCATCACTCGTGAAACGATCACCCTCGCAACATCATAGATAATCATCAGAGCTTCAAAGATAATATCAGAAATGAATTCCAGAACCGCCTCAGTGCGACTGCTCCCCAGTCCCGAGAGACCCCTGCGTACCATCGCCTTGCGGTATGTACGCAGAGTGTAGGAATATCGGCGGAATTCCATCCTGTTCCTGTTTGCCACGATACATCGGATCCCCGCCCAACTGTCGACCAGAATGTCGCGTAAACTCCGACTGCCCCATGAACCTCGCGTGTTCCAGCGAGAAGTGCAGAGATCCTTGCCAAGGATCCTGCGGTGTCACCTCCTTGTGCACGGTTTACAACCACGTGCCCATGTGCACCTGTCCCGAAGGATACACCGGCGATCCCTTCAGTAATTGCTACCCTCTACCCATCCAGCCAAGTAAGAAGGAACAGACTCAATTTACTCCTTCTTTATAAACTTTTAATTTACAGGAAATCAAGGCTAATCCGTTTGTTCCATTAACAGCTATGCCAGCTGTCATTGACCCATGCGCCCTGTCGCCCTGTGGCCCTAATACACGTTGCGACAATGGTGTCTGTACCTGTTTGGACGAGTATCAGGGTAACCCTTACGTAGGCTGTCGACCAGAGTGTGTCCTGAATACGGATTGCCCGCAGAATCGTGCCTGTGTGAGGAACAAGTGCGTTGATCCTTGTCCAGGCATCTGTGGCGAAAATGCACAGTGTCTGGTGCATAATCACATACCCATGTGCAGTTGTATTAAGGGAATGGTTGGAAATGCTTTCGTTCGATGTTCTGTCCTTCAAGGTACTACTTGTCATTTCCCTTTAAGCTCGCGAAATTGATATTTTCTGAATTCCTGTATCATTGTTACGATCATAGATTCAGTAAAGAGGAACCCGTGCTCACCTTCGCCTTGCGGACCAAACAGTGTCTGTAGGGAGATAAACGAGCAGCCTGTCTGCGCCTGTGTGGCAGGATTCTTGGGTGTACCGCCTGCCTGCAGGCCAGAATGTGCCGTCAGCTCCGATTGTCCCCTGACAGAGGCTTGTAGTAATCAGAAATGTATAAATCCATGTCCTGGTTCTTGTGGATTCAGCGCTCTTTGCAACGTAGTCAATCACAACCCTGTATGCAGTTGTCCGCCAGGATTCCCTGGCAATCCTTTCGTTGACTGCTCTCTAGGACGTAAGATCTTTCATTGCTAAATTTTATTTTACCAATATGATCGATCATTGATTCTGACTGACGATATATTTTTAGCTCCGATACTCTCTTTGCTGGAAAATGCATGCGAGCCAAACCCTTGTGGACCTAACTCTCAGTGTCGAGTCGTGAACAACCAAGTTTCCTGTTCCTGTTTGTCGGAATTTACAGGTTCTCCTCCTAATTGTAGGCCAGAATGCATCAGCAACAACGAGTGTCCTAGCCACTTGGCTTGTGTCAATCAAAAGTGTAGAGATCCCTGTCCTGGATCCTGTGGAGCCAATGCAGAGTGTCGCGTGGTCAGTCATACACCCATGTGTGTCTGTCCTAACGACTACACAGGCGATCCTTTTACTCAATGTACTCCCAGACCACGTAAGGATCGAAACATATATCTAAATTCTTCTTCAATTAATGTAGAAGTTCTTCGATTAATCGCATTGAGAACTTTCAGCTGTACCCTTTGATCTATCTCCTTGTAAACCGTCACCGTGCGGTTTCAACGCGATATGCAAGGAACAGAACAGTGTTGGTTCGTGTTCCTGTTTACCCGACTACATCGGCAACCCTTACGAAGGCTGTCGACCCGAGTGCGTTCTCGACTCGGATTGTCCGCCTACGTTCAGTTGCATACGTTCCAAGTGTCAAGACCCTTGTCCAGGCACCTGTGGCACGAACACCGAGTGCAGAGTCATCAATCATCGACCCGCCTGCATGTGCATCCCTGGATATAGCGGAAATCCATTCCAATACTGTATTTTGATACTCGAAATAGGTATATACATCGTTTCTTTCAATCATTTTGTTTGATGAACATGTCGAGATAGTTTATTAAGAAGGCTAAAATTTCGTAGAAGATAAAACCAAATACAAGGACCCATGCCAACCCTCGCCCTGTGGACCAAATAGTCAGTGTCGAGTAGTAAACGGGCAAGGAGTTTGCTCCTGTCTACCGGAATACACAGGATCCCCACCCATGTGTCGTCCCGAGTGTGTTCTGAATACAGATTGTCCTCAGGATCGCGCGTGTGTTAATCAAAAATGCACTAATCCGTGTCCTGCTTCGTGCGGCACGTTCGCTACCTGCGTAGTCAGGAACCATAGCCCGATTTGTGCCTGTAGGGAATCGTACACTGGTGATCCATTCACTAGATGCTTCCCCATGCAACGTAAGTTCTCGTATTTCAAAGTAACAAAAGCTAGCCCAAGATCAAAGGATATCATCTTCAACTAATTTGATTTTACAGAATCTCTACCTCCCGCAGTAGTCGAACCGTGTTTGCCTTCTCCTTGCGGTCCGAATTCCGAATGTCGCGTAGTTAATGGTGGTCCATCTTGCCAGTGTTTGCCCACCTACATGGGAAGTCCTCCCAATTGTAGACCGGAGTGCATCATAAACTCGGATTGTCCTAGCAATAGAGCTTGCATAGGACAGAGGTGTATGGATCCTTGCCCAGGATCCTGTGGAGTGTCAACCCAGTGCAACGTGATCAATCACGTGCCTATTTGCACTTGCCTTCAGGGTTACACCGGAGATCCCTTCAGCAATTGTTACCCAACACCACCCCAACGTAAGATTTTAATCAGGATTTTTCTCGTTTGCACCAGTTCCCGTACCAATTTACACAAATTCTTGCAGTACCAACTCCTGAATCAGACCCCTGTAATCCGTCACCTTGCGGACCAAACGCACAGTGCAACGCAGGAGTGTGCATTTGCTTGCCAGAGTATCAGGGTGATCCCTACACCAGTTGTCGACCAGAATGTGTCCTTAACAATGACTGTCCTCTGAACAGAGCCTGTGTTCGCAACAAGTGCGTGGATCCGTGTATAGGTACCTGTGGCAGGAATACGCTATGCAATGTCCTGAACCATGTACCCATGTGCAGTTGCCCACCTGGAATGGATGGTAATGCGTTCATCTCCTGTGATCCAATGGCAGGTACGGAAATTGATCACAGCCCATAATTACATTGATAAGAATTGATGGACATTCATATTATTCCTGCTTTAGAACCAATTTTAGTGAACCCCTGTAACCCGTCCCCCTGCGGACCCAACAGTCAATGTCGAGCAATAAACGAACAAGCCGTATGTTCCTGCGTGCCAGGATATCTTGGTACTCCACCCTCGTGTAGGCCAGAGTGCGTGGTCAGTTCAGATTGCCCTAGGAACCAAGCTTGTAACAACCAGAAGTGTATCGACCCTTGTTTGGGTACTTGTGGGCTGAAAGCACTTTGTCAAGTCGTCAACCATAATCCTGTGTGCAGCTGTCCATCTGGCTTCACAGGCGACCCCTTCGCTAGATGCGAATTCATCAGTAAGACCTTCTTATCGCTTTCCCTACAGAATTAATTCAGAAATTATTTAAACGGTCAATTAAAATTGTTGATACTCCTTCTATCCCTGTAGCTGTGAGCGCAACACAGGAAGACACGTGTGCCTCTTGTCAATGCGGTCCCAATTCCGTGTTCCAAATGATCAATGACAAACCGTCTTGCGCCTGTTTGCCCAACTTTATCGGTTCCCCGCCAAATTGTAGACCGGAATGTGTGAGCAACAGCGAGTGTTCAAGCGATTTGGCCTGCATCAATCGAAAGTGTCAAGATCCATGCCCAGGCTCGTGTGGTTCGAACGCGGAGTGTCGGGTGGTCAGTCATACACCGATGTGCGCCTGTCTCAGTGGCTACGCAGGCGATCCGTTCGCCCAATGCTTCCTGAAACGACGTAAGATTTTCAGAAGACAAATTTTTTATTGAAAAAAAAAAAAAACAAAAAGACACACCACAACAAGAACACAATAGTTCCCTAATCCTGGTGTTTTGTAGAATCGCTCACGAGGATTGAAGTAGTTGTATAATCGCATTAACATTTATGGGAATTCGATTATTTGGTGTTGATGAACATTAACTCTTACCCTGTGACCCCGTTTTTTTTAGCTGAGATTCAATCCCCGCCGCAGTCACCCTGCACACCATCACCCTGTGGTCCTAACGCGATATGCAAAGAACTAAACGGAGCAGGATCCTGTTCTTGTGCCCCGGATTACATAGGAAACCCGTACGAAGGATGTCGACCGGAATGCACCGTGAATTCCGATTGTCCCTCAAACTTGGCCTGCATAAGATCCAAGTGCCAGAATCCTTGTCCTGGCACGTGCGGCCAAAACGCTGATTGTGTGGTGATAAATCACTTACCAAGCTGCACTTGTCTGGCTGGATTCACGGGTGATCCTTTCGTGAACTGTTACGTTCAACCGACGACTCGTAAGTTTATACTTCAGCAATGTGGTCATTTATCATTGTCATCGCCATACCATGGACGCTGCTCGGTAGAGAAGAAATAATATTAGAGATGCTTCTTCATTACGTCGCTTCCATCGTAATATTTGCCTACGGGCCAATTGTACCTGCCATTAACACACTAATTTCAACGAGTAACGCCTTTAGAGTGGGATTCAAACGTGTGAATAAGATCAATTCTGAAAGGAATCGTTCACGACTTACAGCCCCTCTCGAAAGAAACCCGTGTAGCCCGTCGCCATGCGGGCCCAACAGTCAGTGCCGTGTTACAAATGGCCAAGCTGTCTGTTCTTGCCTCCCTGAATACGTTGGCAGCCCTCCAGGATGTCGACCGGAATGTGTAGTCAGTTCAGAATGTCCTTTGGACAAAGCTTGCGTTAATCAGAAGTGTACCGAGCCCTGTCCCGGTCACTGTGGTACCAACACCGACTGCAGAGTCATGAACCACAGTCCTATCTGTGCTTGCAAGCTGGACTTCACTGGCGACCCATTCACCAGATGTTTCCCAACACCAAGTAAGAAGAACTTCATTGATGACTTGATTGTTCAAGTTTTATGCTATTGGAACAGCTTCGTTTACCAATTAATTCCCTAATTACCCAAATAAAATAACTTGACCCTGTTGAAGCAGAATTTTCCCCTCCAAAATTAATAGCCAGACCAGTCATCTAACATTTAGTAAAGCTTACAAATTATTTTCAGAACCATTGCCAAGCCCCGTTGAAAACCCTTGTGTACCATCACCCTGTGGACCGTATTCAGAATGCCGCGATATCGGAGGTTCTCCATCTTGTACCTGTTTACCAAATTACATGGGCAGCCCACCGAATTGTAGACCAGAATGTACGATAAATCCTGACTGCCCCAGCAATCGTGCTTGCATAAGCGAGAAGTGCAGAGATCCGTGTCCTGGTTCGTGCGGTTTTGGCGCAATTTGTAACGTGGTTCATCATACACCAGCGTGTTCTTGTCCCGAGAGTTTTACAGGAGATCCTTTCACTAATTGCCAGCCACTGCCGCCTCAACGTAAGATTCTATAATTTACAGTTTTCTTCTAATTATTTATTTTTTATTTAATATTTTTTGATTCCTTAATAGGCTTCGAATTAGTTATAGACTATTACGAAACATAACTCTAATCGTTTTACAGCGTTAAACGTTCCATCAGACCTTTGCAACCCCTCACCTTGTGGCCCGAACGCAGAATGCAATAATGGTGTCTGTACTTGCCTACCCGAGTACCAAGGAAACCCATACGAACTTTGTCGACCCGAATGCGTTCTGAACAGCGATTGTCCCACGAACAGAGCTTGCATTCGTAACAAATGCGCAGATCCTTGCATCGACACTTGCGGTCAAAATGCAGTGTGCAACGTATACAATCATATCCCCATGTGCAGCTGTCCACCTGGGATGTTCGGAAATGCATTCGTAATCTGTTCCGTCTTCCAAGGTGCATATCACCTAATCAGTTCCTGTTTCATATATTTCTTTAGTTTCTATAGATCGCTTTTGTTTTAAACAATTTAATGCTTCTTTCATAGATATAGCACGCCCAGGACCGTCGGACCCTTGTAGACCTTCTCCTTGTGGCCCGAACAGCCAGTGTCGTGTGGTGAACGACCAAGCAGTGTGTTCGTGTGTCCAGGGATACCTAGGCACTCCACCATCTTGTAGACCCGAGTGCGTCGTCAGTTCCGACTGTCCGCGTAATCTAGCATGCAGCAATCAGAAATGCATAGATCCTTGCCTAGGTACCTGTGGTCTAAGGACACAGTGCCAAGTTGCCAATCATAATCCCATTTGTAGCTGCCTTCCAAGGCATTCCGGGGATCCTTTCACCAGATGCGACCCAATAAGTAAGGATCCATTAAAGTGACCTTAATTTTATTCGTGATTCTTCTCTGATTCTTCAATTCGAAATTTTAATTTTTAAAATCCACTAGTTGAAACATCACTCGAGCTAGTGAACCCTTGTCAGCCGTCTCCCTGTGGGCCAAACTCCCAGTGCCGTGTGGTGAACGACTCACCCTCTTGCAGTTGTCTGTCCGAATTTACTGGAACCCCGCCAAATTGCAGACCAGAGTGCATCAGCAACAGCGAATGCCCTGCCCATCTAGCTTGCATGAATCAAAAGTGCAGAGATCCATGTCCCGGTGCCTGTGGATCGAATACGGAATGTCGTGTGGTCAGTCACACGCCCATGTGCGTGTGCCTCAGTGGATACACTGGAGACCCTTTCACGCAATGCCTTATGCAACAACGTAAGAGATAGATCTAATAGAAATTCAATTATGTTAGAGTCAAGATTTGCATATAATGTATCATTGTAGCAACGATTGTCGAGAACGTGTCACCCTGTACACCATCACCATGCGGAGCAAATGCTTTGTGCAAAGAGCAAAACGGAGCAGGTTCCTGCACCTGTTTGCAAGATTATATTGGAAACCCTTATGAAGGTTGTCGCCCAGAGTGTACCGTGAATTCTGACTGTGTGTCCAATATGGCTTGCGTTCGTTCCAAGTGTCAGAATCCTTGTCCAGGAACTTGTGGTCAAAATGCAGTCTGTCAAGTGATCAACCATTCGCCAGCTTGCACCTGCATGTCTGGTTACACAGGCGATCCATTTAGATATTGTAATCTTATCGTACAATCCGGTAATTACATAATTCATTTAAGAATTTAATTAGTAGAAGAACCAAGTGGTAAATGTCATCCTTTGTTTCTATACCAGAACCAGTTACAAGAGAACCATGCAATCCATCTCCCTGCGGGCCAAATAGTCAATGTAGAGTGGTTAACAATCAACCGGTTTGCACCTGTCTACCAGAATACATTGGAAGTCCTCCCGGATGTCGACCAGAATGTGTAGTGAGCTCAGAGTGCCCCACTAATAGGGCTTGTGTTAACAACAAGTGCGTGAACCCTTGCCCTGAACCGTGTGGATCAAACACCAACTGCATGGTCTTGAACCACAGCCCAATGTGCAGTTGCAAACAGGGCTACACTGGAGATCCTTTCAGTAGATGTTTCCCTGTACCAAGTAAGATAACTCGAAGCACTTGATCACTATTCTGGAAGAATATTCCAGTTGCTTCACGAAGTGAATCTTTTAGGACCTGCACCTGGCCCAATCTCACAGAACCCTTGTGTGCCTTCACCCTGTGGACCTTACGCAGAATGTCGCGACATTGGGAGTACACCATCCTGCTCTTGTCTGTCATCTTATATTGGCAGCCCACCTAACTGTAGACCTGAATGTACTATCAATTCCGATTGCCCAAGTAGTCAGGCATGCATAAACGAGAGATGCAGGGATCCTTGTCCAGGATCTTGTGGATTATCAGCTACCTGTAACATCATCAATCATACACCGTCTTGCACTTGCCCAGACGGTTTCACGGGAGATCCATTCACAAATTGTTATCCCAAACGTAAGGAATTGTTTGAGTATTCATTTCGATCAAGATTAATCAGTATAGTAACAGAGCTTTTAATTATTTAGCAATAGAAGAACCAGTGATACCTGCTGATCCCTGTAATCCCTCCCCTTGTGGACCGAACACTGTGTGCACAGACGGTACTTGTTCGTGTCTGCCAGAATATCAAGGAGACCCTTACGCTGGTTGTCGACCAGAGTGTGTTCTCAACAATGACTGTCCTTTACCTCAAGCCTGCATTCGCAATAAATGCGTGGACCCGTGTCCTGGAACTTGTGGTCAGAATGCACAGTGCAATGTCTACAATCATATTCCCATGTGTAGCTGTCTGCCTGGAACGACAGGGAACGCTTTCGTTTCTTGTCGTCCAAGCAGAGGTACGTATCTACGAGCCTTTATCCACAACAAAATATCTAGTCTAAATTCTGCCCATTCTAGGACCCGAAGACCCATGCAATCCATCTCCCTGCGGACCAAACAGTGTCTGTCGCGTAGTTAACGAGCAAGCAGTTTGCTCTTGCGTGGCTAATTTCATTGGAACACCTCCTTCGTGCAGACCAGAATGTACTGTCAGTTCTGATTGTCCAAAGAATCAGGCTTGCAGCAATCAGAGGTGTATGAATCCTTGCGCTGGATCCTGCGGCGTTAGGGCTCAGTGTCAAGTGATAAATCATAATCCTGTGTGCAGTTGTCCAGGAGGCTTCACCGGTGATCCTTTCGTTAGATGCGAACTAAAACGTGAGCTTAGTTGTTTATTGATAGAGTGAAAGGATAGATATTTAGTCTGTCAGTCTTTGTAAAACGTTATTCATCCTTATTACAGCGGAAGAACCGCCAATTCCTATCAATCCTTGCCAGCCTTCGCCCTGCGGACCCAACACGATGTGCCAAGTGGTGAACGATTCACCTTCGTGTTCTTGTTTGCCTGAATTCACGGGGAAACCTCCAAACTGTAGACCAGAATGCATCAGCAATAGCGAATGCCCTAATCATTTGGCATGCATGAACAACAAATGCAGAGATCCATGTCCTGGCTCTTGTAGGGCTAATTCCGACTGTCGCGTAGTGAGTCACACAGCGATGTGTATGTGTCTTGTTGGTTACGAGGGAGATCCCTTCACACAGTGTGTTCAGAAACAAAGTAAGATTTCAATTTTTTGAAAACAATGTTTTCTAAGAGCATGGTAATTCATTAACGATGCGTTTTAGACGATGTACAGCCAATTATTTCAACTCCATGCACTCCAACCCCATGTGGTTCGAATGCTATTTGTAAAGAGCAAGGTGAAGTGGGTTCTTGCACCTGTTTACCCGACTATATTGGCAACCCTTACGAAGGCTGTCGTCCAGAGTGCGTCATGAACTCTGATTGCATGTCGACACGCGCTTGCATTCGTTCTAAGTGCCAGGATCCATGTCCTGGAGCTTGTGGTACGAACGCCGAGTGTCAAGTTGTCAATCACTTACCAACTTGTACCTGTTTCCCTGGCTACACTGGACAACCTTACCAATTTTGTCAATCAATTACACAGCTTGGTAAACGAAGACCTTATCTTCTTCTTTTACATTATTTTAGATTCTATTACAAATTTCGTGACCTCTTTTCTCTTTATCATACAGTTGAACATAGGAAAGATCCATGTTCCCCATCACCCTGCGGACCAAATAGTCAGTGTCAAGTTGTTAACGATCAAGCAGTTTGTTCCTGTTTACCGCAATATATTGGTACTCCACCTGGATGTCGACCAGAATGCGTGGTTAGCTCGGAATGTCCATCGAATCTCGCGTGTATTAATCAGAAATGCAAAAATCCTTGTCCTGGACCTTGTGGTGTCAACGCAGAATGTAACGTCATCCATCACAGTCCCATATGTGCCTGTAGACAAAGGTACACCGGTGATCCGTTTACACGTTGCTTCCCAATGCCAGGTGAGAAAACTATTCTCAGTTATAATCGTTAATAATTTCTGTTAATCAAGAGCATGCTATTTTCTTGATACTCTGTAACCATTTTTAGAAATTCCACCAACAATGGTACCGTTTAATCCTTGCGTGCCTTCACCCTGCGGTTCGAATGCAGAGTGTCGCGATATCAACGGTCTATCTTCTTGTTCCTGTTTGCAAAATTACATAGGCAGTCCACCAAATTGTCGTCCAGAATGTACAGTGAACTCTGACTGCTCACTTAATCAAGCTTGCATGAGAGAAAAGTGTAGGGACCCGTGTCCTGGCTCTTGTGGCATCTTTGCTCAGTGCAGCGTGTTTAATCACCTGCCAATTTGTAGCTGCATAGAAGGTTATACCGGAGATCCTTTCACCAATTGCTATCCAAAACCGCCAGCACGTAAGACATTATTATTTTAAACCAAACTGCATAGTCAATTCGATATTCACGTTATCTCCATTTTCTAGAACCAACAGTTCCTGATGATCCTTGCAATCCATCACCTTGTGGATCGAACACAGAATGCACCAATGGTATCTGTTCTTGTCTGGCTGAGTACAAAGGTGATCCTTACGTAGGCTGCCGACCAGAATGTGTCCTCAACACTGATTGTCCCACAAATCAGGCATGTGTCCGCAACAAGTGTACCGATCCTTGTATCAACACTTGTGGACAGAATGCTATTTGCAATGTTTTCAATCACATACCAATGTGCAGTTGCGCACCTGGTACCAGTGGCAACGCTTTCGTGATTTGTTCCCCGATGCAAGGTACCTGATTTTCCATAAAGATATTCTTATCATTGCTTCAAGCAACACTGGTAATTTTCTGATTGATGTTTTCGTAGAAGTAAGCCCGGAAACACCATGCAATCCTTCTCCATGCGGTCCAAACAGTCAGTGTCGTAATGTCAATGGACAGGCAGTCTGTTCTTGCGTACCTGGTTACGTTGGAAGCCCTCCATCTTGTAGGCCAGAGTGCACAGTGAGCTCAGATTGTCCCAGGAACGAAGCTTGTAGTAACTTGAAGTGCGTGAATCCTTGTATAGGAAGCTGTGGCATTCGTGCACAGTGCCAGGTCATCAATCACAATCCCATATGCAGTTGTCCTGCAGGATTGTCCGGGGATCCTTTCTTCAGATGCGACCCCATCAGTAAGAGTATTTCTCTTTTATAAACAAACCGTACAACGTATTTCTTAGACCATTATTTATTTGTAAAACAATTTTTAGTGGAAACGAAACCAGAAATTATAAACGTATGCAAGCCATCACCGTGCGGTCCTAACGCCTTGTGTCAGGTGGTGAATGATTCACCATCGTGCACCTGCATGGCTGGATTTATCAATTCTCCACCTAACTGTCGTCCTGAATGTGTCAGCAATAGCGAATGTTTAGCCCATCACGCTTGCATAAACCAAAAATGCAGAGATCCATGTCCTGGCTCGTGTGGAGCGAACGCCGATTGTCGTGTGGTCAGCCATACGCCCATGTGTGCTTGCTCCAATGGGTACACGGGTGATCCGTTCACGCAATGCGTTCAATTTGAAGAATGTAAGAAATTTAGTTAAACTTATCGATTTCATCGTGTGAAACCAGTTTACCATAAATTTTGCTTTTATTATCTAGCGATTCCAACATCTCCTTGCACACCGTCACCCTGCGGTTCAAACGCTGTTTGCAAAGAGCAAAACGGAGCTGGATCTTGTAGTTGTCTACCGGAATACATTGGCAATCCTTACGAAGGATGTCGACCAGAGTGTACAGTTAGCTCAGACTGTCCATCGAACCTCGCCTGTATAAGAAATAAATGTCAGAACCCTTGTCCAGGAACCTGCGGACAGGATGCTGTCTGCCAGGTCATTAATCATTCACCTATGTGCACTTGCCTTCCTGGTTTCACAGGAGATCCATTCAGATACTGTCAATTTTCGAGAGAACCTGGTAAAGTATACCTGTAACTTACAATTTAATTTGCAATAGCTTTGTGCACAACTCTGAAGACATTATTATATTTTATTCTCCAGTCATAGGAGATGAAATAGACCCGTGCATTCCATCGCCCTGCGGACCAAACAGTCAATGCCGCGTGGTCTCTGGAAACCCCGTATGCTCTTGCCTCCCCGAATACACCGGAAGTCCTCCCTCGTGTCGTCCCGAATGCGTCGTGAGCTCAGACTGTCCCTCGAATCGTGCCTGTGTGAATCAGAAGTGTGTGAACCCATGTCCGCGACCCTGTGGACAGAACACTAATTGTCTAGTCGTCAATCACAGTCCTATTTGTACCTGCAAAGACGGAAATACTGGTAACCCTTTCACCAGATGTTTCCCTCTTCCACGTAAGTTTTCTATAACGAAATTTGTGTCCGCTATAAAACACACAGTCATTTACACAATTAATCATTTCTACAGCTCAATCAACGTTACCTAATCTACCTCAAAACCCCTGCGTACCATCCCCTTGCGGTCCGTATTCGGAATGTCGGGATATCGGTGGTGCACCATCTTGTTCCTGTTTAGCTAATTACTTTGGTAGCCCACCGAACTGTAGACCAGAGTGTACGGTGAATTCAGACTGCCCCAGTGACCGATCGTGCATCAGACAAACATGTACCGATCCCTGTCCAGGGTCGTGCGGTGTGTCAGCTAGGTGCACAGTTTTCAATCATCTACCAATTTGTACTTGTCTTGAGGGATTCACTGGTGATCCTTTCAGCAGTTGTTCTCCTGCCCCACGTAAGATTTTTCATATCCATACTGCAATAATTAAAATTATTCTTTAATTATTCCGATGATTAACATTTGATATCATGATTGTAGCAGCAGAAATAGTACCCGAAGACCCGTGTAACCCATCGCCTTGTGGTCCAAATGCACAGTGCAGCAATGGTGTATGCACGTGTTTAGCGGAGTATCGAGGCGATCCTTATGTGGGTTGTCGACCAGAATGTGTTTTGAACACTGATTGTTCCTTGAATCAAGCTTGCCTACGCAACAAGTGCATTGATCCTTGCGTTGGCACCTGTGGACAAGGTGCAACTTGCAATGTTTACAATCACGTGCCTATGTGCAGTTGTCCGATTGGAATGACAGGCAATGCATTCGTATCTTGCACTCCATTTAGAGGTACGATCTCTGATAGGAAGCCTGTAATTTATCGAAGAAGATTTACGATCATTAATTGATTTTTCTTTCCTAATCAGACCCTATCGTGACAAATCCCTGCAATCCAACACCCTGCGGACCAAACAGTCAGTGCAGAGAAGCGAACGGGCAAGCCGTATGCACTTGTATCCAAGGCTTTGTCGGTATTCCACCAACTTGCAGGCCGGAATGTGTAGTAAGCACAGATTGCGGACCAACTGAAGCTTGTATTAATCAGAAATGTAGCAATCCATGCGTTGGATCTTGTGGAATCAGAGCAACCTGTCAAGTGGTTAATCACAATCCAATTTGTAATTGTCCACCTAGTATGACCGGTGATCCATTCGTGAGATGTATCGAAAAACGTAAGAATAATCATTGGTTCGAATTGGAAACGCATTGTAATGCATTCAATCCATTTAAATTGCATTTAAACTGTATTTTAGCATTGGAAATACCACCACGGCAAAACCCATGCGAACCATCGCCATGTGGTCCGAACGCTCAATGTCAAGTGATCAATGATTCCCCATCGTGTTCCTGTCTACCAGAATTCACTGGTTCACCTCCTAATTGTAGACCAGAATGTATAAGCAACAGTGAATGCCCGAGTAATTTAGCGTGCATCAATCAGAGGTGCAGAGATCCTTGTCCTGGATCATGTGGCACGAATGCAATTTGCAACACGGTGTCCCATACACCCATGTGCACTTGCTCTCCTGGATACACTGGTGATCCATTTACCCAGTGTGTCGTGCAACAACGTAAGAATCTTTTACAGTTACTCGAAGTTGATAAACTTGAAAGTTTCACTAAACTAAATTCCCTTTACAGTTATACCAATGTACGTACCAAGACCCTGTGTTCCATCTCCTTGCGGAGCAAACGCTATCTGCAGTGATCGAAACGGTGTAGGAGCATGCTCCTGTTTGCCAGGATATCTGGGTAATCCATACGAGGGTTGTCGACCAGAATGCGTTCTAAATTCAGACTGCGTCCCCAGTAAAAGTTGTGTTCAATCGAAATGCGCGGATCCTTGTCCTGGTACCTGTGGCCAGAATGCAGTCTGCCAGGTGATCAATCACGTGGCAACTTGCAACTGTTTGCCCAGGTTCACTGGTGATCCCTTCAGATTCTGTAGAGAAGAAGACATAGGTTGGTGGAGAACAATCTTTCTTTACATCCGAAATTTATGCAAATATTTAATTCATTTTACTTGACAGTCACTTTACCGAACGTGAAAAATCCTTGCCAACCATCACCCTGTGGACCCAACAGTGTCTGTCGAGAAAACAATGGACAAGCAGTTTGCTCCTGTTTGCCAAACTACCTTGGCTCTCCACCTGGATGCAGACCAGAGTGCGTGACGAGCGCAGAGTGTCCTTCGAATCGCGTATGCGTTAACCAGAAGTGCACTGATCCTTGTCCTGATCCTTGTGGAAGAAATACAATTTGCAATGTCATCAATCACAGTCCAATCTGTTCTTGTCAGCAAGGTTTCACAGGAGACGCGTTCACGATCTGCTTCCCTATTCCACGTGTGTATTTATACGAGTGTTTTATGAAACACAGAGTTGTTTGGGACTGTTTGCATTCATTTTCAAACTCTGCAGGTCCTCCACCAGAGGCAGTAAGACCAGCTGAACAAGATCCTTGCCTACCATCACCCTGTGGACCATACTCTCAATGCAGAAACATTGCTGGCAATCCTTCTTGCTCTTGTTCAACCCCGTACATTGGCGCTCCACCTAATTGCAGACCAGAATGCACGATAAATGCTGAATGTGCTAGTGCACTCGCTTGTGTCAGAGAAAAGTGCTCGGATCCTTGTCCAGGATCTTGTGGTTTCGGAGCCAGATGTACTGTTCTCAATCACGTACCAATTTGTTCTTGTCCTGAAGGATACACTGGAGATCCTTTCAGCAGTTGTGTGCCGAAACCAATTATTCGTAAGACCTCTTTTCCTATTGGCTTTTATCATATATCAAACTTAAATTCTGAAGTTAAATTTCTGAAATTACAGCCATAGAACCATTGACAGACCCTTGCAACCCTTCACCATGTGGGGCAAATGCCCTTTGTCGCGATGGTGTTTGCACGTGTCTTCCAGAATTTCAAGGAGATCCCTACAGTGGTTGTCGTCCTGAGTGTATCATGAACAACGATTGTCTTCGTGACAGAGCGTGCATAAGAAACAAATGCGTTGATCCGTGCATAGGAACATGCGGACAAAACGCACAGTGTCAAACAATCAATCACGTTCCCATGTGCAGCTGCCCAGCTGGAATGTCAGGAAACGCTTTCGTTTCTTGTTCTCCAGTACAGGGTACAATACTTTCATCTTAATATTTTTTGATACGATTTAAAAGAATTTAATTTAATCTAATTCTTCTATTCCCATATTAGAAGACGTAGTTACAAATCCATGCTCCCCATCACCGTGTGGACCGAACAGTCATTGTCAAGAAGTGAACGGAATCCCAGTTTGCAAGTGTATAGAAGGTTTCACAGGGAATCCACCTATGTGTCGACCAGAATGTGTCGTTAGTTCTGATTGCGAATTATCGAAAGCTTGCATCAACCAGAAATGTAGAGATCCTTGTCCAGGAACCTGTGGTTTGAGAGCAGAGTGCTCTGTGGTGAATCACAACCCTATTTGCAGGTGTCCCCAAGGTTTAACTGGCGATCCTTTCGCTGCTTGCACAAATATAGGTGAGATTCGATAGAAAATTAACAGATGAACTATCTGATTTTGATTCAGAAATTTTCTACTACTTCTGATCATTTTATTTCTTCCGTAGTTGAAATGTCTCCAGAACCGATCAATCCGTGTTACCCATCACCATGCGGTCCAAACGCTCAGTGTCAAGTGGTGAATCAAGCACCTTCGTGCTCTTGTTTGCCAGAATTCACAGGATCGCCACCGAATTGTAGACCCGAATGTGTTAGTAACAGTGAGTGCCCTATTCGCGAGGCTTGTATCAATCAGAAGTGCAGGAATCCTTGTCCCGGTTTGTGTGGAGCTAATGCTGAATGTAGCATGTTCAGTCATACTCCAATGTGTTCTTGTCGTTCGGGCTTTACGGGAGATCCTTTTGCTCAATGTACTCCTCTTCAAAGTAAGTTCTCTCCCTTTGATTTAATTAGAACATTGAATTTGCTTATAACTATGTTCATTATTTGCGAACCATTTCTGTATAGTTGCCGATGAAAGACCCACACCTTGCACGCCAACACCTTGTGGCGCTAACGCGGTTTGCAGAGTGTCAGGAAATGCAGGCGCGTGTTCTTGTTTACCCGATTATATCGGAAACCCTTACGAGGGTTGTAGACCAGAATGCGTGGTGAATTCCGACTGCTCGGCGAATTTAGCGTGCGTGAGATCGAAATGTCAAGATCCTTGTCCTGGTGCTTGTGGACAGAATGCTATGTGCAATGCTGTAAATCATTTACCAGTATGCACTTGTATTCAAGGATACACGGGCGATCCGTTTAAATATTGCAGTCTAAGTCCAATGAACCGTAAGGATTGATTCTTTTCATTATTAAATGATCCAAGTGATTCTTAACAAATATATAACCCTTCTATCACTTGTTAAAAGCGGATGTGATAGTAAATCTATGCAACCCTTCACCCTGCGGACCAAACAGCGAATGTCGCGTGAACAACAACCAAGCAGTCTGCTCTTGTCTCTCCTCTTACATCGGCAGTCCACCAAATTGTAGACCCGAGTGCGTGGCCAGCACCGAGTGTCCTTTGACTCGAGCTTGCGTGAATCAAAAGTGCGTCGACCCATGTCCCAACTCGTGCGGAGTAAACGCCAACTGCAGGATTATTAATCACAGTCCCATTTGTTTCTGCAACAATGGATTCACTGGTGATCCATTCACCGCCTGTTTCCCTGCTCCTGGTACGAATTAAAGCTTCAATTTATTCTTATATCTGAAACGCATGATTTATAATTAAAATTGACGATATTAACGAACAATGTTCTCCAACAAGCTCCTGTGGAAACTGCGCCAGCAGTGCCAAGAGACCCGTGTTCACCATCGCCCTGTGGTCCCAACGCTATTTGCCAGAACGTAGGCCAGACTCCAGCATGCACTTGCTTACCAAATTATCGCGGCAGTCCACCAAATTGCCGACCAGAATGTACCATCAATTCAGAATGTCCCAGTAATCAGGCTTGCATTCAGGAAAGGTGTAGAGATCCTTGTCCAGGATCATGCGGTTTTAATGCTCAATGCACGGTGTTCAATCATGTACCCATGTGTTCCTGTATCGAAGGATACACTGGAGATCCTTTCAGTAATTGCAATCAACAGATTAGACCTCGTGAGTAACTGTGTTCCACCATTTATTTCTAAATATTGCTACCGATGTATTATAGTATGAAACTTTTTAAATTAGCCGAAGCTGAGGTACATTTATGCAATCCATCTCCTTGTGGTCCGAATGCTCAATGTGACAATGGAATTTGTTCGTGCTTACCCGAATACTATGGAGACTCTACTCTTGGTTGTCGACCAGAGTGTGTGCTGAACAATGATTGTCCTCGTGATAAAGCCTGTGTCAGGAACAAGTGCGAAGATCCTTGTATCGGTACTTGTGCCAGCAATGCGATATGCAACGTGATCAATCATGTACCCATGTGCAGCTGTCCAGTTGGTTTCGAAGGGAATGCATTCGCATACTGTCATCCCCATGCAGGTATATTTTAGCATTTTGTATTACCACTTTGGCAGTCAAGTTTCAAAAGACTGAATAAGATTATATGTTTATACTTGATGATTTCTTGATAGTCAATCTTCTATTTACTCCGTGCAACCCATCACCTTGCGGACCTAACAGCCAGTGTCGACAAAACAATGACCAAGCGATCTGTAGCTGTGTACCAGGTTACTTAGGAAATCCGCCAAATTGTCGTCCAGAGTGTATAGTTAGTTCTGAGTGTCCTCTCAACCAGATTTGTAGTAATCAAAAGTGTAGAGACCCTTGTATCGGCTCGTGTGGCGTAAGTGCCCGTTGCACAGTAGCAAATCGCAATCCTATATGCCATTGCCCTGAAGGATTCACAGGAGATCCGTTTGTTAGATGCATTCCACTTCGTAAGTTTCCTTTATTATCACGCAAATATCATTTAGCAATGATACTCAATTGTTTAAATAATAAAATTTATAGCACCAGTACCACCAGAACCCATAAACGTTTGCCAGCCATCACCTTGCGGACCCAATGCTCAGTGTCAAATCTCAGGAAACTCACCCTCTTGCACCTGTTTACCCGATTTCATTGGAACCCCGCCGAATTGTAGACCTGAGTGTATCAGCAACAGTGAATGTCCTAGCCATCAAGCGTGTATAAATCAGAAATGCAAAGATCCTTGCATTGGATCCTGTGGGACAAACGCTCAGTGTCGAACAGTCAGCCACACTCCAATGTGCTACTGTGATATAGGATACACTGGTGATCCGTTCACCCAATGCTTCATCAGGCCCAGTAAGATTTTTGGAACACTATTATCTTCAGAATTTCAGAATGTATCCATTAGACTATTCGATAATGTCATTTATCATTTCTAGTCGAAGACACCACGATGAAAGTGAATCCATGCTTACCTTCTCCTTGCGGTCCTAATGCACAATGTACCGAAAGAAACGACGCAGGCTCCTGCACTTGTCTTCCGAGTTACCTAGGAAATCCTTACGAAGGATGCAGACCAGAATGTGTCCTAGACTCTGATTGTTCGCCCATTCGAGCTTGCATCGGTTCGAAATGCGTCGATCCTTGTCCAGGAACTTGTGGAACCAATGCTGAATGTCGCGTAATCAACCACCGAGCGTCTTGTTCGTGTTATCCTAGTTACACCGGTGATCCTTATCGATATTGTTCCATTCAACCAGTTGGTAAGTCGAGTTACACCCTCAACAACCCATTGAATATCGAATGTTAAAATTAATCAAGAATATTTCCCAGATTCTGATATCAGTGTCACTGATCCATGTGGCAATGCTCAATGTGGACCGAATAGTCAATGCAGGGTAGTAAATCAAGTGGCAGTTTGCTCTTGCCTACCAAATTACATGGGTACACCTCCATCTTGCAGACCAGAATGTGTTACAAGCTCGGAATGTCCCTCTGATAGAGCATGTAAGAGACAGAAATGCGAAAACCCCTGTCCATCTTCTTGTGGACAAAATACAGAGTGCAGGGTGATCAATCATACACCCCTCTGTAGTTGTTCGAGAGGATACACTGGTGATCCTTTCACCGTCTGCTTCCCCATTCCGTGTAAGTAACATGACTCGTTTTATTTTGTCTAATTTAGTAATTAATAGCCACGATAAGATAATAAATTATAATCAACAATTTTAGTAACACCGCCTGGTCAAAGCGACGTCATTTCAAAAGACCCATGCATTCCATCTCCATGCGGTGCTTATTCAGAATGTCGGGACATTGGTGGAGTACCATCTTGTTCCTGTTTACCCCCGTACACCGGAAGTCCGCCAAATTGTCGTCCTGAATGTACCATTAACTCAGACTGCCCACCCAATCAAGCTTGTATGCAACAAAGATGCAGAGACCCTTGTCCTGGTTCGTGTGCATTTCAAGCTCAGTGCAGTGTTATCAATCATGTACCAACTTGTACTTGTCCTCCTGGTTACACCGGAGATCCTTTCACCAACTGCTTCATAGAACCACGTAAGATTTAACCTTCTTCTTTTCGAAATTGCAAGTTTCAATTCCGTGCTAACATCAAGACGTTACAGTTCGTCCAGTCGAAATTGATCCATGTGCATCTTCGCCTTGTGGATCGAACGCTCGTTGCGACAATGGCGTCTGCAGCTGTTTGCCAGAGTTCTTTGGTGACCCATTTTCTGGCTGTAGACCAGAGTGTGTCCTAAGCAACGAATGTCCAACCACGCGAGCTTGCGTTCGAAACAAGTGCGTTGATCCTTGCACCAGTGTTTGCGGACTGGATGCTTTGTGCAACGTGTTCAACCACGTGCCCATGTGCAGTTGTCCTTCGGGAATGGCAGGAAACGCTTTCGTGCTATGTTCTCCCGTCCAAGGTAATTGAACTATTTGAATACAATCGAAAAGTCAGCAAAAGGATCGTTATCATAAATATTCTTGAATCGCTTTTAGTAACAACGGTTAGTGACCCTTGCAATCCATCGCCATGTGGACCCAATAGCCAATGTAGACAAAACAACATGCAAGCTCTATGCTCCTGCATAAGCGGATACATTGGTGCACCACCTACTTGCAGACCTGAGTGTGTAGTTAGTTCAGACTGTCCACTAAACGAAGCGTGTACCAACCAAAAATGTCAAAACCCCTGTTTCGGAAGCTGTGGTGTTAACACAGCGTGTAATGTCGTTAACCACAATCCTGTATGCACCTGTCAAGAAAGAATGACCGGTGACCCATTCGTCAGGTGTTATCCAATGCGTAAGGATTAATTTTTTAACTTAACGTCGAAAGATTACTTCATTTAATTCCGCTAAGATTAATAAGATTTTTCTGAACTTTGAAGCTGAGAGACCACAACCACCAATCGATCCATGTCAACCATCCCCCTGTGGTCCTAACGCACAGTGCCAGGTGGTCAACGATCAACCATCCTGTTCGTGTCTTCAAGAATTCATAGGATCACCACCAAACTGTCGTCCCGAATGCGTCAGCAACAGCGAGTGCCCTAATCAACAAGCGTGCATCAATCAGAAATGTCGAGATCCTTGTGTAAATTCCTGCGGTCTGAACGCGGTTTGTAACGTTGTTAGCCACACACCAATGTGTGCTTGCACGAATGGTTACACAGGTGATCCGTTTACACAGTGTGTACCACAGCAATGTAAGAATCTTTACATTTTGAACGTTCCTATTTTTATAACGGATCAAGATATTAACATGGCATTTGCATATTTCTAGTCGACTTTCAAGTCAGTAGACCGGATCCCTGCACCCCATCGCCGTGCGGTGCAAATGCGATATGTCGGGTGCAACAAAATTCAGCTTCCTGTTCTTGTCAGAACGACTACATCGGTAACCCTTACGAAGGGTGCAGACCTGAGTGCACCCTCAGTTCTGACTGTCCATCCACTCAAGCTTGCATCAGGTCCAAGTGTAGAGACCCATGTCCTGGAACTTGTGGTCAGAATGCTCAGTGTTATGCGATCAATCATGCAGCTACCTGCAGTTGCTTTGAACGATACACTGGCGATCCTTTCGTCTACTGCAACCCTATGCGAGAACCACGTAAGACAATATTCGATGAGAACGATCTAAACGCGAACAAATGATCAATCAGATTGGTAATCGATAACCTTTTTACAGTGCCTGAACCTAACGTTGTCAATCCTTGCGAACCATCACCCTGTGGACCCTACAGTCAATGTAGACAGACAAACGGTCAAGCTACGTGTTCCTGTATGCCAAATTATATTGGAACACCCCCTAATTGCAGACCAGAATGCAGTGTTAACTCTGACTGTCCACTGACCCTTGCATGTAGGAATAATAAGTGCGTTGATCCTTGTCCCAACTCTTGTGGTCAACAGAGTACCTGTAGAGTCGTGAACCACAGTCCAGTTTGCAGTTGCAAGCCAGGGTTCACTGGCGACCCATTCACCTACTGTTTCTACAGTCCACGTAAGCACAATGTTTCGACATTTATGTTGCTTCAATTGCCGAAACATTTGAGAAAGATAAAGTTAATTGTACCATTTTAGCCACTGCTGTTGTCGAAACACCGGTTGATCCCTGTATTAACTCACCTTGCGGACCAAATTCTCAATGTCGCGCCATCAATGGTTCTCCCTCGTGTTCCTGTTTGGTGAACTACGTTGGTGTTCCACCAAATTGCCGTCCAGAATGTGTTACCAACACCGATTGTCCCAGAAATCAGGCCTGCATACGTGAGAAGTGTCAGGATCCCTGTCCAGGATCCTGTGGTTTGAACAGTGTCTGTATTGTTCATAATCACGTTCCAATTTGCACCTGTCTGGAGGGATATACAGGAGATCCTTTTAATATTTGTCAGCTCAAACCAATGCGTAAGTTATCTTTCTTTAAGAAAGATAAAACCTAGACAGTTTTTTTAATCGAATTATGATACTTAAACAGCTGTCGAAGAACCTGTGACAGACCCATGCAGTAGTTCTCCATGTGGACCAAACGCTCGATGCAACAATGGCATTTGCACTTGTTTACCCGAATATTTTGGAGATCCATACGTTGGTTGTCGCCCTGAATGTGTGCTCAGTACAGACTGCTCTAGCGAAAAAGCTTGCATCAGGAACAAGTGCGTTAACCCTTGCCCAGGAGCTTGTGCACAAAATGCTGTGTGCAATGTCATCAATCACACGCCTATGTGCAGTTGTCCTCCACAAACTAGTGGAAACGCCTTAGTTCTATGTTCGCCTATACGAGGTACACATTACTTTCCTGTTTCTTAAACGTCGGTTATATTTCATAGTCAATATCATATTTTAAGCGTTTTGATAATTTTGAAATTATTGAATCGCAGTGCCCACAACGACTAGACCATGCAATCCATCCCCCTGTGGTCAAAACAGCATATGTAGAGAGGTGAACGACCAAGCCGTGTGTACATGTGTCCCAGATTACCTTGGAACACCACCTCTATGCAGACCAGAATGTACAATTAGTTCCGATTGTCCTAAGAGTCAAGCTTGCGTAAACCAGAAGTGCAGAGATCCGTGTCCAGGAACGTGCGGTGTTCAGGCAACATGCCTGGTGGTGAACCACAACCCCGTGTGTTCTTGCCCAGAGCGTTACACAGGGGATCCCTTCGTCAGATGTGAAATGATCAGTAAGGCGACGAACAAATAACGTTGTAGATTATATATAGGTCACTTGGTAACGATGGAAATGTACTTTTCCGCAGAAGAAGTAATAGTGCCCACGAACCCTTGCAAACCGTCACCCTGCGGCCCGTACTCTCAATGCCAAGTGGTAAATAACATCCCGTCCTGTACCTGTCTGCCCGAATACGAAGGAAACCCGCCCAACTGCAGACCCGAGTGCATCTCAAGCTCCGAGTGCCCCAGCCACCAAACGTGCGTTCGACAAAAGTGCATGGACCCTTGCCCAGGTCTCTGTGGCGAAAGTGCAGAGTGTTACGTGACTTACCACATAGCCAATTGTGTCTGTCCGACCGGTTTCACGGGCGACCCATACACGCGTTGCTCAGTAATAAGTAAGGAACCGGAGAATATAAAGCGTGCTCGTAATTATTTTCGTAACAAACTAATCTTTGTAATTTTTCATTGTTCTAGTTCGTGACCCGGAACCCTCACCCTGCGCCGAAGGTGTTTGTGGCACAAACGCATTGTGCAGAGAACGAGACGGTGTCGGGATATGTTATTGCCCCCCTGAATACATTGGCAACCCTTACGTAGGATGTAGACCCGAGTGCGTCATTAACCCTGATTGCCCGTCCAGCAAAATGTGTGTCAGAAACAAATGCCAAGACCCATGTCCTGGAACCTGCGGTCAGAATGCCGAGTGCGCAGTCGTTAACCACCAACCCCTCTGCAACTGTAGACCCGGTTTTACTGGGGACCCATTTGTCATATGTACCATGGATAGTAAGTTGAATCGATTATGCCCGAAACTAAGTCTAATTACATTTTTCTAAAAATCTGAAACACTTTTATTCGTCTAATTGCTAATGCTCGTGGGTCAAGTTCTTTTGGAATATTGTTTCGACATCTTTGTATTTAATTTAGAGTTATCAAGTTCTCAATGAAGTCTAGCGTTGACAAAATGTCAGAACAGTACTCCAAAAGAACAGACCTTACGTCCTCAAGGAAATTATTAACGAAATGCACCTTGCTCCTCAGTAATAGTCCCGAAAGAGAACGTCTGTAGCCCGTCACCCTGTGGACCCAACAGCCAGTGCAAAGAGGTATCTGGTCAGGCTGTATGCTCCTGCCTGCCCACCTACGTTGGCACTCCACCTGCTTGTAGACCCGAGTGCGTAGCTAGCTCCGAGTGTCCCACCCAACTTGCCTGCCAGGATTACAAATGCGTGAACCCGTGCCCGAGCCCCTGTGGTTTGAACACCAAATGCATTGTGATTAATCACAGTCCTATCTGTAGTTGTATGCCAGGATATAGTGGAGATCCCTTCACCACTTGTACACCAATTCCACGTAAGAACAATGTTTTACCAGTCGCACATAATATTATAATTGTTTGCACCAGTAAGATGAAGGTTAACGAGATTCGTCCCAATTTTTAGCTGCTATGGTCCCTGGACCAGTGGAGAAAGACCCGTGTGTACCATCACCTTGTGGTAATTTCGCGCAGTGCAGGAATGTCCGTGGTTCGGCTGCTTGTAGTTGCTTAGGAGGCTACATTGGTCAACCACCCAACTGCAGACCCGAGTGCACGATTAATTCTGAATGTCAGAGTGACATGGCCTGTATAAATATGAGATGCAGGGACCCTTGTCCTGGTTCCTGTGGCTCCGGTGCCGTTTGCGCTGTCGTTAACCATATTCCCGTGTGTAACTGTCCCGAAGGTTTCACCGGGAATCCATTTACTCTGTGTCAATTACTTCTAGCTATACGTAAGAACGCATCACTCTCTTCTGATCTACCGTACCGTATCAACACGAAACCTGTAGAATATTATTACAAGTTATTTGCCTTTACAGCCGCTCCAGCACCAGTAGAAGACGAATGTACCCCATCACCCTGCGGTCCCAATGCAGAATGCTCGAATGGCGTTTGCATCTGCCTGGCAGAATTCCAAGGGAACCCGTATCTAGGATGTCGACCCGAGTGTGTCCTAAACTCAGACTGCTCTCGTGACCGAGCCTGTTTGCGTAACAAGTGTATGGACCCCTGTCCAGGAACTTGTGGTATCAGTGCCATTTGTACAGTTATCAATCACGTCCCAATGTGCAGCTGTCCTGGGAACATGACCGGCAACGCGTTTAGTCAGTGCACCCCTCTGCAAGGTAGTCAATCATCTGCTGCATACCGTTTCTTACCAAAGCAAAGAATAACTCCATGATTTTATTTTCATTAGATATGACACCCGTCAATCCGTGTAGCCCAACACCCTGCGGACCTAACAGCGAATGTCGCGTTGTGAATGGTCAGGCAGTTTGCTCGTGCATCAGAGGATTCCTAGGAAGCCCACCCACGTGTAGATCCGAGTGCATAGTGAGCACAGATTGTCCGCAAAACGAGGCCTGTAGTAACCAAAGGTGTATCGATCCCTGTCCAGGAACTTGCGGAATTGGAGCCCAGTGCCACGTTGTCAATCACAATCCCATATGCAGTTGCCCATTGCGATACACCGGGGACCCATTTGTCCAATGCATGCCCTTCCGTAAGAAATCACTGCCTTCTTAAATAATTCATCGAATGTGAAAATCATCAGCTGTTCCATGTACGCAGAAATGACACCTTTGTTTATTTCAGTGGAAGAACCAGTAGTAGACCCTTGCCAGCCATCACCTTGCGGTCCGAATTCCCAGTGTCAGGTCATCAACAATTCACCCTCGTGCTCGTGCATGCCAGAATTCACTGGCAGCCCACCAAATTGTAGGCCCGAGTGTGTCAGCAACAGCGAATGTCCTAGCCAGTTAGCATGTATCAATCAGAAGTGTAAGGACCCTTGCATAGGATCCTGTGGAGCTAGTGCCAATTGTCACGTTGTCAGTCACACCCCAATGTGCACCTGTTTGAGTGGTTACACTGGTGATCCGTTCACTCAGTGTGTCTTCAAAGAACGTAAGAATATTATAATTTGAAAACGTTTATTCGCCTACACCTTGATATAATATGAATCATGAACATTCGACTTTACAGCTACAAATATACCTACACCTGTCGATCCCTGCAATCCATCTCCTTGCGGTTCTAATGCCATTTGCAAAGAACTGAATGGCGCAGGCTCGTGCACCTGTCTTTCAAATTACATCGGTAACCCCTACGAAGGATGCCGACCAGAGTGCCTCCTGAACACCGACTGTCCTTCGAATCAGGCTTGTATGAACAACAGATGCAGGAATCCCTGCCCTGGAACTTGCGGTCGCAACGCTGAATGTCACGTTATCAATCACTTGCCGGTATGCGAGTGTTATCCTAGGCATACAGGCAATGCTTTTGTCCTCTGTTTACCTATTCAGCCAGGTACGTTTTATACTCCTGAAAAATGAGACATTTTTTTCAACTTTAAAGACAATATCCACTGATTAATGCTTTATAGAAATCGAGCAATCAATCAGCCGTCCTTGCAATCCATCTCCCTGCGGACCTAACAGTCAGTGCAGAGCAATCAATGGACAATCAGTTTGTTCCTGTCTACCCGAATTCATAGGCAGCCCACCAGCTTGCAGACCCGAATGTACAGTAAGCGCCGAGTGCGCTTTCAATCTTGCTTGTATCAACCAAAAGTGTAGCGACCCTTGTCCTGGATCGTGTGGTTCCCACACCAGGTGTGAAACGATTAATCATAGAGCAATATGCTCCTGTCAGCCAGGATTCACTGGTGATCCATTAGTTTCCTGTTTCGATATACCAAGTGAGTCTCAGAGTATATCTACTAAATTCTGATTTGTTTTAAGAGAAAATAGATTTAATTTTTAAATGTTCATTGTAGTGGACAAACCTGTACCTGTACCATCGTACCCATGCGCGTCCTCGCCATGTGGACCCTACTCAGAATGTCGCAACATAAATGGACAGGCCTCGTGTGCCTGTTTAGCAGATTACATGGGTACCCCACCAAATTGTAGACCAGAGTGCATAAGAAATTCAGAGTGCCCTAGCAATCAGGCTTGTATTCAGAAGAAGTGTCGTTATCCTTGTGAAGGAGTCTGCGGTGTAGGTGCTCAGTGTTCAGTAATCAATCACACTCCAATCTGTACATGTCCTGAAGGATTCTCTGGCGATCCTTTCGTTAGATGTTCATTTGCTCCAGGTATCTATCGTTCATCAAATCCTTCGTTTTATTTTCATACTTTAGATACTACTTGTAACATTTCATTGATCTAGTACAAGAAGAGAGACCAGTGGATTCGTGTGCCAATTGCGGAGCTAATACCCAGTGCCTCAATGGAATTTGCACTTGTTTATCGGAATACCAGGGAGACCCGTACTTAGGCTGTCGTCCAGAATGTGTTCTGAACACAGACTGTTCCAGAGACAGAGCCTGCATTATGAATAAATGTAACGACCCTTGCGATGGAACTTGTGGCCAGAATGCTGTGTGTTCTGTCGTTAATCATATTCCAGTTTGCACTTGCCCTCCAGGAACATCCGGAAATGCATTTGTAGTTTGCTCTCCTCTTCAAGGTATAATTGAATCATTGATATTTTAATTGCATCCAGTTATATTATACAACGTTTAATTCACCATATTTTCCATCTGTGAACAGTATTAACACCTAAAGACCCGTGCAACCCCTCGCCTTGCGGACCTAACAGTCAGTGCAGAAAGATAAACGATCAAGCTGTTTGCTCTTGTATTCCTGGTTACCTAGACACACCACCGAATTGTAGACCCGAGTGTATTCTCAGTTCAGATTGTCCATCAAACATGGCCTGCAACAACCAGAAATGCATAGATCCTTGCCCAGGTACTTGTGGAATCAGAGCCGACTGCGTGGTCGTGAACCACAATCCTATCTGCAGTTGCTCTCCCGATCTGACAGGCGATCCCTTCTCGATGTGCATTAGAAGACGTGAGTATTTCAATATTACATTAAAAATTGATTAGTAATCATCAAACTCACATATTTTTGATCGCCCCTACAGCGGAAGAACCACAAGTTCTGAACCCATGTGTCCCATCACCGTGCGGTCCAAACAGTAGATGCCAAGTCGTAAACAATTCACCATCTTGCTCGTGTTTGCCCGAATTCCTCGGATCTCCTCCAAATTGTAAACCCGAGTGCATCAGTAACAGCGAATGCTCTACGCATTTGGCATGTATCAATCGGAAGTGTCGTGACCCTTGCCCAGGTTCCTGTGGTGCAAACGCCGAGTGCCGAGTGATTAGTCACACACCGATGTGTGTCTGCTCCTACGGTTTCGTTGGTGATCCGTTTATACAATGCGTTTCAAGACCAGGTAAGCGATGCTTCAGTGTTAATGCTTCCATTCGAAAAGATGAACGAACATATAACAAGAATCAAACGATTCCCTAGCTATGGAAGGCACTCAAGAGAAACCTACTCCGTGTGTACCAACACCCTGCGGGTCGAACGCGATGTGTAACGAACTGAATGGCGCTGCATCCTGTAAATGTCTTCCCGATTATATCGGCAATCCCTACGAAGGCTGCCGACCAGAGTGCATCATCAATTCTGATTGCACAGCCGATCAGGCTTGCGTTAACTCCAAGTGTCAGAATCCTTGTCCAGGATTCTGTGGCTACAACGCTGTCTGTCAGGTTGTCAATCACGCTCCACTCTGCACTTGTCAATTCAGTTACACCGGTGACCCGTTCGTTCAGTGTAATGTCGTCCAAGAAGCACGTAAGTCCTCGGGACTTGAAGATTTCGAAGATGATCGATTGTTAATCAATATCTAACGTGAACGTTCTTTTAGCGAAACCAGCTGATCCTTGCAGTCCATCGCCCTGCGGTCTGAACAGTCAATGTCGCGTATCGAATGGACAGGCTATTTGTTCATGTTTGCCCACGTTCGTCGGTACGCCACCATTCTGTAGACCAGAGTGTACAGTTAGCTCGGACTGTGCTACAAATCGCGCTTGCAAGAATCGTAAATGCGTCGACCCTTGTCCCGGAATTTGCGGTATCAATGCGAGATGCGAGGCGATCAATCATAGTCCGATTTGCAGCTGCAACGTAGGTCATACCGGTGATCCGTTTGTGAGATGCTTTAAACTTCAACGTGAGTATCTCGTCCTGAACCTTCAGAGTTAATTCCAGGGAATTCGATTCATAACAGATATATCTTTCTTCAGCGATGACTGAAAGTGTAAACCCATGCGTCCCATCACCATGCGGTCCCTTCTCTGTGTGTCGTGTGCTTGGTAACGCGGAATTGCCAAGCTGCACGTGCATGGACAATTACATAGGAACTCCACCGAACTGTCGACCAGAATGTACCATCGATTCCGAGTGCACCAGCAACAGAGCTTGCCTGAGGCAAAAGTGTACGGATCCCTGTCCAGGTTCCTGTGGCACTGGAGCTCAGTGTTTGGTGGTGAACCACATGGCTGTATGTACATGTCCAAAAGGATACACTGGCGATCCGTTTGTCAGTTGTTTCTTAGAATCACCTCGTAAGCATTTATTATCATATCTGTACCGCAAGCAGCTGGTTCGAAACTGTTTTAATAAATTCATCTCTGTAGCATCACCACCAGTTCCTCAAGACGCCTGTAACCCCTCGCCATGCGGATCGAACGCACTGTGTCGCAATGGGGTGTGCTCTTGTTTGCCTGAATATCACGGTGACCCGTATTACGGATGTCGTCCGGAATGCGTCCAAAATCCAGACTGCCCACTAGACAAAGCTTGCAATCGCAACAAGTGTTTCGACCCTTGCGTTGGCGCTTGCGGTCAAAGCGCCGAATGCGTGGTAATCAATCATACCCCCATGTGTAACTGTCCGGATGGCATGTCAGGAAATGCGTTCACCGCGTGTTATCCAGCCAAAGGTAAATATTCAGGAATAAAAATGAAGTCTCGAATATGCGACAGAATACAGACAAGTGTTCTTAACTTTACAGACCCAGTGGTAGTAGAACCTTGCAACCCGTCACCTTGCGGTCCCAACAGTAGATGCCAGGACATCGGTGGACAGGCAGTTTGTTCGTGTGCCCCTGGTTACATTGGAAACCCTCCCGCCTGCCGTCCAGAGTGTCTCGTTAACAGTGATTGCGCGTTAAACGAGGCCTGTGTGAATCTAAAGTGTACGGACCCATGTCCTGGATCTTGCGGAGTATCGGCCCGTTGTCAAGTGGTGAATCACAACCCAATTTGCAGTTGTCCTCCTGTATTCACTGGTGATCCGTTCGTGCGATGCTTCCCCAGACGTAGGTGTCCTTTATTCTAGTCTCAGATGGTCCAATGGCAACAATTCAATTGTTTATTTTTTTTAAAGCGGAGGAACCCGTTCAACCAACAAATCCATGTCAGCCATCCCCGTGTGGACCGAACGCAGACTGTCGAGTGAATAATAACTCTCCATCCTGTTCTTGCAAGGCAGAGTTCGTTGGAACACCACCAAATTGTAGACCCGAATGTATCAGTAATAGCGAATGCAGTGGCCAATTGGCGTGCATTAATCGCAAGTGCCGAGATCCTTGTCCAGGTTCCTGTGGCGCTAACGCAGAGTGCTATGTTGTAAACCATATTCCATCTTGTACTTGTATGAGGGACTTTACAGGAGATCCATTTGTTCAGTGCACAGCTAAGCAACGTGAGTGTTCTAGCAACGACTGCATCAAGTGCAGTGATCGAGTTTAATCGAATTTAATAATTCTATTGTTCCTTTTAGCGGAGCCAATGATTCCAGCACGACCTTGTCAACCATCCCCCTGCGGAGCTAACGCCATTTGTCGAGAACAAAATGGCCTTAGCTCTTGCACCTGCTTGCCCGAGTACGTCGGCAATCCTTACGAAGGATGCCGACCAGAATGTACGATTTCTTCGGATTGTCCTTCGCAGTTAGCATGTATAAGATCCAAGTGCCAGAATCCTTGCCCCGGTTCTTGCGGTGCCAACACCAACTGTCAGGTCGTTAATCATCTACCTGTATGCACTTGCATTCCGCAATACACCGGTGATCCGTACGTCAATTGCATGTACAAGATACCAACACGTGAGTAGTGATGTGTTCATTTTTTTCCCTGTTAGTTCGAGCAAATGATTAAAAATCAACGTTTTACAGTCGAAGAAGAAGAACGCGACGTGTGTAACCCATCGCCATGCGGTCCCAACAGCCAATGCCAGAACGTCAATGGCCAAGCTGTATGCTCTTGCATGCCTCAGTACATAGGCACTCCACCTAATTGCAGACCAGAATGCGTAGTGAACTCAGAATGCAATTCCAATCTCGCGTGCATAAATCAAAAGTGCAAAGATCCCTGTCCTGGCACCTGCGGCCGTAACGCCCAATGCAAAGTTGTCCACCACAGTCCAATTTGTAGCTGTGGTAGTGGCCTAACAGGAGATCCATTCGTTTACTGTTTCCCGACACCAAGTAAGCTTACTTTGAGATACCGAACATTCTTCAAATTTATTCTTAGTCGTATCTGTTTTAACGAGTTTTCTCTACAGTACCTAAACCAGATGACCGGTACCCGAAAGACCCATGCGTTCCATCCCCATGCGGTCCAAATGCAATGTGCAAGGCTGTTGGAGACACGCCAGTATGCACTTGCATGAATAACTACATCGGAGTACCCCCCAATTGTCGACCAGAATGTTCTATCAATTCGGACTGCACAGCGAACAGAGCTTGCATTCGAGAAAAGTGCAGAGATCCTTGCCCAGGCTCCTGTGGCGTTGCTGCTTATTGCACAGTTATGAATCACACACCAGCTTGCACTTGTCCTGAAGGATACACCGGTGATCCTTTCACCAGCTGTACCCCGGTACCTCCACCTAGTAAGAAGAAAATACCAATAATCCCTTCAACTGCTCTGTTATTTTCGAACGTATACAATTGTCCATTTGTTTCAGTAACCGAAGCCCCGTCAGACCCGTGCAACCCATCGCCATGCGGACCAAACGCCCAGTGCGACAACGGTGTTTGCACTTGTGTACCCGGTTATTTAGGTGATCCTTACGCCATTTGCCGTCCCGAATGTGTTATCAATACAGACTGTTCCCGAAACGAGGCCTGTATACTTCACAAATGTAGAAACCCGTGTATAGGCACGTGTGGATTGAACGCTGAGTGCAACGTAATCAACCATCTGCCTATGTGCAGTTGTCCAAGAAACACGACAGGCAATGCGTTCTTATCCTGTAACCCTGTACAAGGTTCGCCTTTTTATTTTTCAATAATGTTGACACATTTTAAAGACACTAACGAAAAAATATTTTATGACAGAAATCAGTACCATTGACCCGTGCAATCCATCACCCTGCGGTCCAAACAGTCATTGTCGTGTCTCCAGCGGCCAAGCTGTTTGCTCTTGCATTAACGGATTCAAGGGAACTCCACCTTCCTGTAGGTCAGAATGCGTCGTCAGCACTGATTGTCCACGAGACAGAGCTTGCAGTAACCAAAAGTGTATCGATCCCTGTCTTGGTGCTTGCGGATTATCAACACAGTGTTCCGTGATTAATCACAACCCTGTGTGCAGCTGTTTCGAACAGTACACGGGCGATCCATTTGTCCAATGTGTCCCATACAGTAAGAATCAGACTTTATTTAACGAGTACGTTTAACTGAGAGCTACAGTTATGATAAACATGTTTCTTTTTCAGCAAAAGAGCCAGGTGTTATTGTGAATCCTTGTCAACCATCACCGTGCGGTCCAAACGCCGTGTGTCAGGTGAACAATAATGCTCCCTCTTGTTCTTGCCTCCCTGAATTCATAGGAAATCCACCAAACTGTAAACCCGAATGCATAAGCAACACCGAGTGTCTAGCACAAGAGGCTTGCATCAATCAAAAGTGTAGAGACCCTTGCCCTGGCTCCTGTGGAAGTAACACCGAATGTAGAACCATTAGTCACACTCCCATGTGTACTTGTGCCACTGGTTTCACCGGGAATCCATTCGTACAGTGCATTCCTCAACCAAGTAAGACTGTCTGTTCATAGTTTCTTTGTAGGGGTACGTTAAAGGAGATTGACTTAATCTCTTAATTTCATTTGTAGTTGAAGACATTCCACAGAAAGTAAATCCATGCCAGCCATCTCCCTGCGCGGCTAACGCTGTCTGTCGCGAATCTTATGGTTCAGCTATTTGTACTTGTCTGCCCGATTTCTATGGAAATCCATACGAAAACTGTAGACCCGAATGTCTCATCAATTCAGACTGTCCATTTAACCGAGCATGCATAAGAAACAAGTGTCAAGACCCTTGTCCAGGAACGTGTGGATTCAACGCTGTATGTCAGGTCGTTAATCACATCCCAGCATGCAGCTGTCAATTAGGATACACCGGAGATCCCTTCAGATACTGTAATCTGTTTGAACAGCCTTGTAAGTTGTCCTAAAATTTCAGGATTTATATTCTATTTAGATAGAGTGTAATGTAACATTATTGGGTTTTAAATAGTCGAACCAAATCCTACCAACCCATGTGACCCATCACCCTGCGGCCCCAACAGCCAATGTCGCAACGTCAATGGTCAGGCTAGCTGTTCTTGCTTGTCTACGTTCAGAGGCACTCCTCCAAGGTGCAGACCAGAGTGTGTAGTTAGCACCGAATGTGCTAGCAACATGGCTTGCGTGAATCAAAAATGCGTTGATCCCTGTCCTGGTGTCTGTGGAATAAGCGCTAGATGCGAGACCTTCCATCATAGTCCCATTTGTAGCTGTAATCCTGGTCAGACAGGAGATCCATTCGTTAAATGCTTCGATGTCACCAGTAAGTGAAATACTCATCAACCTGCCCCACTTTACTTGATATATTTTCAATCAATCTTTAACTTGAGACTACGTTTTAGCCATGGTTCCGTTGGTTCCTGCGAATCCCTGCGTACCATCACCCTGTGGACCATTTTCACAATGCCAAGACATAGGAGGTATCTCCTCCTGTTCTTGTCTACCGAATTACGTCGGTTCGGCTCCGAACTGTCGCCCAGAGTGTTCCATTAACTCAGACTGTACCAGCGATAAGGCATGCATTCGAGAAAAGTGCAGAGACCCGTGTCCAGGATCTTGTGGAACTAATGCGTTCTGTAACGTTATCAGTCACACACCGATTTGCACTTGTCCCAGAGATTACACGGGAGATCCTTTCACCAGTTGTCGTCCAATGCCCACACGTAAGAATACATGAAATTAAGTGGTATCAAGACGTCTTAGGCCATTATACATATAATTAATAATTATCCTTGCTTTCACGAATCGCAGCTATCCTTCCAGTACCATCAGACCCATGCAACCCTTCACCCTGTGGACCAAACGCATTATGTCAGAACGGAATCTGTAGCTGTATAAACGAATATCATGGCGATCCTTATCAAGGATGTCGACCAGAGTGTGTACAAAATTCTGACTGTACTTATGACAGAGCTTGCTCCAACAACAAATGCGTGAACCCTTGCACCGGAATCTGTGGTCAGAACGCCGAATGCATGGTTGTGAATCACATCCCCACTTGCAGTTGCGTGGAAAATCACGAAGGAGATCCATTTACCCTCTGTAAACCGATCCGAAGTGAGTGTAGCCTCCATTGGTCAGCCAGTTTTAAACAAAAATTCCTCTAAAATTCAATTGATTAATAACCATCTTACGTGACGATAGAACGTGTGAAACCTTGCGAACCCTCACCCTGCGGACCGAACAGCATTTGCCGCGAATTTGGTGAGCAAGCTTCCTGTTCCTGCCTCCCTGGATACTTTGGAACTCCACCCAGCTGCAGACCCGAGTGCCTCGTGAACTCTGACTGCGAACAGAGCAGGGCCTGTGTGAACGAGAAATGCCAGAATCCTTGCGAAAACGCTTGTGGTCAGGGTGCATTGTGTACCGTACGAAACCACAACCCCATTTGCAGCTGTCCTTCTCAGTATTCAGGTGACCCATTCATCAGCTGCTTCCCCATGAGTAAGTACCCCAAAGAAGTCTACTTCAGTGCTGTCCATGGTTAGAAAATACAAAGTACCACTTTTAATGATGGTATCTTGATAAACCATAAAAGTCCATTTCATTTTTTATAGATATATTTTATTATATTTAGAACTTGGACAGCACTGGTCCGCATGTTATACCTTTCAAATAATATTAACCCAATGAGAACGTTTGTCGAAAAACAGAAACGCAGGACCAGGAACCCAGCCAGGACCCATGCAAACCCTCATCGTGTGGACCAAACTCCCAATGCACAGTGTCGCCAGACAATAAAGCTTCCTGTTCCTGTTTGCCCGAGTTCGTAGGCTCTCCTCCCACCTGTAGACCCGAATGTCTCGTGAACAGCGAGTGCCCTGGCAATCAGGCCTGCGTTAGGCAGAGATGTACCGATCCCTGTACAGGACTGTGCGGCACTAATGCTCTCTGTCAAGTTACCCTGCATTACATCCGTTGCGTGTGTCCCGAGGGATACACAGGAGACCCGTTCACAGTTTGTTCCGTGACCAACAGTAAGGAATATCCCATGTCGCAATTCTAAAACAAAAATATTCTTCGATTAAAATGGAGAGACATTCAGAGATGCCTGATTTGAATAATAATTGAATTTTTCAGTCATCTGTAAATACTGTATATAAAGATTGTACCAAACACAAACGATTGCACGTCGATTATAGACAACAGAATCTCTACTTTCTATTTTGATACTCTTGAATTTTTATCAAACATACATTTTGTTCATACACGTTCTTCATTCTCTTCAGTTTCATGTACATCTCTTCTGTATAGTCCTCAAGCTAGCTTTCTTGTAAATTAACAACGTGAATTAATGAATAGATCGATGTCTAAAGCGGGGTACTAATTTTATTTTGTAATTTTATTCTAGTCACACCTGCACCACCAACGCCATCGAGACCTTGTAGTCCTTCACCTTGCGGCATCAACGCTTACTGTAGGGAAAGGTACAATACAGCATACTGCGAGTGTCTGCCTGATTACAGAGGAAATCCGTACGAAGGTTGTCAACCGGAATGTCTGGTCAATACCGACTGTCAAAAATCACAAGCTTGTATCAGGACCAAGTGCCAGGATCCTTGTCCTGGCACGTGTGGCGTTGGAGCGATCTGTACTGTATCCAATCACATCCCTATCTGTTCTTGTCCTGCTCCTACCATCGGAGATGCGTTCACTCTTTGTCAAGCACTGCCTGAAGGTAATAAATACTAACCAAAATATCTGACTCAAGTAACACAAATTAAATTTGTGCAAATAATTTATTAATTGAATGAAACACAGTTCCAAAGGAAAGAGATCCTTGTTCACCGTCACCGTGTGGTCCAAATACCATCTGCGAGAAGATCGGCAACAATGCAGCGTGCAAGTGTCTGCCTGGCTTACAAGGAATCCCATCGAGCATCACTGGTTGTCACCCAGAATGCGTGATCAGTTCAGACTGTTCAGGAGACAAGGCTTGCATCAACAACAAATGCATCAACCCCTGCACCCAGAACGTCTGTGGAATCAGGGCAAACTGCAAGGCGATCAATCACAGTCCACTTTGTAGCTGTCCATCTCCCTTAATTGGCAATCCATTCGAAGAATGCTACACGAAAATTGGTACTTCAAACATAATCGTATTTATTTAATTTTACGTATCGAAACATGCTGTGCTAAAACTTAACGATTCCTTTCCAGAAACTGACCCCTGCAATCCATCACCGTGCACTTACAACGGTGAATGCAAAGTTAAGAACGGCGTTGCAATATGCATTTATCCAGAATGTGTCATCAATTCTGATTGTCCACGAGACAAGGCCTGTTTCGCCCAGAAATGCAGGGATCCTTGCATCGGTGCCTGTGGAATCAACTCGCTTTGTCAGACTGTCAATCACAAGCCAGTTTGCTCGTGTCCATCTGGTTTTACTGGCAACGCTAGGATCCAGTGCACCATCCCAACAGTTGAAGAACCGACCCCGGAATGTACCCAAAATTCTGAATGTCCAAACGATAAGACCTGTTACAATCAGAAATGCGTCGATCCTTGCACCCTTGATTCCTGTGGCTATAACAGTCGGTGCCACGTGCAACTGCACCGGGCTGTATGCGTCTGCAACGAAGGTTTCACTGGCAATCCTCAACAGTACTGTCGCGAGCGTACGTCTCATAAAACAATTTTATTATTTTCACCCACTTAAAAAATTTATCTCAGTGTTAACACTTATTAATTCGTTTCTACAGTTGGATGTCGCGGTGATAGCGATTGTCCATTGACCCAATCCTGCATCAACAACGAATGCCTGGATGCATGCTCAGTGACACAGTGTGGTATCAATGCACTTTGTTCGTCCGACGGATATCATAGACCACGATGCTATTGTCCTGAAGGATACCTGGGTAACCCGTATCAGAGCTGCGAGAGACCAGAGTGCACCAACGACAATGATTGTCCTTCTTCATTAGCGTGTCGCGACTTGAAATGCGTGAATCCTTGCGACTGTCCACTTTCAGCTCAGTGTTCTGTGATTAACCATCGTCCTACGTGTCGGTGCCCACCAGGTTACACTGGTGATCCATACAAGTCTTGTCTAATGGGTAATAATTCAATTTCAAGAAATATGACCTAATTATACGATACGGAGAATTAACTAACAAGTTAATTGATTGTTTCAGAACCGATAGAACCACAACCTCAGTGTCAGGTGGACGGGGACTGCCCCAGTAAATTGGGTTGTTTCAATGGAATCTGTAAAGACCCTTGCATGGAAACGAAACCTTGTATTGCTGGTGCAAAATGTTCTGTAGTGGACACTTTGCCTATGAGAACTATGGTCTGTGAATGTTTACCGAATTTCGCTGGCGATGCAACAGTGGCTTGCATTCCAGGTAAAGATCAATTGCATTCAACAGTGAACAGAGTTTCGAGTGATCAAATTTGAAATAATTGATTTAATATTCTCATGTTTCAGTGGATAAACAAATCGAAGCAATCTGCAAAGCTGACTCTGAGTGCACTTCGAATTTGGCGTGCTTGAACGAGCGGTGCATCAACCCGTGCATCATCAGTCCATGTGCATCGAACGCGGACTGTTCTGTTGACAATCATTACCGTCAGTGTCATTGCTCTCGAGGAACGGCCGGCGATCCATTCGTAAATTGTTACAGAGGTAACTATTCGAATAGCGAATAAAAGTAGCATAATGGATTTATATTTCTGTAACAAGTATCGTGAATAAAATTGTTTGAACTTTCGCAGACACTGATTCGTTCCCAGAGTGCATAAGGAATACCGATTGTGCACCCAACGAGGCCTGCATAAACGAACTATGTCAAAATCCGTGTGCCAGTACTCAGTGTGGATTGAACGCAGAATGTATCACTGTCAATCATCATCCAACTTGTCACTGTCAACAGAACTTTGCTGGTGATCCTCAAATGCAATGTTTCAGACGTAAGTACCCAATAATGATCAATTTACAATTTATCTTAATGAGACAAAGCTACAACAAACTATGTCTTTTTTCAGCCGAGTGCAAGTCAGACAGCGATTGTCCTTACGACAAGACCTGTCAGAACAACAACTGTGTCACTCCATGCTTGGTCGGAGACATTGCATGTGGTCGCGGTGCAGAGTGCATTGCAATTTCGCACAGAGCACAATGCGTTTGCCCTAAAGGCACCCAGGGTGACCCTCGAATCGCATGCATTTCCGCGGTTTGCCATTACAACGAAGACTGTGCTGATCACGAAGCCTGCGACAGACTGAACAGAGTTTGTCGACCTGTTTGCGAAGATGACACTTGCGCCGAAACCGCCCAGTGCATCGCTAGAGACCATCAACCGAGATGCAGTTGCCCTGTAGGAACTGTTGGAAATCCTTACGTCGAATGCACTGGTAAGTTAGTAACCGCTAACAAATATAATATAATCGAGGTAATTGGGAAAATCAATGATTCTACTATGTGTTTCATTTAATCAGGTGTGGCCATCGAAGTGGAGTGCAGAGAGGATAGCGTATGTCCACCGTCTTTGGCATGCATCAATACAAAATGTCAAGATCCTTGTCTGTCCTCGAACATGTGCACTGGTGAGCAAGAATGCAAGGTATTGAACACGGTACCACTTCGAACAATGATTTGCAGCTGTCCACCGAATACCATAACTGACATCAATGGACTGTGCAAGAAAATTGGTAAATATTGATACTTTGGGGAAGCAATGATTTTAGTCCATTTTTGGACATGTTTTTAAACGATATAAAAAATATCTTTCAGTGCTAGAAGATGTCAAGTGTCATCAAGATCAGGATTGCAATGATTCGGATAAATGTATCGATGGAACTTGCATTGAGGCTTGTCTTACCACCCAGTGTGGTTTTAATGCACAATGCAAATCTACGTCCCACACAGGGATCTGTCAATGCTCGCCTGATTTCACCGGCAATGCTTACATCGAGTGCATCAGACGTAAGTTTCAACTCGTATCAATTCTAATTAACTTCGGATCATTCACAAGCATAATAAAACCTCTACGTTTAGTTCCTATAGTGCCACTACCACCAGTTCGTCCAGAATGTTACGTTAACAGCGAGTGTCCAAATTACAAACAATGCATCAACGCTCTTTGCGTGAATCCATGCGTTCTCGAAGACACCTGCGGCAGAAATGCCTTGTGTTACGTGGATAATCATAATCCAGTCTGCAGATGTCCTGCTAACTATGTTGGTGATGCGAGAATCAATTGTGTACCACGTAAGTACAGGGCGAGAAATTATCAAATGGATATCAAGTTGCTCAGACGAGGATTAATAAAAATTTAGACTAATTTTTACGCGATTCACCAACAATCATTCTTTGCAGCGGAAATTGTGGCCGAGTGCACTTCGAATAGCGAATGCGCGGGCAATGCTGCATGTGTCAATAACTTGTGCATCAACCCGTGCAATTGCGGTCCAAACGCAAAATGCAACGTCGTCGATCACTATCCATCCTGCTCCTGTCCACCTGGATATTCTGGAAATCCTCAATTGGGTTGTTTCAAACGTAAGTTACACCTCTTTACAGTATTCCATGTAAACTTTTATCTATTCGTTCAATCTCATAACATTTCGCTTTATAGTGGATTGCGAGTCGGACAGCGAATGCAACAACGCAGCCACCTGTTACAACGGCCAATGCGTGAATCCTTGTATTTTGGAGAACAAATGTGCAATCAATGCAGAATGTTACGGTCAAAAGCATCGCGCCGTTTGTCGCTGCGGTGCAGGCTACATCGGCAATCCGGAAGTGCATTGCGAGAGGGTCGAGTGCAGCGCTGATTACGACTGTCCTCGAAATCTCGCCTGCAGCAGCGGACGCTGCATAAATCCGTGCATCGAAGATTCACCGTGTGCTCAGAATGCTGTCTGCTACGTTCAAGATCACCTGGCTACTTGTCGCTGTCCCGAGAACATCCCTGCTGGAAATCCCTATTCCTACTGCGAGCATCGTCCAACGACACCACTTGACGAGCCAGAATGCAGAATCGACATCGAGTGCGCCGACAAACTGGTGTGCATCAAGAACAAATGCATCGATCCATGCCCGGTTATTAAACCATGTCTGGAGAACGCACGATGCAATGTTCTTGATACGCTTCCAGTGAGGACCATGACCTGCACTTGTCCAGAAGGCTGGACCACTGACATCGATGGTGTTTGCAGACCAAGTAAGAAAATATTACACTACATCAATTCGATATGTGACAATCTAATAATTTCACTCGAATAATATTCTATTTCCTCGTTGCAGTTCAAATAGCAGTCATCGGTAGCTGTACAACGAACGACGAGTGTAGCGACAAAGAGGCCTGCATCAACAGACAATGCAGAAACCCATGCAACTGCGGTACCAACGCTGCCTGCTATGTCAAAAACCACAAACCGATCTGTTCTTGCGAGGAAGGCTACCAAGGCAACCCAGACATCGCCTGCTACTCCGTAGAGTGCAGACGAGACAGCGAATGCGCTTTGGACAAGATTTGCGTGAACAACAACTGCGTCGATCCTTGCCTAGTGTCCGATAATTGTGGCGTGAACGCCGAATGCTACCCTAACAACCATAAAGCCGACTGTCGTTGCCGTAAGGGTTATCACGGAAATGCTCTGGATCGTTGCAAAGTGATAGGATGCTATAGCAATGGCGACTGTCCCGGCGATCACTCTTGCATCAACATGCAATGCATCAACCCATGCGTCCATAGCAACCCTTGTTCACCGCGTGCCGAATGCAGAGTCTTCAACCATCTGCCAATCTGTCGTTGCCCGGCTCATCACACAGGCAATCCTTACGTGAATTGCAAACCGGAAGAGAGACCAGAATGCAAGGAAGACGGAGACTGTCCAGATTCGCTGGCCTGCTTTAACAACAAATGTCAGAATCCATGCTCTGTGATCCAACCATGCAGCGAACCATCGGAATGCAGGGTGCTACCAACTTACCCTGTTCGCACGATGGTTTGCGTGTGTCCTAGTGGCTATGTAAGCAGCGGAAGTGGACTCTGCAAGGCCACCAAGCCGATTCTAGAGGTCGAATGTACCAGAGACAGCGATTGCCCATTGGACAAGTCTTGCGTGAACGCTGTATGCAAGAATCCTTGCGCCTGCGGACCAAACGCAGAATGCAGCGTAGCGAATCACAAGCCAATCTGTTCTTGTATTTTGGGTTACGATGGAAATCCTGATGTAGTATGTACCAAGGGTAAGGATTAATTTTTTTTTTTCTCTTCTTCTTCATTTCACTCGTTAAACGATCTTGTTACTCTTTATTGCGAACTTGCATTTATATTTTCAGTCGCCGGATGTCGCACGGATGGAGATTGCAGTGGATCGCACGCTTGCATACAGCACAACTGCGTTTCAGTGTGCTCGCCGTCCCTGTCCACTTGTGGAAAAGGGGCAGAATGTCATGGCATCAATCACAAGGCCATCTGTGAATGTCCACCTGGCTATGGAGGTAATCCAAGAGCGGCCTGTGTTCTTCTTGGTTGCAGGACCAACTCGGATTGCCCAACGAACAAGGCCTGCGTCAACAATCGATGCGAGAATCCTTGTGCCGTGAATCCTTGCACCGGGAACATGGACTGTAACGTGTACAACCATGTGGTCGAGTGCGCTTGCCCTCCTGGCTACATCGGTGATGCCAAACTGGGATGCACCAAATGTAAGAATAAGCTCATCTATTAAATTTTTATTTAATCTATTAGACTTTCGCTTATTTTCGACTGGTTTGATTTCAGTGACAGAGAAATGTAAAGCAGACAACGAGTGTCCATCTCAAACCGCTTGCTTTAATGGCGAATGTATTAATCCTTGCGTGAAAATCGAGCCTTGTGGAGTGAATGCGGACTGCAAAGTCCTGGATACAACTCCTGTGAGGACTATGATTTGCGAGTGCATTCCTGGTTACAGAGGAAACGCGGTTGTTCATTGTGAAAAAAGTAATTGTCCTTAAACATGTTCCAAAAGGAAGAATTGATGTAGAAACCTATCTAAATGTACGTTTTCCTTTTCTAGCTAATGTATGTCCAGTGGAGAAGGGTCAGATCCTTGATGAATATGGCAATTGTATCTGTCCACCTGGAACGGCTAAAGACGAGAGCGAAGTGTGCATACCTTGCCACAAACAAACTGGAATGATCATTAACAACGAAGGATATTGCGTGTGTGCTTTGGAAAATGGCATGATCATCGATGAATATGGACGGTGTGTCTGTCCAACTCAACACGGATACAGACTAGACGGCAATGGATATTGTAAATTAGGTAAGATGCAAGATAAATTTAATATTTATATTAATCATACTTCTATGGATCTGTTGAATTAATAGTATCTTTATTTCGCAGCCGACATAATCGAATGCAAACACGACGACGACTGTGCTGACAATAGGTTCTGTGACAAAACTAGTCAAACCTGCGAAGATCCTTGCATGAGCCAACTGTGTGGCTCGTATGCATTTTGCAATGCTACTCGACATCAAGCTATCTGCATATGCATCAACGGCTACATTGGAAATGCTTACAAACAATGCTGTAAGAACACGTTCTTACGTACAAGAATTTCTTGATATAAACGGTAAATTAATCAATAAAATTTTTATTTAATAGGTGACAAAAACCGATGGCGAACCGATTTCCCAAAACCAGAAATGGTAGTCAGCTGCTTGTCGGATGGAGTGCAGGTCGAAATACATCTTCAGGACCAAGAGTTTGATGGAGTGCTATATGTTAAAGGTCATAGTAAGGACGAACAATGCAGAAGAGTTGTTTCTATTGCTGCGGAAACGATGCACAAGACCGAGATATTCAAAGTGGCATTTGGAAATTGTGGATTGATACACGTGAACGTAAGTTTTATCTTTAGAAACGTTCATCGAAGATATAATTACAATACGTAACACAAAATTATATCATTTCAGGGACAAGCTAGCTTTGTACTGGTCATACAAAAGCACCCGAAATTGATGACATACAAGACCCAGGCTTATCACATCAAATGTATATATCAAACAGGAGAACAAAATGTCACTCTTGGCTTTAATGTCTCCATGTTAACAACCGCTGGAACCATCGCCAATACTGGTCCACCGCCAGTCTGTCTGATGAAGATCGTCACTCAAAATGGAAACGAAATTAACTCGGCCGAAATTGGAGACAACCTAATGTTGCAGGTCGAAGTTCAACCCTCAAGTAAGTATACATTAAACAGGAAAATTATTTCACGAGTTTTTCAAAACTTCAACGCCTGCTTAAAACATTCCAGCTATTTACGGTGGATTTGCTCGAAATTGCGTGGCTAAAACGATGGAAGACAATTTGGAGAACGAGTACATAGTAACAGACGAGAATGGTTGTGCGACAGACCCAACGATATTTGGCGAATGGGAACAGAACCCTGAAACACAGACGCTGATGGCCAGCTTCAACGCATTTAAGTTCCCAAGCAGCAACAATATTCGATTCCAGTGCAATATCCGTGTATGCTTCGGTCGCTGTCAACCTGTAAGTATCAATTAATTACCATAAAGTACACTGAAGTAACAAAGAAGGAAAGATACATGATAATACTTAAATGATTGTTATAGGTAAACTGTCGAGGATACAATGCGTTCGGTCGTCGCCGACGAGACGTTGATTCAGAAACGAACGACACTTCTTTGAGCATCGCAGACAACTACGAAGGACAACTTCGAGAAGAAATAACAATCCAGTCGAATCTGATATTCACTCTGGAAAGGAGAGAAGAGAGGTTTACAGCAGATCCAACTGAAAGTAAGATAACTTATTACTCTTTCTGTAGTAAAAAATAAAAGAGAACCTTGGTATGCTAAAATGGAATTTGCTTTTGTTACAGTTGCTTCAGCTCAAAGAGTGGAAGACATTTGTGTATCTATGGTCGGCTTTGTGATAGCATTAGTAATTACAGCACTGCTGGCACTAGTAGCTGTAGCTATTGCTGTCTCCTGCTGGCTAATGGCGTATCGTCGCCAGCCAAAGACTGCTGGACCACTGCCACACCCACCAGAGTTCCCAAATCCATTGTTCACTACTGAATCTGTAGCTGAACCATCTCCTGACTATCATCTATCATAAGTTTTCTAGGATAATTATTATTTTATAACGTAATTTTATAATTGTCAATGAAATGCAGTACAGACCAGTTTCATCCAGCTGGTCGGTCTTGTATTTCTGTAAACAACTCCTCCAGCGACTAGTTTTCCATACTTTTTCTTCTCTCGAGGGTTCACAATCTGAGCGCGTCGAATATGTTCGCTGCTGTATACTCTGTACTCTGAATTTTCGATCTAAATAGATATACGTATAGATATATTTACTATTTATGGTGATGGTTTGCTTCCATTATCTACGTACACGAGAAACCTTGTCTTCCTATGTATGTAAGTACCTTACCTTTTGTTCTGTTCTGTTCTGTTCTTCACTTCTTTTAGTCACTGGAGGATTTGTTCAGCGTAACACTGCGAATTTAATTTCCGTGTAAAGTCGAACGAATTAGTCTAATATAGCTTTCTTACTTCGATAGTAGGTAACTGTACATTTTATCTAATAAAACGCTAATGTAATATTTTTAAAGTGGTCTCCATTATTTAGCAGTTCCTTAAAAAATAAACGAAGTAGAAATTAGACATATGTAAATATTAAAATAATTAAATATAATTTTGCAGGTATTTTTATTACAAATTAATTATAAGGTATTCCCTACATTTACATAATTTACAAAAAGTAAAGAGTACTTAATATATGTAACAAATCATACAAATTCATTAATAAATAAACGTAATGTTATGCTGTAAATCGAAGCAGCAATTCAGTCATCATTAACAATTCAGAAATATTCCCTGAAAAAAGTGATTATCCTTTGATAACCGCGATTGGTCGTAATTTTATACATTTTTTAGAGATACCGGCCGCGTGACATGTATTTACAACGTCGGTTACATTTTTATAAGACTCGGGTGCTTCTTCCATCACTAATTTAGGCGAAGCAACCCGAATTGATATTCCTTGTCGCTCTAATTTTTCTAGTACGTCCGTGTAATCCAAATTCCTACGTGATTTAGCTCTAGACAAAGCTCGCCCCTAAAAGGAAGAGTTTGTATTTGATTTGAAGATTAATACCTCGATCATAGCAGGAGTAAATTTTGAAATACGTACAGCTCCATGACACGTTGATCCAAATGTCTCTTTCATACCCTGTTCGGTACCGGTAAGAACGTAGCTGCAAGTTCCCATAGTACCGCCGATTAGAACTGGTTGACCCGTTAATTGATAATCAACGGGAATCAAAGGATGATGAGGTGGAAATGCTCTTGTAGATCCCTACAGCAAACGCGATTAAAAAACATTCACACAAAGTGAACTAATGTCTCTCGCGTTTTAATTTACCTTTCTGTGTACTAGAAGCGTTTTCTGTTTACCCTCTACCATATGTTCCTCTATCTTCGCGATATTATGAGAAACATCGTATATAACATGCATATCTAAATCATCGGGAGACATTTGGAACTGTTTCGCAAATGCTTGACGACTGAGAAACGTCATAGAACTTCTGTTAACCCATGCAAAATTTGCTGCTGCTGCCATTGATTTTAGATAGTCTTGACCTTCTTTAGATTTTATATGAGCACAAGCTAACTGCCTATCATTAGTTTCAATATTATCTCTTTTCATAGCTTTTTCCATCTGAACAAGTGCATCTGTAATACATCATACAATGAAGCAAATTGTGATTACTGATAATCACACCACATTTATATTACCAGTTGCAACTTGATGCCCAAATCCTCTACTACCAGAATGAATCATAACACAAATTTGACCCTTCTCTTCGATACCCATTTTGCAAGCAGCCCACTTATCATAGATTTCTTCTACAACTTGAATTTCAGCATAATGATTTCCTGCTCCTAATGTTCCTAACTGTGGAAGACCACGTTTTTTGGCTCTCATTGATACCTTTGAAGAATCTGCATTAAGCATCCTACCATACTCCTCACAGTGCTCCTTGTCCTCAGCCCAGATATAGCCTATGCAAGGTATCTTATATTAATAAAAAATTCGTTTTAATAAACATACAAGTTAGTACCTTCTCTAAGAGACCAGTCCATCCCCATTTCTAATGCTTCTTCCAAATCATGTGCATTCATAGGAATAATTCCTTTTGACCCAACACCAACAGGAATATGATCAAACATACTTTGAGCCAATTGTTCTTTCACTGGTGTAACATCCTCTTCAAATAAATTAGTTCTCAACAAACGAACACCACAATTTATATCAAAACCTACTCCACCAGGTGATACTATTGATTTTGGGTCATTCATGTCAAATGCTGCCATATTACCAATGGCAAAACCATATCCAGAATGAACATCAGGCAACCCAACTGATCTCCAAACAATTCCAGGAAGAGCAGCTACATTAGCAATTTGTTTCATACCTGGGAGAAATCCACCTACTGTACCTGGCCTACATGCATTACGTAGTTCTTCAAACATTAAACGTTCTAATGTATCATTTACATAAAATACACCTTCAACCTATAAAAATTGCAAATAGAGATGCACATCAGTTCGGAATGCTTTCAAAACTTGGTGTAATTTGTTGAAACCAAGAATATTTACCTTCATATTAGGCTGAAAACCTTTCTTTATTCTCCAACACACATCAGATATTTTCTCTAAATAATTTAATTCTTCCTGATACTTCCTGACTACCATTTTCAATAATCATAAACTCTTACACTTTATTGAAGTATGTTAATAATTCCTATAGAAGTGTTTTGCAAAAAACTATATTTTTACAACAAATTCTTCACTTCAGACAGTTTAACAAGCTTCACTTAACAAGCTTTTCCTACGTATTTTATTGAAATATTAGAGATACATATAAATAATATCTCTCCCTGACAGAATGGGAGACCGGCTAGAATCTAGAATGAACATTTGTAGGATGTGAAGGTTATACCTACTCCAACCTACTCATTGCTCGGGATTTTGCTTATAGCAGTGACTACAGATACAAAAGACTGGACATGATTTACGGGGTCCCAGATACCCCAAGATGAGCTACCGTCTGCGTGCAGAAAGCACAACCTGTATGATAATTGCGCCTGTTTTACCAGTCCCTCTTTTACCGCACCGCAGACTGACATTCGAAAAGACCTAATTTTCACTCTTTGATTCTTCTTTTTTTCTAGAAATCAGTCAAAAACAGCACAAGACTGAACAATTATTATTACAATTGCTTCACAAACTTGTATTCACTCCATGCACCTTGATAAATAAATCATTTTAAAAAAGCAACTGAGTTATTTATTTGATTGACAAACTTTTCTATTATTTCAGTTATGTAAAGTGCAAAAATTAACCAATAAATATAGCAGAAATAAAATAGAAAAACAACCTACAAACCTCGCAGCCAATTCGCTCGTATTATTTCCTGTATAATTAATAAATGTACCATAGAAATAATGATACAGTTATTAATTACCCATCAAATAATAACGATTGCCCAGGTCTCACCACGGGGAGGTTGCTGCGGTTTGGAGACCCGCCCTACCTCATCCCATCCACCCTCCATTTATGCAAATTTTTATTTTCATTTAATATCATCCTCTTGATGCACATTTGCAAAACGTTCTTGACTGTTGTGCAAACGAACAACAAAAGGAGCATTATTTTTATTTACTACCTACCTATCTACTTATCTATACATACATATATCTACGCATATTTTTGCTTTTTATTCCTATCGCAACATTTATTAATTTTGATTTTGATTACAGATCTGTAATTAATAAATATGCAATTGCATATTTGTCCTACATACTTATATTACTAAGAATAGCTACTTAAACGAGCGCTCGTAATTATATTAACACTGAACGTACCGAGATTTAATATATGTATACCTATTTGTACCACAACAAATAAAAATATAAATAAATGAAGTAAAATTAATTGTATATATTTAATAGAAAAAGTCATGAAGACAAATGTGAAAAAGCGATAACATTTTATGCGAATTTTTTAATCAAAAGTTTATAATCGGTCATGATACGTTTAGTGTTAAAAATTCACTTAAACCTAACGCTTCCTAATTAAACACTGCAGTGTTTGACGATTATATCTTAATCACCATAAAGTCATTATAACGTCGTATAAAAATTTCAAGGGATATACATAAATAAGTACAATGAATTTGTTGATTTTGTTGTCCTCGCCGGAATACTTCTTCAAACAAACTGAAAAGGATTAAACATAATTTAAGATAATAATGAGGCTGATGTAGCCTTAATCATAAATTTACAACCTGCCTGAAATAAACAGAAAATGATTAAATACAATTTTCGAAAATAATACGGTTCAGATATTACCACTCATAAGAATCACTTTCCCTTTTCAATCATTTTCACCTTGTTTTACTTAATTGAATAGATTGAATTCCATTTATAGATGCTAGATTTTATATTACATTTCTTCCATTCTATTATCCGATATTATTAATTCACACTTCCTATAAAGATATTTCTCTGCAACAGAAACTCATTAATCGAATTCATACAAAGAGAAAAAAATGTAATACCTGAAAAGAAGATACATTAGTAACAATAAAATTTCACAAAAATCAAAGTAATGGTTAACGAGTCATTTCCAAATAAGAAAACATCAATTAGACACAAAATATGAATTAAAAATGAAATTCAGTACCAAAATAAAAGCAGACAAAGATTTATAAAAAAAAATTGTTATTAAGTAAGTGATTTCAGTTAGAAACATTAATTATTTCATTTTATTGCATAATATTTAACATTAGTTCATTTAGTAACCAATAATATATAAAATTTTAATTGAAACAACTGTCCTTTTACTGCAATATACGTAAGTACAACCATGATTCTACTTGACTTTATTGCATTATATTATTCAATACACTTTTCAATGCAAATTTATTGTAAATGGAAAAACTGAAGAAAAAATCACGAGTGGGCTTTGCTTTTCAGGAAAAGAATTAGAAAATTTATAAAAGTAATTTAATTAGCTTCTCCGTAAGCTTGAAACGAAACATCGCGACCAAAAATCAAAACTAAACAACTTCAACAACAACCATCCACTTTTGTTTAAATAAAGCAGAATTAAAATCTAATAAGCTATTTCAAATGAACAAATATTCCTTGAAATAATTGATCACCAATCACAAAATAAAATGAATTTCCATTTTAAATAAAACTTTGAATAAAGTTCTATTTAAAACTTTATCGTATTTAGTAATATTCTGAAAACAATAAATTCATATATTATTTAACAGTATTTCCGACAACCGAATGCTCAAAATTTTCAAAATTAAAAAAAGGGAAGAAAAAAAAATGGGGGCGGGGCAGTGGGAGGGAGGGTACAGGGGAACCTGAAAAGAAAAGTTTGACTGCCCATAAGAGCAATCCCTAAGCAAACCCTAAAAACAAACCGAAATCACACGCAACACTAATTTTAAAATTGCAAACATTCTGAACTATGACAAAACATCGGCTGGCAACGAGGGGTCTCACGCCCCCTAGACTTGCGCCAGACGCTACATACCACCCACCCCGCCTGGACGTCGTAACGCCAGGACAGAGTGCACCCCTTCGCTAAGAGCGCTACCCGCCCGTCCAACACGTTGCATCCAACGGTGTCAGATTGACGGACGCCCATAGTATAGACAAAAGGACTGCAGTTTAGAATATGGTAACATATTTTCATATGTTCCGTATTCTAAAACTGTGCCTGCAAAGGCCTAGTAATGCATGGGTATATCTCCCAGAGATGGTGTTCACGGTCTTAGGCCGCGGAATCCTTGACTAGCAATGGATTCCCACCGAATGTGAGTCATAGTTACTTCCACTAATTTAATAACAATCGCGAATTCAGTCGCAACACTAATTTCATTAATTATATAATATGTACAAAAGCGTACGCGTGAAGGCTGCTCCATTATACGCAACACTAAGCTGAAAAAAAGAAAAAAAGAGAAAACGCGAACTGTAACGCAACACTACTGAAATCTACCGAATTTTGTAAGACGCAACACTAATCTAAAAAAGGGGTACAGCCAATCCAAGGCTGTACCACGGCAGCTGGTCCATAGCTGCCTTATGGACCATGGCAACTCCACTGGATCGTTTTGGGGCATTTCTAATGCAAAACGCGAACATTCATTACCGCAACACTAATTAGCAGGGAACTCTATAAACTAATGCAAAGCAATCGCGTATTTATAAGTCGCAACACTGGGAAACAATCGCGCTAATAACATTCGCAACACTATCTTTAACAGACATGCAATTAAAATGCAGAAAAGGGGATTCTCAAACCGTGAATTTTTTACTCGCAACACTAATTGCATTAATTATATAATATGTACAAAAGCGTACGCGTGAAGGCTGCTCCATTATACGCAACACTAAGCTGAAAAAAAGAAAAAAAGAGAAAACGCGAACTGTAACGCAACACTACTCAAATCTACCGAATTTTGTAAGACGCAACACTAATCTAAAAAAGGGGTACAGCCAATCCAAGGCTGTATCACGGCAGCTGGTCCATAGCTGCCTTATGGACCATGGCAACTCCACTGGATCGTTTTTGGGCATTTCATCATATATCGCAACTCTAATGCAAAACGCGAATATTCATTATCGCAACACTAATTAGCAGGGAACTCTATGAACTAATGCAAAACAATCGCGTATTTATAAGTCGCAACACTGGGAAACAATCGCGCTAATATCATTCGCAACGCTATCTTTAAGAGACATGCAATTAAAATGCAAAAAAGGGGGATTCTCAAACCGTGAATTTTTTACTCGCAACACTAAAGCAATCAACATTAAAAAGCAAAACTCTCAAAAATCTTAAAGCAATCAACATTGAAAAGTTAAATTATATTGTAATGCAATGCAAGAAAGAAACGCGATATTTAAAGTTCGCAACACTAAATGAAAATCGCAATAATCATGCATTCGCAACACTAAATTGAACCGTGGTCAATATTCGCAACACTAAATTGAAAACGCGATTTGCCCAAAATCATGGGGGTCACGGGCCCCCTCTTGTCCTGAAATTACAAAACTACAACTACAGGCAAGCACAGTGACAAAGTAGTAACGATAATGATTTCCCATCCTTTTTTGCAAAAGGATGCAAAATCATTAATAGTTCCCCTCTTGAAAGACAGTTTGTCGGGGCGCTTCGGCATATAGCCTTTTCTTTCTTCGGGCGGTCCACCCACCTGAAACTTATATCTAAAACTCGAGACTTGCAAATTCGCAAAACAAAAAAAAAACCAATCAACAAAAAAGAAAAATCGCGAAACTCTAATTGACACGTGGACGAAAAAGGACTTTATATAAGTCGTTGTTCGTGCACACGTGCCGTGCTCGAGCAGAACTTGTGCGTTTCGTGCCATCGCGACCGCGTATGACGACTTATGAAGTCGCCAAAAATTTGAAAAATTGTACAGATAGATTCGAAGGCGAACGACATACTCCGTTCGTATCGATCGTATCGTCAATTCTTCAAATATATTCCAGGTACAGGTTGATCACGCGAAATCGCGCCTACCCGACCAAGAGACTGTGACAACCTGTCCCGGCCCTACCTACTTACAATCTATCACACACACCAGAAGGTATACTACCTACCTACCTAACCCTATATTTAAAAAAGGCAAAATCACATTCTCACAAAAATTCATTCCACGACCCCCATACACTCCACCCGGGCGCAGAGCCTAAACTAGGGAGAACGTCCCGGGACGCCTCCGTCACCCGAGTTTCATCTCACATCACACTCTACGGTACGTACCATTTTTCACTGAAATCGTCTGGCAAGGCTAGCAATCATTGCGTATAATGATAATTACAAAATTTCATTAACTACTTTGATATAGAATATTTCATAGTAATGGTAATAATCATGGTAATAGTAATGGTAATAATCATGATAATAGTATTTGGTAATAGTAACAATAGTATTTGGTTTGTACGTTCATCGTACATCTTGTTGAATAAAATATTATTTCAAATTAAAAGTAAATGAAAAAGTTATTAAACCGACGCAATCCCACAGCCTAAAAACACACACACCATATGTGGAGATTACGTCGTGCACGATATACTAACACAATGCCAGCCGCTTATTAATTATTATTCTTATGAACTAGGTCATCGTGCCCATTGCCTCTACCCATCCAAGTAGCACCTGGGCACGTGAATGGGCTTTGGCAATAAACACGGAAGGGGTTAAATCTGAAAATCCTGATCTACAAACATGATTAGTACATAAACATCTAACGGGCTAATATTTCACTATTTTAATAAAAATGACTCGACTTTGTAAATATAAAGCTTTAAGAACAAATACTGAAAAGCAAAATAGAGCAACTATGACGCAAACATGATGCACTGCTAATATCAGCTGGCAACGAAGGGTCTCACGCCCCCTAGACTTGCGCCAGACGCTACATACCACCCACCCCGCCTGGACGTCGTAACGCCAGGACAGAGTGCACCCCTTCGCTAAGAGCGCTACCCGCCCGTCCAACACGTTGCATCCAACGGTGTCAGATTGACGGACGCCCATAGTATAGACAAAAGGACTACAGTTTAGAATATGGTAACATATTTTCATATATTCCGTATTCTAAAGCTGCGCCTGCAAAGGCCTAGTAATGCATGGGTATATCTCCCAGAGATGGTGTTCACGGTCTTATGCCGCGGAATCCTTGTAACTAATTTGATTAATTAAATAATAAAAAGGATTGAGTTTAAAAACCAAAAGGATTCCCACCGAATACTAGTCAGTGCATCGTCATATTTACTCTCGCGCTGGAAATTTTTCGCAACACTAATTTAAGAAATGCAAAATTTTAATAAAAAAGAATTTAATGTCTTTAATTAAGAATTCTTTGCAATGAAACAAGAATTTGTTGTGAAAATTAATAAAACATCCTCGGGTGACTCCCTCCTCAGAGTAAATTTTCAAGAATACGCAAAATGTGTTGAAATAGATCACTCTGAGTTGGAAATCTACCCGTCACGAATTGTCTTCTTGCACATAAATTGTTCATTTTTTCATGAACGTGTAAATAAGTTAAACTTTGTTATTGAATGAATATTTGAATTTATAGTGTACAAAATGTAATTAAATCAATGTAACAGCATCATTAATATGTATATCCAGTATACAGATTACATAATATTATTAATACTATATTGCTTTGAACCATCGCAATAATTAAGTCAGATAGTATTTGACTTCCCTATTACAGACAAAATAAATAAAATTGTTTCGGTATTAAAATATTCTAATTCCACAGTTAAGAATATTTAAGAGCATTCATATATTTCAAAAATATCTATTAGAATATGTGGAATTGAAATGATATTAAAACGCGGAGTACAAGAAGACCTAGCCTAACTAAATGAAATGAAACAATAAAAATGTTACTACTCATGGGTATGTATAATCATACCCATGGTCACTATGCTTGCCAAGCACGTATACAACTAGTAGCCCGTGTCGATTCGGACCATTCGTCCTACGACATGAGTGGGCTACCAGAGGAATCATAAAACATGCGACTCACCGTTCGCAGATATACTCTTCTTCAGGTAGGAGGCTGCCTTGTAGGAGAATACTGAAGTCGTGAAGAAATTCATCTGTAACAAAAAAAGAAGAATTACGGTTAATTTTGAAAATGATCAATTTTTATTCTAATAAAATTATATATGAAATTGAATTTTATAAAATATTAGCAATTAAAAAAAAATCTCAATTATCAAGTGTTGAAATTGTAAATTATTCTATTTTAATAAAAAGCAATTAAGTGACGTACCAAGGCGGAAGTCGTGAAGAAAGCCATCATCAGGATATCCAGGAACTCGGCAATCAAAAAATTCATCTGTAACAAAACAAAAAAGAATTACGGTTAATTTTACAAATTATCAATTTTTATTCTAATAAAATTATATATGAAATTGAATTTTATAAAATATTAGCAACAGCAATTAAGAACTCTCAATTATCAAGTATTGAAATTGTAAATTATTCTATTTCAATTAAAATTAATTAAATAAAGTAATAAGATACTTACACTCTTTCCTTATGGAGCAACGCCCAAAACTCCTCTTCAGTGGTGCTTTGACTCTAATCCCGAATATATCGAGCAATTAAAGAAAAAAAAAAAGAAAAAAAAAATAAAGATATAAAGTAACGCGACCGAGAATAATTTCCGGCGAACAATTGTAATGACTCTACTTTCACGATGAAAAAGGAAAAAGCAGAGCCGCGATGCTCTAAAGAATATTTTATAATCCGCAGCAAACACTGACTCTACTTTCGCGTGATTCCTAATCATACAAACGCAACTCTATTCAGGGCCAGTTCGCCCTTGCAAAAATCAAAACATTGGAAGTATATTCGTACAAACACTGACTCTACCGACCGCATTGCGCGCGGCCACAACAATTCCTGAAAGAAAAACTTAGTGGGCAGGGATGGGCTGGGTGGAAATAAACAAAACAACATTCTTCTTATTGAGTGTTCGTAACGGAAATACTGTTATTAATGGCTTGTAAATGAAAATATCTATGTTCGTGAAATATATTCGACGAGCACAAATATTGTTAAATCTGAATATTGATCCTAGATTGAAATGAAATGTTTTAAATAATTGTTGATAATTATTTCAATGAATATTACATCGATAGAAAATCATTTTGTAATAAAGATAATAGACTATTGTATTAAAGCAGAGGATTTTTGTTGTTAAGATTGTAAGCATATTAAAAATTGTTGAAAATTCTATTACGGCGTAATTTATAAATTATCTATTTCTTTACAATAAGCAAAGTCCAATAATTAACCATGCTTAAACAGCATGAGATTTAATAACGTGATTTTATTTTAATTCAAACTTGCACCGAAAGCTGTATATTATAATACAATTACTACAATTTGACGATAACAGATTGTTTAAAATAATTCTAATTTTTAACAGATGCATGAAACTACTAGTTAAAATTATTCAATAAAATGAAAAATTAATTATCCTTTTTCTATTAATTGATCAAAGAAAGAAACATTCCTCTGATCTTTCCTTCCTTGACCTTGGTACCAATAATTAATTATCAAAAATGCTTACAATTAACAATGCCTCAACAAAAAGAAAGTAATAACAAATATTACCAATTGATTACAATAAATCAAAACGTTACCAATTCTTTACGAAATTGTGTTTCAAACCAGTATTAATTACCATGGCATCGTATCGCATGGCATTTTTTCAATATCAAGGAAATATCTGTAACAAATAAGAAATACAAATTTATATAAATGAAATTTAACCAACAGCAATAAAGTTATGATTAACAAATGATCGAGCTTCATAATTTATGCAAAATATTTGAATAATAAACTGCGTGTACCTATGAACTACCCGTACAGGAGGACGCCCTCAATACGTCTTACTGCTTCGACGCTCGAGAGAGCAATGGCGAGACCTTCCTTCCCATCGTAGACCGGTCGGCACTTCGGCAACACTCGGCAATGTTCGGTATATTCTGCTATCGGCCGATACCTAAGCAAGTACACGAACACGTCTAAACAAGAATAATATTACGATGCTCAAGAATAAAACGTTATTAAATTAAAAACAGCAAATTCTGTGAAACAATATGAAAAACATTCAATAATGTTTAGGAACTTGATAATATAAAAGAGAAAATAATTCAGATCCTGCTGTTCCATCTCATTGTACATTCACGGCAAGAGCAAAAATTTTCAACTCGTGTATTTTCAAAGAAGACGTCGAATTAATAACAAAAATTAAGAATCTAGACTTCTCTTCGACTTTTCTTTCTGTTTTTAGTACTGTTAATACTTGAAAGGCAGTTTTATTTAATATTTAATAATAATTTAATCTTACCTGTTGCAGACACGTGCCAAACGGACGAAGCTTCGAAGAGAACTGATGCACTCCACCACACTCCGCGTACCTAACCCTTAAACGATGAATCTGATTGGTCGAAATGGGAAGACGCAATAACGGAGGACCAATCACAGCCATTGGTAGAAGCTTCAAATTGCTTCGAAACTTTAATACTAAAATAAGAAAAGGTTCGTTGAAAACTATCGACGCCATATTGTAATAATGTCAAGATCACTTTTTTCAACTTAAAGCAACAAAATATACGAAAAAGAATAGAAAAAAGCATAAGATATTGATGATATTTAATAAATCATCGTCATAAACAGAGAATAAAATAAGGAAAATATTATTTTAATCGGTACCTATATATCGGCGGTATAATCGAAAACGAAGACATCAATTATTACAATGCATAACAACAGATTATGAGTAAAAAGGAATTAAAAACATGAAAAAATGTAATAATATTCAAGAAATTGACGACATGAAAGAGAAATAACTAAGATTCTGTTGTTCCAATCTCATTGTGAATTCGCAACAAGAGTAAAAATTTTCAACTCGTATATTTTTGAAGAAAACGCTGAATTAATGTCAAAAATGAAGAATCTAGACTTCTCTTTGACTATTCTTTCTGTTTTTTGTACAGTTAACACGCGGAAGGCAGTTTAATTTAATATTTAATGATACTTTAATCTTACCTGTTACAGACACGTGCCAAACGGACGAAGCTTCGAAGAGAACTGATGCACTCCACCACACTCCGCACACCTAACCCTTAAACGATGAATCTGATTGGTCGAAATGGGAAGACGCAATAACGGACGACCAATCACAGCCATTGGTAGAAACTGCAAATTGCTTCGAAACTGTAATACTAAAATAAGGAAAAGGTTCGTTGAAAACTATTGACGCCATATTGTAATAATGTCAAAATTACTTTTTTCAACTTAAAGCAACAAAATATAGGGAAAAAAGTAGAAAAAAGCATAAGATATTGATGATATTTAATAAATTATCGTCATAAACGCAGAATAAATGATTAAGATTCTGTTATTCCAATCTCATTACGAATTCGCGACAAGAGCAAAAATTTTCGACTCGTATATTTTTGGAGAAAACACCGAATTAATGTCAAAAATCAAAAATCGGGACTTCTCTTCGACTGTTCTTTCTGTTTTTTGTACTGTTAACACTCGAAAGGCAGTTTAATTTAATATTTAAAGATAATTCAATCTTACCTGTTGCAGACACGTGCCAAAAGGACGAAGCTTCGAAGAGAACTGATGCACTCCACCACACTCCGCACACCTAACCCTTAAACGATGAATCTGATTGGTCGAAATGGGAAGACGCAATAACGGACGACCAATCACAGCCATTGGTAGAAACTTCAAATTGCTTCGAAACTGTAATACTAAAATAAGGAAAAGGTTCGTTGAAAACTATTGACGCCATATTGTAATAAGGTCAAAATTACTTTTTTCAACTTAAAGCAACAAAATATAGGAAAAAAAGTAGAAAAAAGCATAAGATATTGATGATATTTAATAAATTATCGTCATAAACGCAGAATAAATGATTAAGATTCTGTTATTCCAATCTCATTGCGAATTTGCGACAAGAGCAAAAATTTTCGACTCGTATATTTTTGAAGAAAACGCCGAATTAATGTCAAAAATCAAAAATCGGGTCTTCTCTTCGACTTTTCTTTCTGTTTCTTGTACTGTTAACGCTCAAAAGGCAGATTAATTTAATATCTAAAGATAATTTTATCTCACCTCTTACAGACGCGTGCAAAACGGACGAAGCTTCCAAAAGGACTGATACACTGGTCCATACACTCTGTATACTAACCCTATAATGCAATCACACTTATTGGTAGAAACTTCAAATTGCTTTGAAACTTTAACAGAAAGGTTTATTCAAAATTATCGATGCCGAATA